TGTTTTTGCCTAAAAGCCAATAGAAACTACATGTGTTCTCTTTACTTACAGAAATGAACAACCCCTTTTACTCTTTTAGTGGCATTTTGAGGAATTTCAAGCCATTTATAGTTAGTTTTATGTCAAGTTTTGAAAGCGAACATGCATAAATTGTATGCTTTGCTCAGTTTTGTAAAATGTAAACATGGTGTCTAATAAAGTTATTTCAACACCTGGCACTGACCTGATGATTACTGTTGGCTTAGTGTCTGCCAACTGTCCACTGACTATTGGCTGACAGTTGGTCAAATGTCAGTGGACGAGTCCTCTTCTTCACAAAACAAATGCATATGTTATGAAAGGAATACATTTCTCTTTCATTCTCATTACCTAACTTCTACTCAGATTGTGTGTCATTAGGGGTAGGCCAGGGAAGTCTTTGCAACAACATATACCTTACATGTAAGCAACTGAATTTACTAACAAATTATATGAACATGGCTAATAAATATGGATAAAAGCGCAGTTCACGTTCTCTCACACAAGCGAGTGGATAGCTGATCAGAGCTGCACTGGATTTTGAGAAGGTGCACATGTAATGCCAAAGGCAAATTATTATTATTTTCAATGAAATTGTACCCTTTCCTTAAAACAGAGAAAACAGATATAAAACATTGTACACTATATGGTGCTTTCACTGTCAATACAAAAGAAACATCTTACTTGTCATGTTGTTCTTTACTAATGTCTCAAAATAATGATGCAAAAATTATTCTAACATTCATATCTGTCTGATCAGTGATCCACATTTTTCTAAGTTCTAGTAATTGATGATTTTTCATTCATTTCAGTATACCTCATTTAAATGTTGTCACTCAAAGTTGAAGAAAAGCAATGTCCATTCCACAAACATGTTGCATTCGGTTTCAAATCACAACAATCAACAGGAAAATAACTGAAAACTCACTTTTGCCTTGCATACTCTAGGTAGCTGCTTACAATATTGACGTAAAGAGATTTTTCAACTAAGCATTTCCATCAACAGTTGCTCTAAATTTAGTGGATATGTGCTCATAATAGTTGTGATAATTCTGAATTGAGAAAAACTTGGTGATGAAAATCTCACTAAAATCAAATCAAAATAAATTCTTGGTTTTTTGAATCATAAAGATGTCATATCAGAAAAAAAAAGCCAAGCAATTGTCAGAATTATGAATAGAGAATATGATATTGACTTTTTTTTTCAACTACAAGTTCTCTGGAGCTAAGAGAGGGAGGAAGTTAAGGGTTATAGTTGATCTGAAATTTAAATCTGTGACAAGGGATTCCATTTTTCCTTACTGCACTGCTCACAAAAAATTATTTTTTCTTTGACAACCTGGCTAAGCCATTACCATCTTTCTTCATCCCTCCTTTTCTTCCATTTTGTCAGGACAGAAGCTTAAACTTTGACCAAGTAGTAAATTCAATAATTTGGCATATCAATTCACATTCTTTCTAAAATAAAATCCATGTAACATCAGCACAAAAATATTGTGCATTGGTAATTCTCTTTATTAAATCGAGTGACTCCAAAAAGAACCATTTAGGAATTTGTAGAGCCTTATCACAGAACATCTCATAACTGTTATGTGGACATCAGGAAAAGCTGCTCAAGAACATTGGGAGGCTTCCCTGAAATAAAGGATTTTTTCTGACCCAAGGTTACGTCTTGATATGGCATTATTTATTACCTTCCCCCTTAACAATCCTTTCAGCTAAACAGGTTCCAACATTCCTATCAGTTCAATAGATCTTGCCACCAGACTTTTGATCCCAGTAGTGACATCTGTGTTAGAACAAAGACATGCATCCATAATATGAAGACACCATGCTACACTTCAGATACAAAAGGAGCAATGAACATTTTTATTTAGTGTCCACTTTTTGGGTAATTACTACATTTGCTATTAAAATCAGTGATTTGGTGGCCCTTTTAGTTTTACTCACCCTCTAACAGCATAAAGTTACACCTCCTATCCATTAATTAACTAACACTGCACCAGCCATCTGCAAGGCAGTTACAGTAAAACCCCACAACTCAAACTCCCAGGGAAAACAAAGTGGTTCAACTTAGCTAAGTTGGTGTACAATTTCAATTCAACTGTAAATAGTTAGTAAGGAATCTTGTTTTTACCATTTTTGTAAAATCAACAGTCCATTTCATACATTAAGCTTGTTTTATAATAGCTTTTATTAGAACATCTACTTTGGGAAGTTCAGCTAACTGTATGAGGTTTTCAAAAATTTTATAACAGTCATATCAACCATAATTAAAGAATGAGAGCTGTCAAACAACTAACACTCTGACATTAATCAACCCTTCTTTCCACTTTCAGTACAACTTACTAGGGTAAATTTTAGCAAAGAGAAAGCTAGATTAGTCAGAGTTAACGAACTGTATGAGATAACTACGTTCCAGTTAGCTGGTAGTACATGACAGAAGAAATGGGGTCATCTCTAAGGGTAAATCAATCTTGTTCCAGTTAGAGTTAGAGGTTCTACTGTTATAATTTCCAACAGTGCATTAAACACTCCAAACACTCCAGCCTTGTATTAACGTGCTTTATTTAACCCTTTAACTCCCAGTTCAAATTTGTAATTCTCCTTACTGTCAACTATACAATTCTTATAATGATAGTTCTAAGAATTTAGTATTGGATCAACCAATTATTCTCAAGTTTATATTTTTCTTTATTCTCATCACTTATCTGATTGATATTGTATTGATATTGTTAGGAGAAATTCTGCCTTGGTCACTCATGGGAGTTAAAGGGTTAAGAAACGATGTTGTAGTTGCGGTTGTTCAAAGCGGTTAAAACTAAAATACAAACAAAGAAAGGAACGTTACAAAGTGAACTAAAACGCAACGGAAAGTTGGACCAAAGCGACACTTACATTTGTTAGGAGCTGGGAAAAACTGCACTGGAGCGGCGACGAACTGTAATGTGATATCTGGATGCTCGTAGGGCCAGAAATGATCGCTTGGAAATGGCAAGCGAAAAAAAAAACTGACCCGAAAAGGCTAACACGTCCTTTAGATACTGAGGAATATATTACAATAAATTACTCGACTAACACGCTAAAATACATTCTGCACGCACGACTAACTAACACACAAAAATCCCAAAGGGCAAAAACAAAACACTAATACACGGGTGTTTAGTTCTTTACAACTGTCTTTAACCACAATGACAAATTACGCAAATGCTCGAGTAAATGCTGGAGTAAATGCTTCTCTGGAGCAAATGCTCCATCACCGAAACTAACCATTATGTTTCAAAACATCTATGCAGCTATTATGAATAGACATCGATTGATTTCGTCCCATATATATGAGATTTAACCCAACCGTACTTTTACTGACCCCGTTTCCAACCAGACATTGGAATTTACATTAATCAACTATCTAACCCAAAATCAAAGACAGAAAAATTCCTCTGCAATTCTACTTCAAGTTACCTGTTCATGTTTAGGTATTTTCCCTTTCAACATGAGATACTACAGTAGTTTCTACATACATTCTAGTTGACTAACTCTGCACAACCGTTTTCAAACTTTATCTACCGCTTTCCGAAATGTGCGTGGAGACCGGAAGTGATTTTTAATACATTAGTAAAAATATTTTAATTTCTACGGAGGTTCTCATGAGAGGGGGTATAGCTCAGTGGTAGAGCATTCGACTGCAGATCGAGAGGTCCTTGGTTCAACTCCGAGTGCCCCCTCTGCCAAAATATTTTTGCCCTTCACTTTTTTTTTATTTTTTAATTTATATTACTTTTCTAGATGAAAAGTTTTTTTTCGTTTTTACTCATTATGACGTTAATTTGAGTGTTTTCTCGGCGGAATTAATAGCCTTCACAAGAAAAAAAAATTTCTCTTTAGTCTACAAAGGGGGTAAGTTTTTAGAGAAACTGTGATGCTGCGTCGGCCGGAGAGGATAACAGGGTAGTTTAGTATTATCAACTGAGTTGATAGCGTTAATTGCTCAGGGTTAAGAGTTTAAAAGCTGACGTTTCCAGCGTCAGCCCTTCGTCACAGCGATTCGATTCGCCAGCTTTTAAACTCTTGATGGTGGCCAATATTTACGTTATCAAGTTAGTTGATAATATTCAATTACCCTCTTTAATCTATGCTTGGATATTGTTTAGTTTTAGAAATAACTAACTAATAAGATTTCCGTGTGTTTGTAGAGTATATAATTTATGTTAATCAGATATGTAAAGGAACATTTCAACTACACGTCTATTTTGAGTATGTTATTCAGTAATTGGTGTTACCGCTGGATTTTGGGCATAGAAGGAACGCGCGAATTATTTCTTAGGGTACCTACTTCGGGGGCCATGTAGAACCGCCGAAGGCGTATTGACTAACTTCGGGATTCATTCGTTCTGGATTTGGAGGAAGACTCTAATGAGTGAAACAGTATTCCATAACGCAATCAAGCAACCTCTAGCGGCACTGTCTACAAGTGCATCCTTTGTGTTGACGTGTCAATGAACTCCAAAGAATGATTGAAAACATTTTATGCCTTCGACTTTTTTCGCTTAACGTTCTCAAGTTTTATTTGTATTTATTAAAACAGAGCATTTTCAGAGCTTTAAGAGACCTTGAACGAGCATATTTGATAATTAGAGGCCAAAGTTTTGTTATTGGCCTTTTAATTTATGCACAGCCATCGTTTCCAGGCGCGTGTGAATCATGAATTCTAAAGAATGACTGCAGACATTTTATGTATTCATGTTTTTTTCGCCAAGTCTTTTCAACTATGATTTGCATAAAATAAAGAAGGGCATTTTACAAGCGTCCTAGAGAGACCTTTGAACGAGGTGCAAGTCATGCATTCGGGAACATTCCGATGAGCACGTGCGAGATCACGATTGAAATTTACAAAAGTCCGATCTAAGGAAGTCTGACAGCTCTCAACACATGTTTGCAAATCTGAAATTCATCAGAAGCCACACACTCAAATCGACGTGAAGTTCTCACGAGTAGAAGACTGTGTCTGCGTGTTCATTCGGGCCGGAAAAAAAAAACAACAAAGAAAATTGTCTCACCCCCTCCCCGTTGAGTAAGTTTGTGTCCATTTCTCACAAAGGAAGTATTTCCACGCCATCATGGACAACATAATTTCAGCAGACACTAATGAGCACGAAAAGGAGCTGGTGGGATGGTTTTACCCATCGGAAAAGATCAAATCGGAGGCGCATGTGTCCAGTATGGATCGATACAAGGAAATGTATCACCATTCCATCCACGAACCAGCTGTTTTCTGGGGCGAGATTGCAGAAGAATTCTTCTGGAAAGTCCCGCCAAGCAAAGACAAATTTATGGAGTTTAACTTTGACACTCGTCAAGGACAAGTCTTCATCAAATGGATGGAAGGGGCAGTTACAAATATTTCATACAATGTATTGGACAGAAATTTGGATAAAGGGCTTGGAGACACTGTGGCTTTTTATTGGTAAGTTAGCCAAGGGTTACTGTTAATCTTTTCCTATTGCTGTCTTTACTTTTGTCACGTGAAAGTCGCGTTTCGTAATTTCGTGACCATTTTGACTTGTAAACCGTGAAAATATACAGATTTATTTCTCGAAGTAATCTCTCTCAAGAAATTAATAAGGCGCGCTGTTAAGTTTGAAATCTTTGTTTTTAGTCAGTGTATTCTATATGATAGCTGTTTGTCTCCTAACTCTTAATTACATTAACTTATCGTCTCCAATGACAGTCATGCTATGATCACCAAAAAGACTCTTCTTTTCTTACGCCTTTATTTGCTTTGTGGACAAGAGCCCAAAGCTGTGTTGAAACAATTTAGTATTTCCAATGATGATTAGATAGTCCAATAAACATATCCTTCAATGATAAACTATTAAGATGCTTGTTATGTATTCAGAGAAACCATAGAGACAGTACACGTGTCTCCAATCTTTCCATCTGATATTTAATATTTAGCTTAAAAGCACAATTTGTGACTCTGGTAGGGACTAGAAGTGGCAAACAGTGGTAACAAAGAAAGATTGATGTGCTTATCTACAAAATTAGAACACTTTTACTTTGGAATAATTAAAATACCACCCACCACTACTGGACTGACTTTGAAAAATTTAGTTCTTTTCTTGTAATGGTCAGTAATGCACTATGTAATGTTGTGTTCACTTCCTTTGATAAATTAAAGTAAGAATTCAGTTTATGTGTGCTTTGTATGATTGAAATGGTTGCAATTATTCATAAAGGAGATTACTTTAATAGTAAGGCAGGTATAATCATTTGTCTTCAGATATTGTCACTTCCAATGTGGAATATGATGTTTGGATTGTGTACTTCTATTCTTCTTTAAGCAATATGGTCAACTGGATATGTTGCACCTTATGAACCAGGCCATTATACTTAGCTGTGATTGCTATTTCAGAGCATACCCAAGACACTGAGTATGGCCTCCTCTGTAACAAATTATAGTTTATTGGGTGTGATCCCTGCTGTAATACATGCCAGACTTCACCTCAACAAAATCAACAGGGTTAATAATTCAGATATCCCAGAAGCATAGACGGTATTAATAAGGGAAAAAAACAAAAAACAGCTATGCATTAACTGAAGGCCAGTGGAACATAACTGAAATTTGCTAATTGTTGGGGTGGAATACCAGCCAATCTCAGCTGACCATAATGCTTCACAAGGGGAGGTATATCCAGTCAACCTAAATGCCAGCAGAAGACAAGCAGTTTGCAGTGGGATTGTGGCAATATACATCAGAAGTGACTACCTTGTGAGTCAAACCATTATACTTTACTGCAAGATGTCCTTTGTCTTGGCAGATTTTAAGCAATGTGTGCACTTTTCTATGCAATTTAGGGAAGGAAATTTTCCTGAAGATAATAAGCAGATTACCTACAGTGAACTTCTCAAAGAAGTGTGCAAGTTTGCCAATGTTTTGAAAGACAAAGGTAGGGACTATCAACTATTATAACTATAATTTTAGATTAACTTAAAATTTTTTTTGTATGCTTGACTTCAAAACAAGAGGTTCAGTCCTTGCTTGATCATTGTGTTGTGTTTTTAGGGAAGGCACTTACTACTAAAGTGCCTCTTGCAACTTGTGAGCACTAATTAGTACCAGCAAACTGTCAGCAAGAACTTAACCCATAAACAGAACTTAATTACTGTGAGATATTCAGTCAATGAGTAACATCTTGTCACGAAATAGTAACAAGGCTCTTTGTTGTTTCAAACTGTTCAAACCAAGATAAGCTGAAGGTGTTCCATCGAAACAGAGGGCATGTGGAACAGTAAACATTAACAATGTGCACATTGGATTTAACCATTCATTATAGCAAAATGATTCTTCAGTGAAACAATGGTCCTTAGGATTGTGAACCCAAACCCTTTTTAGTATTTAATTCTAATCTGTCTCCTTACTGAATTATTGGTTCTGTGAAAATGATATAATGTGGAGTTAATATACAGCACTTTGCAATGAAAGTGAACCAGACAAATTAATTTTAAAGACAAGATTTTAGATATATTGAACATTTGCTTTTTATCATTTCTCATTCATGGCTAGTAAAACTAAGCCACATTTTTTCTCTTATCTTCTCTTAAAACATTAGGTATTAAGAAAGGTGACAGAGTGGCCATTTACATGCCAATGATTATTGAGTTGGTAGTTGCAATGTTAGCTTGTGCAAGAATTGGAGCTGTTCACTCAATTGTGGTGAGAAAAAGTTATTAAACTTTGTTCACTTTAACTTTTATCTTTATATCCCCTCCTTATTTACATTTCACATTTTGATATTTTCATTTACCTTCCAACCTTATTTACTGCCATTTTTATGATCATCAGCCAAGCAATGATTTGTCCATGCATTTTTGATAATATTCTCAAAGTGATTCACCCACCAACCACCATTTGACTTCTTTGATGGCATCAGTTAATCAATTACAGGAAGTTGAGGCCCCAAGAGACCAGACTGTTACTTGTTAATAGTACCTTTAAAAGAAAATGGATTGTTCCTAGAGTAGTGGTATTTTGCTGACTGGCTCATTCTGAGCAATGATAATTTTTATATAACTTCAAATTCTCATTAACAAGCGACAATGTGATGTGTTGTCACTAGTTAAGAGTTAGATTGAGTTCAACTTGGAAGTGAAAGAGTTGGCACAAAAACTTCATCATGTAGGATCTTTTGTTTCAAATTGTTCATGGGAAGTTTTATCTCCTTTAAAGAGGTTTCCTGGCTTGTGTAAAAACTGGTCAAACTTTTGCTGTCATGATGGCAGTTTAAGGAGTTTTACATGGGTTCTAGTTGTTGTGTGATAGTTAATTCATCTTGAATGGTTATACCTATTTTTGGTGGTTTTTTTTGCATATATTATACGTGCTACCTCATCCCCAGTTTGGAGGATTCTCTGCGGAATCTTTGGCTGAGCGGATTCTTGATTCATCTTGTAAATTACTTGTTACTGCTGGTAAGCACTTTCTATTGGTTTTCATTCAACAGTCCACTAGACCTGCTTGCACTAGCTGTGACTTAAAATTCCTTTCAGGGTTAGCAATGTCTTTTAAAATACTCACTAACTTTTAAGCAGATAATTAAAGTGAAAGTGTTGCATACACTATTGACTATTGTCCTTAAGAATATTAGTCTCATCTTGTTTCTTTCGCATTGATTTTGATGTTACGCATGTGGTTTTAAGCTAAATAACACTAGAGATAACAATAATGATGTTGATGTTATCTGCAAAATTTCAGATGGGTCATATAGGGGTACAAAGCTTATTAACCTTAAGGAAATTGCTGATGATGCCATTGCAAAGTGCAAAGATAAGTGAGTATCATCTTTATTTCCTTTGATCATTGTGCAAAGCTTTTAACTGACCTTGGAATGCCGGCAGTATTCAGGATGCATCCCTTATAGTTCTGTGGTAAAGCAACTAAAGATTTTTTGAGAAGGAAGTAAATTTTATTTTGTCAGGGATTACATAGAATTTCTTGAAGAAATGTTTCTGGCATGATAGTGATTAGTAATGTTATGTCTGTCTACACTAAATAGAGTATATTTTTTTGATACAGTATACTTTTTCTTTATTGTTTCTTGCAGGGGATTTACTGTGGAAACTTGTATTGTTGTTCAACATGTGGAAGGCGCCACTGCCACAAGTCCACATTCATCACCAGTTGCCAAAAAACCTTGTCCACCAGCACAGGTGATTCATTGTTCAATCATTCTTGATCTCCTAGTTTTCCTGCACAGCAAAGAAATGCATATTGTATTGGGTTCTTTGGCAAGGTACATGAGTCTCACAGTTACTCTCTTCACTAAAAAACATAACTGTGTTTAACTGTAAGCTTATGGAAAACATACCAGCATCCCATCTAGGAGGAGTAGTGTTGGTTTTATTTCATTCTTTTAAATTTTCCTTGATGTTTCATGCTACAGAAACTAGGAGGATATGTGAGGAAGTGTGAGCCATAAGCCTCAAGAGCAGGCTTTGACCTTTACCTTTTTTTTTTCAACAGGTAAATTTCAATGATGCTGTCGACTGTTGGTGGCATGAACTTATGTCAAATGCTAGTGACAAATGTGAGCCATGCTGGGTGGATGCTGAGGATCCATTGTTCATGCTCTACACAAGGTACTTAAAACTATCTAAGTATGTTAGTTTTTGAACTAAAACTTCTGCTGATCAAAAGGCTTTTGCTGGGTTTTTGAATTACTAAATGTGTTGAATTACTGAATTTGCTCAGAAAATGAAAGAGAAAATAAATATGACATCTTGAAAAAGTGGAGAAAGTTTTTTTTATTTCCAAAGTTCAATTAGAGTGCAGTTAATGGGATGAAGTGTTTGCAAAGCAGCATAATTTCATGTAAATAACTTGGGCTAAAATGTTACCTATATGGTACAATAATTTTTTATCATATTTTGGGGCAAGCCCTAGGCCACCAATACTCTGCTTAGGCCACATGATTTGAATAATAATCTTAGTTTGGAAAAAAAAATTGAAGAGTTAGTATCCTTAACAGTAACCTTTGTTTTTGGAAAATTATCAGTTTGGTAAATTGGAGCACTTTTTATCAACTACATGATCAACCAACTATGTTAGCATGTAGGGTGGTATGTTGCTTGCACCAATCAGCTTGTCGCATCTGAGTATGTATCTTGCACCAATCAGATTGCCTTTACTCACATGCCAAACAACTTCCATTCCATCACGTACAATAAAAATAATGTCCAAAGTCTAATGAAAACACACCAAATCAGTGCACTACATGAACATAAGGTAATTTTTCATGTGGTTGAACTGTACTCCATCAATCAAATTCCATTTTGCCAAATTAGACTTTGCTTCATCACGTGTCATTTCTGTGTAAACAACCTGCATTTGATCATGTATTCTTACCGCATTGTCCGATCCCGCTGAAAAAATTCACATGGAACTAAATGCTACTGATTGTAAATTTTCCACACAATTCTCCTGTGTTTCTACTTTTTCTGCATATAAAATTTGCATTTTACTTTCTTGGAATTAATCCAATTGCATGTTTATTCCTTGTACACAACCTGCATTTTATCAGGTTTTTCATACACAGAGGGCACAGTCCAGATAGGGTACAACCAATCAAAGGGCACTCTTTAAAATATTGTCCTTTTCTCTTGTTCAATATATCTTTACCTCTTCGAGATTGCAATATATCTTTGGCTAGAGTTTATTGGAGATACAGCAGAATTTCAGTTTGCTTACGTGGAATCATATTTTTATTTTTGAGGCAACTAACTGTAGACAAATAATTTTGATTTTCTCTCTGTTAAAGGAATGGTAGTAAGGGTAGTCTCCTTCGCAACTGTTATTTGGTCTCATCATGCAACGCGCTCTCTCTCAAATGGGAAATACATGGCATTGTGTAACGAGACCAAACAACAGCTGCGAGGGAAACAACAGTAAGTGTGGCACCAATGCATTTTATTTATGCTTTGAAGTATTTAGACAATAGACCACAAAATACCTGTGTGACTTCAGACAAATTATTTTTTTTTCCTCCTTTTAAGGAGAAGTACTGTGAAATTTTTGTCCATTTGAAAGTGACACAAAGTGTGTATCTCAATCTGTGCCAGGAAAAAAAAAACCTCCTGCATGCTATGCATTCCTATGTTTGAATTAGTAATTAATGAAGAAAAGGGCATGAAATGTTGCAATACTAATGGAATCTATTTGGTGTCATTTAAAACTTATCATATTAACTAAAGTGCATTTCCCTCTCTTGGTCATCAGTGGATCAACTGGTAAACCCAAAGGTGTCCTTCACACTGTGGGAGGTTATATGCTCTACACTGCTGTTACCTTTAAGTATGTCAACAGAACATCCTGATATGTATTTTTTGTTTTCTTTACTTTCCTTTGTTTGCTTTATTTGTTTGATTTGTTTGACTTGTTTGAGAGATTGCTGAAGATTGGAGTCAGAAAGGTAATACAGTGGGTATATGCGTGACTGTAACAAATGGTACCAGTAGAAAGGCTTCTGTGGCATAATTCAAGTCAAAAGAGTGAAATTCCATTATTCATGAAATTCAGGAATTCTGAATTTTCTTTGTTATGTTCTTGTGGTGTTTTTGTCATCTCTCTTAGTTTACCAACAGAGCATACTTCTCAATCAATCTCTTCACACACTATGCTTTTGACATTGCTAAATGATTTTCATGTGGGCACAATTTGTATTGCTCACCTGGTAGATCATTTGATACTTTCATAGGACCAGACTGAAGGACTTGAATTTCCTTGCCTATACTCATGACAAATCCTAGGCATACCACTTCATTGCAAACTTTTGCGCAAGAAAATATAACATTTAAACAGGACTAGACCTGGAGTTTGACACTTACCACTTTTAAAGCCAGTGTGTCAATCATCCAGTAATGTTTTTTGATATGCTGCTTGTAGGTATGTGTTTGACTATCACCCAGGAGAGATATACTGGTGCACTGCAGACATTGGCTGGATCACTGGTCATAGTTACATCACTTATGGACCCTTAGCAAATGGTGCAACAAGTGTGCTGGTGAGACACTTTTTCATTGATCCAACTTATTAACTATTAGGAGGTGAGATGCAAGATCATTGTGAATGATCCCTTCCTCTGTTGGTGGAGTGTTTCTTCTTGCTAACTGTTATGCACAAGTAAATTACTTGTTAAATGTTCCAAATTGAATGATTTATTTTGAATTAAATGCAGAGACACTCCAAATCTGTTTACTTTCACACACTTTGCATGGCGTTGGTGAAACCATTATGAAGGTGTGATTTGTTATGCTAAGGAAAAGAAACTTGTCTTGGTGGCAATGGTGGCTTGGTGAGAGATCGCCAACATGTCAAGTCAATTTGCTAATGCTGCTAACAGGCCTGAATATCTGCACAATAAGTTTACATGCCTGGTTAGTTGATTGGCAAACTTTTGGCCAGGAACCTTTCATTGAGTGAAAGGAAGAAAAGACCACTGTCACTTTTTCTTTCAGGTTCATTGATTTCTCTAGTTGCTTATTTCATGAGTGTGGCTGTATTTTGAGTGCATGAACTTTTATAGTATATAGACCTCCCTGCCTAATTCCAATCATGATTTCTTGTGTATAGTTTGAAGGTACTCCTTTCTATCCTGACTCTGGCCGCTTCTGGGATGTTGTTGATAGATATAAGGTTTCCAAATTCTACACAGCTCCAACAGCCATCAGGTCTCTCATGAAGTTTGGAAAAGATGTTGTAAAAAAGTAAGCAGCAAAGAACATCTCTTTTGGTGTTGTTGTATATGTTGAGTTGTAGTTCTTTCTCATTGTCAGAAATTAAAAATTCAAAAACAAAACTAAACATGTATCAACAAAAAAGGCTTGTTATCTTTATATGACTTATTTCTTGCACAAAAAAGCTCAATCCAACCTCATTTATGCTGGCAAAAAGCCCTAGATATACCCAGTTACTCTGAAGACTTTGTAAAAGATGTAGTGAGAATGATCAGTGTGTGTCGTGAGATGCCATGTGTTAGAAACAGCAGAAATCCTGGCATTTTGTCCATATTGTTATTGATAAAACATTATTTTTTTTCCTTCATGAATGTGGCACAAGCGTTATGCTTAATTTGACAAGACAGTAATTATTGATGATGATTATACAAGGTTAGGAATTACCTGTGAAAAATCCAAGCAATTGTATTCTTAATTTCCAAGAAATATTTCTTGTTAAATTCAGGTACAGTCGTGAATCTCTGAAAGTACTTGGCACAGTAGGAGAGCCTATAAATCCTGAAGCGTGGCTGTGGTATTACCACACTGTGGGAGATGAAAAATGTGTAATTGTTGATACTTACTGGCAGACAGAGACTGTGAGTACAAGTTACATATTAAGCAATGTATTTATCTGTTCCTGCCACAACTAAGGGTGAATGAATGTAAACTTCCTTCCTCTTCCCTGATACATGTTCATGTACATCTAATTCACTAAATGTGTGTTTAAGTGTGCTAATCAAAAGCACTAGCTCAGGGAAGATGTACAATATGCAAATTAAAAATTAACCTTTGAAACAAAAGAAGCCCACAATATAAGGCTAATTGACCAAATGGAAAAACTTAACTAAACGAAAACAAAAAATGAAAAAAGACAGTTATGCATTTGTGGAACCCACAATCAGGCATTTCTGATGATGATGTGATATTCATGACCTCCTTCTTAAGTTTTATGACACTATATTCACAATGATTTTTCAAAATACAGGGTGGACATATCATCACCTCCCTACCTGGAGCAACACCCATGAGACCTGGAGCTGCAGTAAGATTCCTACCCTTTTTTTTAAGTGTCTATTGCTTAGTCTTCTCGATCCATAAACTCTAAGTTTTCTCAAGAAAAAGGGAAGAATTTTGAATGAATCCAGTTCAATAGAATCTTTACCTTTTTTGAACCTCATGAACAGGTCGTATATCAAATTTGCACTCTGTTATAGATGTTCTCTTTCCCATCATGTGTTAAATTGAATGAAATGTTGTTAAATTCCTTTAACTTAACTTGATTTTTTTTTATGAATGAGGGGTGAGAAATTAAAAATGAAAAAAGGAACAAAAATTAGGAAACCCTCCAAAGTTCATCACAAGCTACTTTTGTGAATTCTTGCTTTTGACAGTTAGTATTATTTTAGAATTTTGCCCAACACTACATATTTCTGTGACAATATTTTAAGTTTGCGTCACTTTTTCTCCGCAGTCTTTTCCATTCTTTGGAGTTGTGCCAGCCATTGTTGATGAACATGGAAAAGAACTTGAAGGAGCTTGTGAAGGGCTTTTGGTAATGCCTGCAGGCTATTTGTTGAACTTTCTAAGTATGCAACAGCAGAATGACATCATGATGGTAGTTTATAGTTATAATGCTGCTTGTTTTCATTTTGAAGGTGATGAAACAACCTTGGCCAGGCATGGCAAGAACTATTTATGGAGATCATGAGCGATTTGAACATGTTTACTTTTCAAAGTTCAATGGTTACTACACCACAGGGGATGGTAAGGTCCTTATTAATCATGTGCTCTGTACACTTCACCAAACTCTTTGCTGTGACCGTAGTCAGAAGGTTGAAGGATTTAAAATGGAGAATTTAGTCTTACACACTTAGTGAGCCATTACTATTGGACCCTATCCTAGTGTCCAAAGCTTAGAAATTTGGGAGCTGAAAGGTGCAACTGGTAAGATCTGATAAGAAATCCTCCATTCCAACAGCTTTACATTTCTTTTTTAGCCAATTAAGAGAGCTTAGTACATGTAACCTTCTCTAGAGGAGGTGCTTTCTCCATTCTAGTCACTTGTGTGTTGAATAACATTCTGAGATTGTAAGGAGATTATACATGTTGGTGGTAGGTTGCAAACGTGATGATAATGGTTACTATTGGATCACTGGGCGAACAGATGACTGTATGAATGTCTCTGGTCACTTGCTAAGCACAGCACAAATTGAGAGTGCTTTAGTGGAACACAATGGAGTAACTGAAGCTGCTGTGGTATGTTAGTCATTATTATTAATTAAAGATAAGGGGTATATATTTTAAATCATTAATTAGGGACAAAAGTCTGAGTTGACCAAGAAGATTGCTTTTCTATCCCTGGGGAAAGGGAAGTTCATTAACTTACAGTAACAACCAGGTAAATTCAAGGACTTTTTATTTGAATGTTATTGTATTTAACATGCCAGGTACTGTAATTTCCAGCCAATTACCTGTGGATAATCTGTTAATTTTTCTACAAACAGTTGTTAGTGCAGGTTATAGGAAGGTGTGGGTAATAGGATAATTTTTAAAGCTTCTGGTATAGTTTTAAAACTATAAGCAGGAAAAACCAGAGATGATAAGATCCACTAAAGATACACCTTAAAAAACCTCTGTAATAACTCATTTATTTCGCACAGATTGCTCGTTACAATTAGAGACTTTAATACTCTCGATGAAAGCCAATGCAAATCGAAATATCTTGAAATATCGATTTTTTTTAGAACAGATCATTCTCAATGAAACAGGGTAGACAATTTATTAATTGCACGTTAAAGGATATCATGTCAACAAAAACAATGAAGGAACTTTGTGCGAGTCGACGATTTTCTTTTGTTTTCGGGTGCTGGTTATTTGCCAGTGTGGGTAATCTGTTGAAATTTTTTTCTTGTTATTGCAAAAATTGACTGATGCGAGTAAATGGACGGAAATTACCGGTACGGTACTTTAACCACTGATTGTACAAGATATTTTCTGCTGCAACCAATAGTAATAATAATAATAGTTATAATAATAATAATAATAATAATAATAAAATCCTTTCTAGGATATCATTAGGGATAGATCTGTTGAACATCAGCTGCTTCATAACTATCATCATTGTTACCCCTTGGTATTCATGTTTTTCAAAAAGGCACAAACTCACAAGATTAGTCAGCAATTTCCAATTTAGTGTTGAAAGCTTTTTGAGATTGGTTGGTTTTGCTTCACTTTGCTCTGTAATGGGCCTGAGAAACTTGCCTTTCCTTTGCCTCTCCATCAATAGTATTAGTTCAAAACAAGTTGAGAGTTGTATTTTCCTGTACATCAGACAGATTTATTTCAGTTTTTTTCCCTTGCTCCTTGTCATATTTGAATTTGTTTTGACTGCCAATGTCACAGCTTTGGTTTTGATTGTTTAACACTTAGTTGAATTGCCCTTCCTTGCACTACCCTCCCTAATTAAGGGGAAAAAACCCCTTTAACTCCTTGATATTTGGTTAACTATATACTTACTTGTACAACAGCTGGCCCATAAGTATTGAAATAAGCCTCTAAATGCAATGCACAAACTTATGAATTTACAAAAATTGATAGGGAAGGTCTTTTCATCAGCATCCAATTCACGGAACTTGTTTGTTTTGCACTCAGGTATCTTGTCCTCACAGAGAAAAAGGAGAAGGGATCTACTGTTTTACCACATTGATGGAGGTAAAATCAGCTCCAAAATAAAATGCCTTGTCAGCTATTACAAAAGCACCAATAAAAGGACTGTCATTGCAGTCATTAATAAAGACAATAATTGACATAAAATTAATGACAATAGCATGTCCCAATTGATATTTTCACTTGAATTGTAAATTAAAACTGCTTATTTCTAGCTATGTTAGCACATGTATTTTTAAACTTACTGAAATAAGTATATGTGTTGAAGTAATTATAATCATTTTGCTTTGAAGGGTGTGGAATTTAATGAACAGCTCATCAAAGAACTTAAGCAAAAAGGTAGTAAATTGATTGTTTCTCCCTGTTATCTCATTATTGTTCTCCCTATTTTCTCTTAGCCATGTTATTATATTTTTCCAGGCAGTATAAGTTTTTTTAGGAAATGATTATTTGTTAATTGCAAAAAATCAACGAAAGTCCACCTAAGATTAAAAATATTAAGCTTTATTTCTCCAGCTAAGCTTTTCACTGGCCTAAAAGTAAACACAGTTGTGAGAAATGTTTGTCAAAATTAATGAAACTATTAATGACAGTTGAAACTTACATTGAGTTTGCAAAGTTCACTGACTTTCCAGGTAGTAGCATATTCCATCAGTTATTTTAAAGCTGGATCTTTTCTATCCCTCTCAAAGCTTCTTACAGAAGGCTATAGCTCTCATAAACTGACAGTAATATTTTTTGGTTTTTGTATACTTTAGTGCGCACAAAAATTGGACCCTTTGCCACTCCTGATGTTATTCAAAATGCACCTGGTCTGCCCAAGACACGATCAGGCAAGATCATGCGTCGAGTTCTTCGTCAGGTTGCAAAGAATGAGAAGAAGATTGGTGATGTGACCACCATGGCTGACTCTTCTGTTCTCAAGAACTTGTTTGAAAACAGGCCTGATGTTGATTTCCTTCTCTAGTAACATTATTTTGCCTATAAAACTTTGTGCTTTCAATATGGACAGCAGGCATACTTTGGTTTAGAACACATCCAGTTAATACAAATTCAGTGCCCCTTCCTTTTTACAAGTGACAGTTCTGTAGAATTTTGCTTACTCTAACTACCAAGAGAAATGAAGTTCAGGTCAACTAATGGTAACTGACTAATAAGAGTAATTTATAACACTGTGAATACTAAAATGCATTGCCATGTGTTTCATGTTAAGATCTTTGCACTGAAGCCATAAAATTGTAATCCCATTCAATTTAGGATGTGTTGACCTCCTACAATTTTTGGATTTTTTTGTTAATGAAAAACACACGGGATGGAGGACCATAATCACAGTGAGCAGTGCACCAAAAACTTCAAATTAAGGTATAGTCTACAGGCATAACTTGACAAATGGTGTTTGGCAAATTTTTCAATTTTTTGATTTTGGTTGTTTTAGTCAATTCTCTTGAAATGAAAACCTAATTAAAAGCTGCAAAGATAATTTTTAAAATTTGTTAATTAGTAGCTTTTAGATGACATACTGTGCACTGTAAGTTGGATAAGGTGGAGGTTAGAGGTAACTGAGTTTAAGTAAGTGATGCTATCATATTCTCTATCAAGGTTTCTGGAAGTAGGTTTTAGACATGTTGGAGAAACTTTTATCTTGGTGAAGGAACATATTATGGCTTTATCAGCCTTAAACCACAAGGAACATGTTTTGTTCATGATCATTCATCTCCAAGTATTTATGTTCATGTATTGAAGTCAAATTTTGTTTTGACAATAAAATAGGATAGTTATATTAGACTATTGCTAAAATACATCTTGTTCTTATAAAAGCAACGTCTTGCATTATCAAATATGTTGGGGTTAAAAATCTTTGTAAAACAAACCTAGTGTTCAATAAATGTTTTTAAAGTTTTGTCAGACTCGTGATCACTTTGAGAAAGATGATATATATACTTGGTGTGTAAACTTCCCTCTGGCTTTCTTTTCATTTGTCTCCCCATATCTTAATCCATATCACCACAAGTTACAATGAAAGATCCTAAAACAAAAGATTCAGTTTATTTTATTGTTATTTCATCAGAACAATTCAGTTTTGACATAAAAGTCTACATTAAGAATGAGGACGCATGCATGGTATTGTGTATGCAAGGAGAACTAAGAAAGAAGGGCTGTATGTCCAGAATTTCCATATTCATAAGAGACTGCTTATTAGAATAGTAATTCAGATCACAGAATGATACTTGAAACATGAAGTGAGAGAAAGATTGTGGACATCAAAACCATGACGATTTTAGTCCTAGGCAATTCCACTTTGTTATAGTTGGATACACCACTGATATTAACTTGCAAGTAGCTTGATATAAGTTATGTACTTTACAAAGCACCCACATGTTACCTGCAGTTAAAAAGTCCCTTAATTTGCATTGAAGAAGAAGTGAGTGATACATGAAGAAACAAGTTTAGCACAGAATCTTATAAATCTGGCCTGGAAGGGATGATTACTCTTATTGGGTAAGTCTGTTCAAGTAAATGTTCTGCTGGATTCCATTGTTGAGTAATTATGATAAACATAAATTTCTCTATTCTTGCTCCTAAGAAACTTGTCTTACTGTACTCCTCTCCATCTTCTGGTCGGACAAGTTCTAAAAATCTGCAAAACAAATTGTAAACATTTTGTTCATAGAGATGGGTCTAAATAATAAAAAAGGTAGTAAGTTTATGGAGATTTCAGTGCTTTTTGAAAGTTTTGAAGCAGGAAATGCTGCTGAAGAGAAAAGGGCTACAGGTATCAAGTGTTGTATTAAGTCGTCTTGATTTTATGACTGGAGGCACTGAAAAACTAGCAAAGTTGAATACTGGCCCTTTTTTAATTTTTAAGTCCAGTCTTTAATTTCTGAAAAAGTGACTGATTGTTGAGCATAATGGAATATGTGTGCCCAGTTAATATAACTTTTTACATAACTGACTAATAGTGGCTACACCTGATAGATTTTTCCAGTAATTTCTTACAGACATTACAAGCTGTGCTCCAAATACTACATTCATACTAACTTATTATCTTTCAGAAGCTCTTTAGACATGAGTGAGGCCATGAGTCCCTTCTGGACTCCATCAAATACCATAGTGACAGTATCAAACATGTCTACATCCATCATATCCAGCACAGCTGGCTTCCCATATCTATCAAGTAAACAAGCAAGTAACAGCATTCAACTTTTTAATCCTACATTGTACTATAAATTATTACAAAAGTATAACACTCATTCTACGACACTGTGTTTATCAGGGCCTTAAACAGAGTTTTTGTGTCATATTTCTTAGGGTAATCTTTCAATAAATGCACTGCTCATTGACCACAATAAGTTATTTGTGTTGACCTCAAAGCTCCTAAGAGTGCCAGACGAATCACATCAGGCTCCATCTGCTTGGGATTTAGTGCATTTAAGAAATTTGTGTCGCGGTAGCGCAAGAAAGTGGAGGTCTGAGGAGATGAATCTATCAGTAGGGGCCACCTGTAAACACAATTTAGACAATTAGACAATTTAGACAATTATAATGGCCATATACACAAGAAAACTTAACCATAGCTTGTTTAAGATCTACACTTAAACTTGAGGAGCACACAATCCAGGCTGGCAATTTTAATGCATCTGTTTATACACATTGTCTGATATGTTTCCAATTTTTTTTTTCAGTGTAAAATTTCCACACCAGTTTGATTTCATGAAACATAAAAAACAGAAATAAAAACAAAACAAAACTGGCTTGAACAATTTAAAGCCAAACATACAAAAAGAATAACAGCAAAAATCATCAGCATTTATTGGCTCTACCTTCCATCTGCAGCAATCTTGCCACCAACATCTCTGAACAATACATCATCGAGGTCTTTTATCATAACTTTCGTTCCCTTTACGTCTATGTCAGCTTAAATAAAGAGTAATCCCAAATTAGATCCTCCTGTGCTCTTAAAGTACTTTATTGTAATTTAATTTGTATGTGGTCTACCTCTGATATCTGGAAATATATTTCTTTATTTGAAAGTACTTTCAGTAATTCATTTTACTATGGTGTTGTGTCTCAGAACAACACTGATAGGAAGAAACACATACACACACACAAAAATAGTTAAAGTACAACTAGCTGTTGGTAGGTATATGCATAATTGCCCAAATGCTAACCTGCAGATACATAATCAGTGATTCACTTCTCTCACAATTCATGAAAACCCTTCATTAAGAATAATTAATTTCTTCCAGGAAAGTGTGGATAGCTTCCATCATTCACCATGTGCTAATGGTGGTCATTATGTATATGTGTACCCTCAGAGCTGTAGGGTTCTCACTGTTCATTGTGAACACTTTTTTAAGTGTCAACATTTTTGCAAAGGGTGTGTACTTCATACTACTTCACCATATAGTCACTCTGAGTACTACTTCATTAAAAAACCAAATATGTTCCACACTCAGACTGTTTACTGTGCAAAGCATCTACATTTGATTTGATTGTCAATCCCGTATAGCAACAGAATACAGTTATCTACAGTGAATTAAAAACACCTATCCACATTCCCTACAGTAGATACACCTATCTGGACTGTCTACAGTCTAGAAACTCTACAGACTAAATAATCAAGCATCATATACAGACCTCCCTGTGCTCAGTCAGTATGGCATGGCCTTAAGTCTGTCTTGCCTGATCAAACTCCATCAATACGTACATAGTATGTTCGTTGACTAAATAAGGTAACTGAGCATTGACCTTTTTAAAGCTTACTTTAGTATAAGTTACAGGAAAGATGGGAAAACTACACATTGCCTGGAAATTCACTTTTGTTTCAAATTTCTTCATTCAAACTCTAAATCTAGTACTCTTTTTTGTATAACTCTTGTTTGCATGTATCTTGTTGTCCTTTCCTACATTTAATTAATTCACTATATCTGATTCTCAATAAACTGTCTGTGAATATTTTTTTTCATTTCACCACTTTTAATTTGCACTAAAAATTTGTGGCAATTATTTGTAACATTTATTTCACCTGCAGAGTTGTCCTCCTTTTTATGCTGCTCTCTAAGTTCAAGTTTCACCTGTGTAAAGGTTCATGTTTAGTATCTGATGACCTTGAACAAACTACATGAATCAGTATTATTGTGCTGTGAGGAACTATCAATGAGAGTTTTAAGTGTCACAAGTTACAAAGCAACACAAGACAGTGATCTGGCTCACTGAGGATCAAAAATGGAACTTTCAATTCACAGTCATACCACTGTGTTTCCCACAGTACAAGATTTAGTGATTTATCACAGATAGTGTCCAGTATATCAGTGTAAGGACAGCATCTCTTTAACTTAACACACTGACTAGTTCTCAGTAAGAGATGCTAAATTTTACCTGAGCTAATGCTTCTTTTGATGCTTCTGCTTTTTTCCTTGCATGTTCAAGCACTGCCTCAGCATCATGTACTGCCTGAAATATAAGGCAAGTCAAGTTTATTAAGAATGTGCAGAAACATATAACCTATATGTTTCTGGTATGTGTCAATAATTTACAGCACACATTTCATTTGGTTACAAGTAATTTCTTAACATGTGACAAAATGATCTTCACTGGTCATTAAAGAATCTTAGACTGTGAACTTAAACTTTTAAACTAATCTGGAACCAAATTATTTGACATAGACACTTATCAGCTTTAAAAACCAGTCATTCCAGCCCTGCTTGTATGTAAAACATCATTCACTTTTCCAAAATGGGGTTGACAGGCCTGATCAACTTAAAAAACTGGCATTTAATTTAACGACAACCATTGCTGGGTAAAATTTACAGAGATCCACCCCTCTCTCAAAGACCTACTCTTAAGACCCAAACTATAAAAAACATGCACTGGAGAGTCATGCAGGGCTTTCAATCCCATTTTAAACAGTTTATTCTGTTGTGACATACCTGCAAGGTCACCTCATGTTTGTCAGTCTTTCCTTCAGCCATGCACTTGTCATGTTCATAAATTCTTTTGTTTAGTTCACAGTGTGCTTTAGCTAACTGAGAAAGATAAATTTCAAGATTATGCCTAAACAAATCACTAAATTCTTTGCAAGAGCATTATAAATATTATTCTGTATAGCTGTGTAACCCTTTACTTTGTAAGATCTAAATCATAGTCATTCTCTTATCTTGCTGCCAGACATTTTCTTGTAAATTAGTCAAGAAAACTTAATTTTTTTCATTTTTTTGTGAGAATAGTTTTGTCATATTTTGTGAGAATAAAACCTTGTGGCTGCTAAGTCTGTTATTGATATTGTTAGGGGAAGTAACAAGCCAATCAGTTCCTGGAGCTTCAGTCAGTTAAAAGGGGAAATAGGTTTGATGTTGATTACACTGATATTGTATTTCAGGAGAGCTACAGTTTTGATACAATTTATTTTTCTATCTGAAAGCCAGAAGTCTCTTGAAGTTTCCTTTCTTTCTAATCTTAAGCGGGCGTACCTCTTTCTGATAAGCTTGATTCTCTTTTTCTGCATTATTTAACTCCTTCTCAAGTCTAATTAAGAAATTTGGCAAAAGAATCATAAAAGTGTTAAACTTTAATCTGAGAAGAATACAGTTAAACTAACTTTAATCAGCTTTTAAACTTTTTACAGTGGCCACTTTACATTATCAACTCAGTTGATAATACTAAATTACCCTGTTAACTCTTAAAGAAACTGACTACCTATGCATGCACTGGTAGCAATGATTGTTCCTTAGATACACTTCTCATTGTGGAGAATTGAATTTGAGTTTATAATTTTAAAAACTATTTTGATAAAAGACAGCTGGTAATAAAAAGAAAACCTCAGCTACAAACCTACTGTTCTCTGCATCTCTTAACTTTCTTTCTTGCTCTTGTCTAGCACTTCTATCAGCTTCCAGTTTTTCTAGTAAAACATCTGTTTGCTTAATGTCCCACTCCTGTAAAACCTGTTCAACAGCTGGTAGAGCTGCCACCTGAGGATACCCCCATTCAGATTGGAGTGAAAGGAAGACAGAGGGCTCAAACAGGTGCAACAACTTAAATTTCATGAACTACAAAATATCAAGCTTACGTCTATACTTGACAAAGGAAAACATATATGACAGTGGGTTGGGCAAGAGGGTACTGGTGTAACTCTCCACAGTTCGCTCATTATAAAAGTACCTGTGCATGTTCCAACTTTGGAAACACTTGACATGTCAGTAATCACAACCTCCAATATGATCATTTCAAGGTTTTCTTACCAGCAGCAACTGTTAACTTATAAACAGTTTTATTTTTTTCTTGGATAAGTCATACCAAGAGAGAAAGGTGCAAATTTGAATTCTACTTACACTACAGTAATCTTACAGTTGGGCTAACCTGGTCAATATAAGTTATGTTGCACAGTACATTCTCTGACCTGTATTGCATTTGTGCCATCATCTGCTATGAGCCTAGGATCACCACCATGCTCTAGAAGGGTCTATCATGGTTCACAAAAAATAAATATTTTTTGATAATTTACATCCAGAAAGTATAAGTTGTGATGGTAAAAAAATGCTGGAAACCACAACTAATTGATTTAGGGTTACAAATTGATCAAAGGAGCAATTCTGTTAAACCTTAAGTTCAAAACCTGAGACCTAACTATACTGTAAATGTTTCTTTTCAAGCTAGATTTAGAAAGTCGATTCCTGGGTTGCAGCATGCGATAAACACCAAGCCAATCTAAGATCTTTTCTTTCTTTATTCCTTTTCCTATTCCTTGGGGCATAATTATATTGACGTGGTCAACTGAAATCATTACGTGAAGAAATTACCTAAGTATTGTGATCATAGCTTAAGAATAATCTCTATTTTGGAAACAAGCCTGTGGCAATTAAAAGAACCAAAAGAAAGGTAAAAAAACAAGCAATAAGTTTCGCTTTGAGCAACAACCAAGAGCTAGGTAACATAATCACAAAACAAGTTATTGCTTACCAACTTTCACAGGTCTTGATTACTTTATCAAGGATTATGATCTAACTTGTCTTTTATTCAAAAATGATCTTGATCACATGGGGTCTTATCCTGAGCTGAAACCCTAACTATAAGTTTGTCTAAAAAGAACTAATCACAGGGGCATCAATCTAACCAGAAAATATTTTGCAGCTTTTCTTGGAAACAGTAACATTTAGCTTCACTGGAAGCAGTTACAGTACCAAGTGATAATAATAGATTTCTCTATTTCATTTTTTGGAGAATCTGGTTTTACATCCAAACAGCATCCCTTCCTTCCTTATGTACAAGAATAAACAAAAAAACAAAAAAACAAAAAAGAGAGAATTTAAATATTTATCATATCAGAAAGGGAAAAATATTTAGTAGTAGACATTGTTGCAAAAATGTTTTGTGGCGCACCTGGACGGCCTGAAGATGTCCTCCAAAGGCAGCGCGCCAAAGTGGTACTCGTTGATATCTTCCCCTGGAATTCAGCACAGCTCCTCGCTGGATCAGAAGCATTATTGTCTCCACATGGCCCCCTCCTGCTGCTTCTGACAAAGGGGTGTTGTTGTTTGCATCTTCACAGTCCACAAGAGCCATCTGATGCCTAGCTATGAGGGATTGACGAGCAGGTTCAGATAGGTCTGATCTTTTGGAGTCTTCTTCATAGGCCTGAAAAAAAAAAAAAAAACAGAACATCATGGCTCTTTTGAGAACAAAAAATACAGTTACTGTGTTGCTTTTTTTTGTAAGCTTTGTCAAAGGAACAAAGATATTCCAACTAAGTGGTTTGTTCCCAATACCAGAGAACCGTCTAGATAATTTTTGGGTTTAGTCTGAATTTTTACTTCATAGTTTTAATTGTTTAGTTACCAAAGCTAATATCGTCTGGTTTCTCTTACATTAAGGTCAATTTTTACAACACAGAGAGTGACACAAACATCAACTTTTAACTACATACAGGGGATTGCAGCATTTACCATGCATATGAGTTAAGTCATCAAGCAATTTGAAATAAATATAATTTCCACTCAATGTTACTCTACATGGGAATAGAACCAATTCATGATAAAACACAGTATTGATGGAAGTACCTCGTCCAACACAGCTAAAATCTCATCATTATCACCATCAAATGCAGCCTCAAGTATTCTAGTTCTTCTCTTTGTCTCTTCTTTTCTCTTTCTTCTCTCTTCCTCTTCCTTTTTTCTTTCTTTTTCAGCTTCTTCTCTCTCTATCTGAACCAGCTTCAGCCATGCCTGTACCGAGACAGGGGAAACATAATAAGCAACACGTTCAAGTAAAAACCTGTTACTTTTGGTTAAGAAAGGACTTTCACAACTATCATGACTGGCGTAATCACATAATATGCACAAGATCAAGCTATATATGGTAACACTTCAAATGGATTAATCTTAGGAGTCCAATGGGGTCCATTAGTATGAAGGGATGGCATTATTGTTTCTCTGCCTGGATGAAATGCTACACTTTTACTGGCAAACCCCCTTAGAGTTCATCAAGTTCCCTTGAGGTTAACCTGCACCCATTCATAGTCCTGAAAGGACTTAGGCACTATGAGAGTCAAGTGCCTTGCTCAAGAATGCAAGACAATGACCTAAATAGGCCATTGTCTCCTACAACTGGTGTTCAGGGATTGTACTTAAGAGCTTGCAGCTGGTGAATTTCATCAATTGGTCCTAAGGCCTTGCCAACAACTTTTATGAGTCATCAATCACAGACATTGTCAAGAGGACAATGTGGATTGACAAGGAATCTGAATACCAAATCCACATCTTCTAATTTCAGCAATGTCAGCTGATATTGTGAAAAAAAGAAAAACCCTGGTATTCAGGAAACAACTTTACATAAAAGTAAACATATTGCTCTATGAGCATTGCTGCATTTTTGTTGAATGCCATAGTCATTAGATAACTTGGTGAACTAACAATGTCAGCACCAGTCCTTTGTTGTACAGTCTTCAGGTCAACAGAGAGAATGGAATTTTTAGGAGCAGCAAAAGTATTATTTTAGAAAGCAACCAGATTCTCCACACATAGAGGCTAAGGCGTAGCTAAGAAGGAGGTTTTACTCAGTGTGACCCTATCTATGTCAAGGAAAAGTGAAAAAATGATCTGGCTTACTCCAAAGATGCCACTAAGGTGTAAAAGGGGAAACTTACAACTTTAAAGTCCTGCCTTTACTTGTATGTAACCTGGTGCACTGTTATGTTTACTTTTTTTTTAGGTTTTTTTTTTTTTTTTGGGAGATAAGTTACTTTGATCTACCTCCTTTTGAATCTTGTCCATCAGCTCTTCATATTCTTGCTTAGCTTTTTTCCTTTTCACCATTTCCTTTTTGGCCAAGTGTCTCCTGACATATTTCTGAACAATTACTGCAGACTCATCTTGCTTTGTCCACTTCTTACCTTGTGTCTAATAAAATTATGTGATTTATCATAGATCTATTTATGTTGAGGCAAAGAGAAAAGCAGCTGTTTGAATTCAAATTCATTACCATATAGTTTATCCTGCAACTGTTATTTATATTGTAACTCCTTAGCTATCAAAAGGATAGACCAGCTAATTTTTACAAAATAAGTAACTTGATATATTGAGCAGGGGAGAAGAAAGGTATTATTGGCTAGCTCCCTTAACTTTATTCTGTCCAACCCTTTCAAATTTTGTTTCCTTTTTGGTAACTATTACTATCATCAATAAAAGACGTGATCATGTTGAAATACATCCGAAAAAAAAGGATTTTCTATGTTAATAGAAGCTTATGAACTAAGGTTATAAGCTTCTGTTGTTAATTGATCTAACTTATTTGTTTAGAACATCAAGACATTCTCATAATACACCAGTATTTTATACAGAATGTAAAGCTTACTTGTCACCATGGAGACACCCTATATAAATTTGGGATCTGCACCAACCCAGTCATACCTTTGATACTGCGGTGTTCTCCTTGCCTTTGACTAGTGTTTTTTTGGGAGACGTGCTGCCCTTCTTTGTAGTGTTCCCCTTGCTTCCAGCCGCTCCTGGTTTCACTGCTGTTGTGCTTGTTTTCTTACCTGAAATACCTCTGCCTGTACCAGGCTTTTGTGTTGTAGTTTTAGGGGTGATCTTTGTTGCAGGAGATGGCTTCTTTGGAGGCATGATCGAGAAACTAATTAAATCTTGCAGAAAATTTCCTCCTGTGACAACTCTTCGCGTACAGAACAATTTGATTTCGATCGACGGCGCGCCATTCCATCGCAACTTATTAGGCCCCAGTGTTCCTCCGTCATAGGCTTATTGGCATGCGAGGTCCAGATGTCACTGGAATGGCAACCGGGATTATATCTGGGCGAAATATAGAAGGGACTGATGATGTAGATGGGATTTTAATCTCTAATGGAATCATAAATAGAGATGAAACGGATCTTGCTGCTTCGAGGGTCAATCGCCGTAGCTATGTTCATCTGGAATCGGAAAGAGTTCATATCATTTGGGATCTTTTCGCTATAGCATCCATCTTAACATTCATTGCCGACATTATCTCCGATCTGGTAGTTTCCGTACATTATTTCCTTGATGGGAAATATCTTTGGTTTGCCTTAACTTTAGGTTTTGTAATTTTATCTTCTGTGGTAATGCAAATATTTTCTGCCAAATGGTTTCACGAAGATGGCGAATACCTGAATTGGTGTACATACTTGCTTCATTTTTTTCAACTTGGTCCGATTGTCAGGTAAATTTAACATTATGATTCCTGAATATTTTTTTCATAAGTCGAGAGCATCTCTTCCTGGGTATACGGGTAGATTGCATCATCAGTTTCTCACATTATGTGCTGTTAGTAGACGTAAGTAAGACGATCGTTGGAATATAAAGGCGTGGGCGGGATTTTTTGACAAAGTCCAACACCAGCGTCTCTTAATACTGTTTTACAGGTATACACTGGACTGTTTTTTTATAATTATTTAATGTATTGCTTTTTCATACCAGAGGTTAGGTCCCATGTTGTCCAGGACCCCCTTTAATTACTCATAGATGGGGATTACTGACACTTGGCATTCTGAGTTTGTTGGAAAACCGGACATAATATTAGCTTTTGTCTACGTTCATGGACTTAGCTTATTTGAATATTGAATCAGTTGATTTAGTCGTGGACGTGATTACAATAAATTTAACATTTTGCCTCGTTTTTTCAATGAGAAAGCCACACAAGCGCCAGAACATCCGATTTTGTCATGATTCAGACTTTAGAAGAAACATGGTCTTTACAGTTCAGTCATTTTGCCCAAGGTGGCTACTTGATTTATTTTGCGATTAAAAGGTTGATTGATTAGATGTCTCATATTTTATTGCTTCATTTCATTATTTAGATACTGGCGTGTCATTAAAGCTGGATGGCATACCCGTCAGCAAAACTCAGCTGATACAGTCAATGTCTATAAAGTTTACTTGGCAGAATGGAGAGACATCAGCATGTTAAGACTGTTTGAGTGTTTTTTAGAATCTGCACCACAGTTAGTTCTTCAACTTTTTATCATGGCTTATAACAAGCGATTTGATGCTGAGAGTGACTGGTTGACAGTATTTGCTGCTGGAAGCTCCTTGTTATCTCTTGCATGGGCAATTGTGGCATATACTAAAGCTCTTAGAGACTTCTTAGGTCAAGGAGAAAGCCATTCATGGGTTGGATTTTTTCTTCAAATTATATGGCGTATGTGTATGGTAGCATCTAGAGTTGTAGCACTTGTGTTGTTTGCCTCATACTATACCATTTGGCTGTTTGTGGTTGCAGCAGTTCACTGGCTTATGATGACAACTTGGCTTATTTTCCAGAAAACGCGATTTTGTGTTGATGATGAAGGTACACGCCATCTATGTCGAGAGTATTTGTTTGATGCTGTTATTGGATTTGTGTATATCTTTTGTTTTTTCAACATCAGAGAGGGTATGACTCGTATTCGAGCAATTCCTTACTATGTCATTATGTTGGGAGAGAACACTGTTTTTGTAGTGATGTGGTATCCATTTAGAACACTTTATGGAGACATTGAGATTGCTGCACTTAGTATTGTGTGGGGTGCATTTGGAATAGGACTCCTGTGTATGGTTTCTTACTATTCTTTTTACCATCCAAGTCTTCCTATGAAGGGCATTTGTGTGAAGAAGACTGAACTGAATTTGCAAGAGCATCAACGCATGACAGTTTGTTGGTGCTGCTTCTGTGAGATCACAACCAGGCAATCTGCTGTGGAAGAAAATAATGATAAATGCAAACTAACCATTAAACAGAGATCTTATCACACTTCAAGAAGCACAACAGCTGCTCCTCCATATCGAAGCTTACCAGTTGATGTAGATATTTTACCTCGTATATCAAGAGAAGTTCATCCACCAATTTATCAAAATCATCAAGAACTAAGAAATGGTGGGATTACAGGAATGCAGGGAATGTATGCAAAATCCTCATGGTTGTAACTCTTGAAATATTCTTGTATGTGAACAAGTTAATGTAATGAGAGGGTTTGGGTCTTGTTTACCTATGGCTCACTTATTTCAGATGACAAATTAATTACATTTTAACTTAAAATTATAGTTATTATTATATCATCCATTAACAATATGGAATATGGAAAATTTGTCTATGGAGTTGAAAACTCTTTAACTTAGTTTTATTTATGACTTGTCATGAGAAATTATTGTTCGTGCTCTAGTTTAGATCACAGCTTTTCCGAGGACTTAGAAAACAAGTGATCTTGAATTGAGTGATATCTGCAACAGTAGTGGCACGTAAAACTGGCTTGTTACTAAGCAAAAGAACTTAGAAATCTTAAAGCTATTGTTATACTACAATATATTGAAATTCTTCAAATGTGATTGTCAATTGGAACAATATACTCTCTGGAAATTTTTTTCAGCCAAATTTGCTGAATGGTGCAATCTTGAAATGAGAAGAGTAAAAGGGTATTTGAAAAATTACCTGGTGAAATGACAATTTTATTTTTTCTTTTAAAATATTATGCAGGGACTAGTTGTGTATTGAAATTCTACCTGTGGGTAAAAGTTCCAAAAAATTTACAAGCCTTAGGGTAGGTGGACTGGGTGAATTCCAGTGTGGATAACTTTGATAGAGAGAGCTCAAAGGCTGAATTCTTAATTTATTTTTCTAACCCTAAGCAGTTATGCTGAGAAAGTTACTTTAATATTCCTCTTTTTGGAGATTTTACCCTTTAACTCACAGATCAAATTTGTAATTCTCCTTACTGTCAACCATACAATTCTTATAATGTTAGTTCAGAGAATGTAGTATTGGCTCAACTAATTATCCCAAAATTGATAGCTTTCTTCGTTCTCATCACTTGTCTGATTGATATTGTATTGATATTGTAAGGAGAAATTCTTAGTCACTCATGGGAGTTGAAGGGTTAAGAATTAAGTATAGTTTCAAGTCCAGCTCTAAAAAGTTTTAGAATCTGAAGTTATTTTTCAGTGACACAAATATTAAATTTGTTACAATTATTGTAATGGCTGCATAGGATGTCATTTAAATTTGACATTTGTTCAACTTGCATGTTGGTAGTGACATGTAAATCCATTTTGGTATGGATTTTGGAAATAACAAAGAAGAACTGCGACGTAAGCATTTGAGCATGAATGTTTAACATATTTATGGTTGTATGTAAATAGTTATGAATCTGAATACTACTAAGTTTTAATGCCTTAAGTAAGATAAATCTGGTAACTTGTATGTTTAATTTTCTGAAAACAATACCTGAAGTCTGAACTTGGTCTATTAGCTTTCAGAAATCCACATGAATCCAAATGATTACCATAAACCTTTAAAAACATTATAGTAACATTGCTAAGATGTGCAGGATGATTGGTGTTAACCAGGCTGTTGGGGAATCTTGGCTGATCCTCTTCGCCTCAAATAATTTGATGTTAAGCTCTGGAGGTCATATACTAATATTACATTTGTGACATCCTAACTTTATGCTTCAGGGCTCAGCAATGGTTTTAGCATTTTGTGTTTAAATATATAACAAAATGAGAAGGACAGAAATGTTTGAGCAGGGTTCTTGAATAAAGAGAGGTACATTTCTTTTTTTGCGAGTGTGGGACAAAGGAAAAAATCCTGAGTCTACTTCATAGATTTGACTCAAACTTTCCATCATGGTGCTATATGGAACATGTTTGAGAGCAAGGTCATGTAATAAGTAGATATCTAACACTAAGATTAAACATAAATGATGTTAAACATTTCTTGGTAGGATTCTAGCCCCAGCCAAGTCCTTTTTGTGATATGATGCTCTACCACCTATGGTAGCGGTATCCCACATGAATGTGTGACAGCAGTTTTAAACACTGATTAGATCGGAAATGTCTAAAATGGCCTGTCTGGAGATAGGGAGAGTTGTCTAACAAAGAAAGATGCTGACTGAAAATAACTAATTGAATAACTGAGAGAGGATATGATTGCAATAAGCTATTTGATTCTTTTTGAAATTTTTTTGAAATTTTTTAAAGGTAAATCAAGTCTGTGATTTCAAGTTTGTTTTTTATTGCTGAACTTACATTTCAAAAGTAGCTTGCCTGCTTGCTTGACGCACAGTTGATGTAGAACCAAAATCTTACCAGTGTAAGCTTATCTCCTTTAATTTTGTATGATTGTCTTTGATGACAGTTGAATTTAGAGTTTGGAGATTTTACAACTTATCTGGCAACTTGCTCAGATGCTTGTCAACATCCTAAAAATGATGCAAATCACTATTGTAAACATACAGGAATGCAGATTATTTTTAGCATGATGGCCACCAAAATGTAAATTTTGCCCATTAAATTATGTTAATTGACTGATCTTACCTTTTGATCTGGCTTGGCCTATAGAAATTATCGTTGAATATTTATGGAGATATGCTATTTATATTAGAATTCTCCCTTTGCCATCTCCTGTAGTATTTATCTTGTGGCCTCAGTATTCAAACGCAATTGACTTCCGCGCTTTTCCGAAAGTGCGGAAAACACTGGGACGAAGCCTCGTTCGCAAGTGACTTCCCGCCATCTTGCATTTTCCAGTCCCCTTGTCTGCTTCTTAGGTATTTTCCATTTGGACTTCCTATTGTCACATTGGTTAAGGTCTGTAGAACACAGCATTCCACTCACAATTTCTTCATCAGGAAACGATAAGTATTTGTACATTATATTCCTGTAGTTTTCCGCTCAACCAAAAAGGCGGAATTATTTCCAAGACGGAATTCTGCATGATGTACACATTCTTCTTCTAACCTTTGTTTATGTTGATGAGGAAACTTCAAGTTTACCAATCGCTTTTGAGACCCTTCCTGAAAAGCTTTCCGCTAAAACACTGGTCTTCAGCAAGGGTATGTAACCTACAAATAAATCAACTTTTTTGCTTACTCAATTACAAAAGTAGTGATAGTAAGTTGGCACAGATTTAGTACAGGTACTTTTACGTTTTTAATCATCATTGTCAAATCATTCTTTGGATTTTTGCTGTATAATTTATTTGTTAGTAATTATGTCCAATCGAACTTCATTTCAGTAGATAAAGTTTTGTTGGTGGGTCAGCTGTTTTGATTGATGGGGAGATTAGGACGCACGGGGTTCTCCCCTTTAAAAATGATATCTGTACCCTTTGCGCCATTTCGGAAGTGAACAGGAGCTTAAACTGGTAGGTTGTGATCGCTTGTTGGGTGTCAGAGCCTTAAATAACTATCTTAAAGATAGAAGCATCAGACGACTCTTTCAGACATTTTCTTCTCAAAAAATTATTTTGGAAAGTATCGATTTAAACCGGAAACTCAGACTCAAAAAGTTACTTTCATGAATGCACCCATTATTTTTGAGACTTGATAGTTGTTTCCCAATTCAAATACTGGCAACCTCTTTTCTCAGGGGTGATATTCATCTGGGCGATGCCCACTCGATTTTGATATCCTTAAGAGCCGGCGTCAAAATTTTCAAATGAACAACCCGATCATTTTTGTGCAAGAGTGTAATCACAGGTCTGTGTCTGTCATAATTCGTTATGACTAGTCAAAGATCGTCAACAATCGCCACATAGTTGAACATGCGCCTGATAAGATATCACCTTTGCTGCCTCCTCATCCGACTTTATTTTCTACCATGCAAGTGTATGTCAGTTCAGAACGATTCCTTCATGAATTATAATCTGCATAATTTCTTTGTCAAACACGAAAGAGAAAAAGATATTAAAAAATCATATGATCCAATCCCCTCTCCCCAATACTCAGAAGCACAGGCCTAAAGATTTTGTGGAACGCCACTGTTTGAGTGGCTTGAGAGGCGAAAGAAAAGCTAGGATCCGGCGTTTTTATTCATCTAACAAAGAATTACATTGGCAAATGAGCAACGACAAAGTGTACTGAGATTTGGATGTGTTATCAGCTTATGTGTGCCAAAGGGATTCTGCATCCGAAGAAATCACTCCGCTGGCCCCCAGTACAATTCCGTTTTTAAAATACTCTACGTCGTTACTTTACCAGATGTCTTTGAATCAACTGAAGAAGGTTCACGAGTTGGCTTTTTTGCAAGAACACCTGTTGGAGTGTGGGTCACAATATTACTGGAAGGTAAAGTACCTTGAAATAATCTTCTCTGAAATGTAAAATAGCCTCACAAGGAAAAGGGGGCGTGTGGTCATTTTGGGCTGTTTCCTCTTCTACCTCAAGTGATCACCTCCTCTGAGTGTCAGAAAACTACAGTGGAATTTGTTAAAGCACTTTTTTGAGAAGTGGATCCACTCTATGCCATTATCGTGAACTGTTCTGTTGTATGCTGTTGCCTCACTATGACCAAAACTCGATTACAACGTGGTATGCACAAACGCGAGTAAACTATTCAACCTCTCACAGTTTTTCTGGGAACTGGATAACCTACGAAATTATTTTCTTGTTTTCCGACGATGCATACCCTTGGTTTCGCAACATAACAGACCTCCGAGCGATTCAGAAATGTGGCTGTCATCGCCATGTGGCTGTCATCGCCATTGTTTTTTTTTGAAGATTTCTTTAATTGGCCCTTTGAGATACTGAATAGTTAACTGTGATGAAACTCTCGGACTACCGTCATATCTTTACGGTGGGCAAGTAAACGCTTGTGCCGAAGCGCTAAAGATAAGCGTGTGCTTGCAAGCTTCAGCTTTTGAGCACATCTTAATGAAAATATCAGTTAGAAAAAATGAAAAAAAAAAATCAAAAATCAAAAATCAAAATAAAAAAAAATATCGGTTGAAAAAATTCAGCTTTTCAGCACTTCTTAATGAAAATATCAAACTTTGTTTAAATATTAGTTGGCTGACTGATACTTGCCGCCCTCTCCCTTTAAAAAATTATATATCCCGATGTCGGGTTATTCTGTGAGGCGGATCAGTTAGTGATCGGACGGATTGGAGCGCACTTTATTTAAGCTACCTTTGCTCTAATACAGATATTGTAGGTTTTTGTACATCTCTTCTTAGTCTTTGTTTGTTTCCTTATTGTTTGGTACCGGCAGCCACATATTACTAATGACATCTCCCTGAGACTAACAATGGTGTTTTGTTTTTAGAAAACCGCTGACATTTATCACTCTATCGAGTTATTGGAAACGCCGCTCATTTTCGACAACGCGCGGTAATGGAGCAGGGAGACATGACAGTACAATGTTCCAACAGGAATGGAACAGCGAGAAACATAACAATCCGAGACGGAGTCGAAGAACAAAACAATGCGACTATACGGCCGGTAATTGACTCCAAAAATCCTTTTGATGGACGTACAACACGCTTCACAGACGACCTGTGGACTTTCGTGTCAGTGATAACATACGTTGCAGACGTCGGAAGCGATTTACTTGTGTGTGTCAAGTATTACAAGGAAAAAAATTTCTGGTGGTTTAGTCTTACGCTAGGATTCGTACTTGTCGCGTCATTTGCAATGCAATTGTTCTCTGCTAAGTGGCTTTTGGAAGATGGCAAACGAAAGCAATGTTTCACTTATTTATTACATGTGTTTCATCTGGGACCAGTCGTGAGGTAGGTAAGCTGGGTAATTAAACAAAAAAAACTGCCGTGTCTCGTGTAATCGTACGAAGTTCCAAGGAAACAGACCACTTAAAATTGGCTTTGCGATGCGTTTCCTTTCGTCGGAAACCTTTTGACTTCTTGTCCGGTTAACACGACTCGAGAATTTCCGGCGAAATTTGAATAGTGTTTGCGCCTGCTTTTTTAATGACAAAATATACTAGAGCAATTATCACATTCCTTATTTCTCGGATGATAACTTTGCAGCGAACGTAATGACTGGATTTCAAGTCGCTTGGCTGATTTGTCAGATACAGAAAGCTACATTAAAATTGAAACATAGTTTTCTTTAAAAAGATAATATCGGTGATATTTACAGGCGTTTTTTTGTCTCAAAGTAAGCTGCACTTTGAAAACTACCGAGCTATCTACGCGCAGCAACAGAGGTTTTAATTAAGCTTGAATAACTAATATTTTAAGATCGTTTCTTTATTTCGCGCGTTTGTTTGTAAAACCTGAACATTTTTATATTTTGTATTCGCTTCGGGTAAACTTTATCATGGATCGTGAATCAGCCTTCCTTGAATTGTTGTCTGACCGATTTTTGTCTCGTTCGTTATAGATGTTAATATGGAATAATTGCCGGTACTGGGTAGGTTCTAATTTCGCTGTGTTTCGTTATCCACTGGCCAGATGATAGTCAGGTCACAGGGCCGTAATAAGCGATTCTATCAAAAACTTTCTCCACAAGGTGGTGACATATTCTTTTCAATAATTCTGTTTATTCCTCACAACTTCACATGTCACGTAATTTACGTGCGAAGTATTTTCAAAACCTAAATGGCTCCACGAGGATTATTATAACAATAAGTGTCTTGCCGACTAGCAATAATGAAGCCAGTATGAGTTGACTGAACTATTTTACTGTGCTCAGAAATTCGGCACTCTTCTAACCGATATTAGTAATAAAATAACCCTGATATAGAACATAGGTCTAAGGAGTCGTTTCTGAGCGCGCGAATCGAACTACGAGATGTGTTGGACGTTTTTCAGCAGTGCGTGTTCGCATTCAGATTTGATCTTTTTCCTTGTCATCCGAATGTCCTATTAAGCTTTCCACAGGAGGTCAGCATAAATATTCAAGAACACTGTTTTTCTGTTTATCGAACATATTATCCTCACGACTTTATCATCACTCTTTGCTGATTTTCTTTTAGTTCAGACTCGTTTTAGAGAGAACGGTTAGCCTTGTAGAGGCGCTATATAGTTAGGTTTTATCCAAAAATTCTGGCGCTTAAATTTATCTAATTATTCCAAAAAACGGCGAAGCTTATGAAACTGGCCTTGATTTGCATAAAAATATCGCTTGTTGAATTTTCTGACAGATTATGTTGGCCTGGTTTTGTCTAAGAGGCGCGTTAATTATATTAACTTACGATTACTATTTTTCTGTCCATTTTAAATCATTGTTAGCTGTGCGCCATGAACATACGGTCGCATTTTTCTAAACTCCATCATCAAAAAAGTTACTGATTTTTCTGATCGACTTTTGTTCGTGCTGGTCTGTTTTGCATGTTTTATTGATTAGATTTTGTCGCGCTCTCCTAATTTTGTGATCCAAAATAAATCAATCGTCAAAACGTTCAATCTTGTTTTTCAAGTGTTTACCCAAATTTACTCGTGGCTTGTTTTACCACGCTATTATTATCTTCATAGCTGGAGGCGTTTTCAATCCTCTAATGAGTTTCACTGCTGTCTTGCTGCGAGCTTTCAGAAATGATTACAGGTTATAATTATTCGGTTGAGGGGCCCATCACTTTGTTGCGCGAAGTCTTTTCTTTAGGTAATTGTTCTCTACTTTCGATAACAATCTTTGCACTGCAGACCAACGGTTTTATCTAAACCGATTAATTAGACTTCAAGGACCTTGAGATTGCAATCATTAAGAAAACATTGTTGCTCCTAATTGAATGATGTAGTTTGTTGCGTTCAAATAAACATTTTGGTGACATTTTAAGTTTGTTCAAACGGCAGCCATTCGCAATGATGGACAACTTAACTGAACCACATTAGAATAGAATAAGGGCAGCTAAAGTATCATTCAAGCTGCGTTGAGAGGGTCTTCAGTCTCTCACGAGAGCCTCTCTTCTTGAGCCCGACTCAGAGAGGAATTTGCGTCCTGCTCGTATAGGATATTTCAGCCGGTAAACTGTTCACATGGCTAACTGCCGCTGGAGGCAGTTTTCTTAATTAACAAAGAGTGCATAAAAGTTGTAATATTTCTGTGTATTGTTCCGGCGAGTGAAGGTAGGCGTGAGGCGCGGCGAGTGTAATAGCTCGCCCAAAACAAAAAACGCAAAAAGAAAGAAACAGACTTTTCAGTGGTTCGAGATAGCAAGGCGTGACATTTGGAGCTCTCTTATCAGAAATTACATGGCTCTAATTGAAAAAAACGTGTAATACGTGTAAATAGACTCAAGAATCCCGTGATGTAGTGTACCTCTAACATGTAATTGAGTGACAACAACCTATGTAGGAAAACCTCCCTATTGCCTATATAGAGTTAATTCGCTTAAGTCGGCGAGCGAGTTGAAAAGAAGTCGGTCAACTGCCGCTTTCCTCCGAGCCAGGGTTAACATATTAAACATTAACTATTTTAAAATTGCAAAACGGTTTTTTTGAAAAGATTGGCTTTATCTAGAAGTATTAGCTTTGTATACCAACTCTTCTGAATATATTGTGAACTCCTTCAGTTCTCCTGCAAAGTTGAAGCGAATTAGTCGAGCAATATTCTGATCCTCAAATACTGTGTATCTTCCAATATTTCCCTTAAAACCAGAAATTTTCGCTTTCCTCTAGGTATTGGAAGGTTCTCAAGAGTGGCTGGAAAGCGCGTCAAAAGAATGCTACTATTCTCGAATTCGCAGCGTTTCTTGGAGAATGGCGTGACATAAGCATGCTGAGACTTCTTCAAGCTTTTCTAGAATCTGCCCCTCAACTTATTCTTCAACTCTACATTTTACTGAAACGACCACGCCTTCAAGAAAACTTTGAACTTTTTATCGCTGCTACTGCAGCTTGTTCATTGATATCGTTGGTGTGGGCCATTCTCGCTTACAGTAAATCGTTAAGAGACTTTAGAACACAAGGTTATATCCTGTCAGCAGCAGGTTTGTTATTCCAAGTACTGTGGCGGTTCTCTACGGTGACATCTCGTGTGGTTGCCATGGTTCTTTTTGCATCGTACTTCAAACAATGGCTGTTTGTTGCGGTGGGCGCACATTGGCTAATGATGACAATGTGGTTGATCTGTCAGCGGACTCGCTTTTGTACAGACGAAGACGGAACAGAGCACCCTTTCAGGGAGAAACTGTTTAGTGCGGCTATTGGCTTTATGTACATCTTTTGCTTCTTCAACACGAGAGAAGGCATGACTAGGAAGCGTATTATTTTGTTTTACTCCATTATGTTGGTAGAGAACTCTCTGTTCGTGTCTATGTGGTTTCCCCACAGAACCTTTCGCGGAACAATGGCTGTAACAGCGTTAGGGGCAGTGTGGGGCGGATTTGTATTTGGTTTGATTAGCATGATTTTATATTATCGATTCTACCATCCAAGTTTACCAATTCAAGGAATATTTATACAAAAGAGAACTTTCGATGTTGAAGGACAAGTGACTCATTCGTGGTTTTGTTGTTTTTGTTGTCGAATAAGGAAATCCACGAAGACGAGTACTGGAGAAGATCGTGATGCGGCCGAGGGTTTAATACGAAACGTAAATCGCAGTGTAAACCATCATGCTGCTTGTCAAGAACTATCGCCTCCTCAGTCTCAAGATGGCTCGCATATCACAGGAAACCCACGTCGGTTCATGTCGGGTTTAGACTCTAATCAGGTCCTTGTTCACAGTACACCCATACGACCATTAGGCACGTGCAGTTCGTACGCCAATCATCCACTGGTTACAAGCCGCGTGCCGAGAATCCTGGTTACGGGAGCGACCCCTGAAGTGATGAGTCCGAGAGATTCTGTTTCAAACTCTTCTCTTGTCACTCTGAAGGAAATTGAAATGGAAACGCTCGATAATCTCGGGCAGCGTCCAGATCTTCCCGTGAGCAACAGTGACCTTTCCTCTACTATTGCTGGAGAGACAGAAAAAGTAAATCCTAGTGCAGGTAAGAAAAACTGCTCTGCTAGACGAGAGCTTGGTTTCCATGACGACGTAACCTGCACCTCACCAAAAAGTCCGACCGCCGGAGAGATTATCAGCTGGTATCATCCTGTCCCAACCTGCGAGGCTTCCTCCGATGCCGAAGAAGACAGGGCTGAAAAGATTAACTATGGCTCGTTGAGTTTTGGTAATCGATACAGTCTCGTGTCGTCCGACTGTATTTCGTTGTCATCCGAAAGTTCACAAAGTTCGGTAGATAGCATAATGTTTGCGGATGAGGGACCGGGCAGTTCTGGAGTGCATATGAAGAAGATGCTCTCGCCTGAACTCACACCGAGACCAGCAGACGAAGGAATTTTTTCCGATGAGCGGGACTCGCCTTCAAAATCGATCACTATTGAAGACGCTGACATCATGTCTGAAGCTTCTACACCACAGAACCCCAACGTTAATAATCAATTTCCTGTTTTGGTCGAAGACAGCCAAGCAGATACATTCAAAAGAGTCCAGTCCCGAGAAAGAACGAATGAATGGATTTTGTCTTCTTCTAAACCGATTGATGACTCTTACAACTTGGTTGAGTTGTTAATGGACGCTCCATCATCACCATCGAATAAACTGAAAAGCAGAACCAGAGAAACAGGGAACATTTTGTCATCTAAGGAAAGAGAATGCACTGAAAATAAACCTGACTGTACTGGGGAAGGATCTGGGTCTGAGAGACTGGATGGACACGAAAGTGAGTCAACCGACGCAAGTAGCGACAGTTTTAACTTTAGAAATCGTCATCGTTCGTGCGATGAGATTGAGACTGGAACGAATTATGCCCTCTTCTCCCCGGATGACATCAATAAGCGGCATACCTTTGACTTTTCGCAGTTATCGAAAGGCCCGAGGTCTCCACGGCGAAGACGAGACAGGAAATATCGTCGCTCAAAGAGGAAGGAGTTTGATAACTTTGTTGTGACTTCTCTGAAGCCAGGAAAATACGGTTCACTTCGGCGATCAATGGAGCGTCTGGCTAGAATACAAGAGGACATAGAAGAAACTTTTCTATTGAATGCCGAAGCCGCTTTGAATTCCTGTATTCCTGAAGTCGAGGCACTCTCTTCGCCCATGGAAGACGCAGTGAATTTATACACGAAAACTACAAATGAAACTAATATAGCAGAAAAAGCCGTGTGCAGTGCGCATGATTCAAACCCACGTAGGAGTGATCTGCTAGAAAACGCAGCCTCATTGTCTGCCAGAGAAAGCTTTAAGAGGCGAAAGCGCTTGAAAAGATTCCTCTCTAAAGAATTAGTTCCTGGGAAATTCTCTTCAGTGAGACATTCCAGCGAAAGTTTGCAATCAGTAGAACGATTTGATAGATTCCAAAAAAATGGCGATGCTGACAAAGGGCTGTCATCCACTGTGTCCGCTGATTATTTGGCCTGCACTCGTCATGTTAGTGGTAAAAGTCAAAGAGTAAACGGTGGAGGTTGGAGGAAAGAATTTCAGAGCCAAACGGTCAGTCTGCCTGATGTACTTCTTTCCACTGGAAGGAAAATTGAACCCGAAGTTATTAAGAAACGAAATCCCGAGAATAGTCGGGTAAAGAATACTCTGGATGGTATTGTTATTAAGAACTTAGAGATCAGTAAGCATCACACGGGCTCGGTTCACAACAAAAGACATACTTATGATTTCACTGACAACTGTGCTGCTCAGACGGAGGTACAGGAAAGGTTGTTTAGCGTAGAGAATGACAGAAGGGCACCGGAAGTACGTCACAAGTGCCAGCGTAGGTGTCAGTCAGAGGTTTTGATTGGCGCGAGAAACTCTTCTGTTTATGTATAAAGGACAATCAGAAATTTTAACCCGCGACCTTATCTGACATTTTCAAGTCTCACCGAAATCTCGACAAATAGGTGATTCTTGATTAGTTGTCTTTTACTTCATGAGTTTTTTGCCTTCACTAGGTGTTCTAATTACATAATTTTTGCTCCTTCCTGTTAAGCGTTTGGAACTGCTTAGTCGATAGCTTTTACGACGATTTGTTTCGTATAGTACATTCATTAGACTTCTAATCACAGACTTCAGTGAATTTTTTTTGAGTTATCTTATGTTTGTAATGAAGAAAAACCAGATTTAAGTAAACCTGTCCTCTTTAATAAACATAATTATTTTCGGATTGAGATTATTTGGAAAATTTTTTTTATAGAAATAGAAACCAGTCGAAAAAGCGTATTTAAAGTGGTTAAAACGATTAAAGAGAAACATTAATAAAAGTATAGCTGATAGCTGTTTAAAGGGGGATTTTTGGATTATTAATTTGTCAAGTTACACAATATGCAGCTTGTGTTCATTTGATTTCGGTTAACTTTGACGTGTGTTTTTTTTTTGTTCTCACCTTTTGGTTAGGTAACGTGTAAGTTTGTAGATGATGCGTTCTCGAATATTTATTGACTTCACGGATAAAGGTCACCTCTGGCTGTTATGAAATAGTCCGATTTGCAATTTAAACGCAATTTTTTTTTATATATCACGAGAAGCATTAGCCTTCTAGTAACTTGTAACATATCTGAAAAATAGAGACCGGACTACTCTTGTAATTGTGATTGACGAATAAATCCATTGTTTGTTGATCAGCTTTTGATCTAGTCGCAAACATCTGGTGTTTCTGCGAGTCCTTTATATAGTTTGAATCAACTGTCACCACATTTCACAATAAACTTAATGGTTCTTTTACTTTTGAGGAAAAGACCCTAATTTATTTAATATAATGATTTAATGAAGACGTGGTACTGTCGCCGGCACTTAATCGTGATACTGGTCTTTAAACGTGGGTGGAATAGTTTTTGCTTATTGCTCGATTACTGCCCGTCAGTTAGACTCTAGATAAAGTCTACGTGTAAATTGTGCGCGGAAGTCACACGAGCCTCGCACGAGCCTCGCACGCTTTATAGCATGCCCTAAATGTGCGTTCGTGGCACCAGCGAAAAAAAACTCACGCACTGCTTGTTTTGCAGTCCAATATTTGCTTACTGTTACGTTTTCCAAATGCATGTAGTTGGTACTTTTAATCGAGCTGCGTCACGAATTGTATATCTTGAAAAACTTACTAACTGTAGTATTTATCAAAGCCTTGTTGCCTTGCAGTGTCTTCTCTAGAGTCAGTCTCCTCAGCTAACATTTCAAGGTTTCCTTCTCTTTTAAGGTGGTTGTCTTTAATGATACAAAATACGCAAAAAAATGTTCTAAAGTAGCTTCTTTGAACGAAAAAGAGAAAGCTTGATTTTAAGACTTGGTGTTTGTGAGGCTAAGGAGAGTCACTTGAAAGTTTTTTACATATTTCTATTTTTTATTTTGTCTTGCTCCCACTAAATACTTTTAATACATATTCGCGGAGAAACTTTATAGAAAATAACATTGAAAACAAAATTCTTGCCACACAGGTCGTCACAAAAGACCCATTCTCTAGTTCTTCACTTGATTTGCTTCTATTTCTATTTTTTTGAGAAAATAAAAGAACAAAATAATTGAATAGTTTAGTTAGAACTCTTTATGTAAAGTAAATTCTTGTCATTTTGTTTCCTCTTTCGTGTTTTTTTTTCTCACCGACTAGGAAGTTTATACTTTTTTGAAAGTCAAGGTAGTTCTTTACTATTTAAAAAAAGTGACTTAAGTAAAGAGGTCAAATAAAGTCTTTTCCTAGTGACATATCTGTTTGCCATGCTTGTTAATGATAAACACAAACTGAGAATAGTCCTCACCTTGCAGCAGATATTTTTTGTCTTTCTTCGATATTTTCCTAATTTCAGTTGGCAGTTCGGACACAAGTGCTCCACATCTTGGAAACGTTTCCATAGAAACGGTACGAGACAGCAACCTCCAAAGCATCCCAGAAAGCACAGAGCCACTGCAAAGAGTAAAGTCAACTTACCAGCCTTATACGTCACCATGGTCATCACGTGATTCTTGCAAGAGCCACAGAAGGTGTAGAGCGACTCATCTTTGAAATCTTCGCGATCATCGATGATGAAAGATGAGTTGTGGAGTTGTGGAATGTCCGGGGGATTTTCTCCATCACTATCGGCCTTGCTGGCCAAGTTTCGTTGAGATGCTACTGAGGGATCAATAATTAAAGATGAAGTGAAACTTTTTTCATATTCGAAAAATTGAAAATAGGAATAATGGTGTAATGAAATAATCATTGTAAAATTTAACATGTGATTCCAATGCTTCATACCAAGGATGATGCGATCGGTTTTTAGTTGCATCTCTTTTCATGGGGTCGTGACATATATTTCCCGTCCTTTTTTTACGGTTATTCCTATTTCATCACATTCTGCTCATTTCATTCCCATTAAAGTATATTTAGACTACCATCAACCGAACAATTTCTTCTCGTTACACAATTTTCAGTTTTAAAACACTTCGTGGCCTTAAAAAGAATTGGTGTATGAAAATCAACGTCTACTGAGCGCAATGTTTCTTGTGGAAACGCTGAGTTTAACTGATGTTTTCGTTATGCAATGTTTCAGGGAGATCTACATTGATTCTTTTCGGTGTGAATGGAGAGAAGGTGGAAAAAAGTTGTTCAAAAAACTTGATGAGAGAAATTTAGAAAATCCCTGCTTACCTGGTATTTGGACACTTGACTCACTTACTGAGGCAGGACTTGGCGAGTGCATGGTGATCGAAAGTACTTGGCGTGTCGATATCAAAGACTGTTCCAGCCGTTCTCAGAAGGTCCCCCGTTGCTCAGGGAACCGATGACGTACTGTAGCGTTGGCAATGCTGGGCACTTAAAAGATTTCCATGTGCGAAAATCCATTGTCAGCTCGTCCTAAGTTGCTTGGAATAATGATATTTCAGTGACTGGTAGATGAAAAGGATAGGAAAGAACAGCAACAACCACAACAACCATTCGTCTGTTGATGGGAGTGTTCCTTTTTTTTTTTTTAAAAAACCTCCGCTGACATGTTAACTTATTACAGCTTCTGTTATGTAAATATAATTTAAGTTTATGCACGTACGAAATGGTAAGAATTTTGACCCAGACGTCTAAAGTGCAGTGTATTACTGTCGAATTAATGTCGTCATCGTTCAACAAAGGGAAACGTTGACGTCATGACGAGCTGGGTTATTTTTAGTGATTCATCCTGAAGTTGGCCATAGAATAATAACAACTTACTAAGAAAAAACCCAGAAGCGCAAACCAGGAGGAGAAACAAAGATTGAAAAAAATTGAAAGCGAAAGTATTTTACAGAATTGGAAAATTAACCTATGGCGCTAGTTTTTGTAAAACTAGATAATTTGTTGTTATCAACTGAGTTCGAGCTAACGCTCGAAACGTCTGCTAAGAAACTCTTTACGGTGGCCATTTTACATTGACTACATTATCAACTCAGTTGATAAAACCGAGTTATCTTTGTGCACTCCCCCACCGACGCAGCACCTAAGTTTCTTTAGAAACTTACCCCATATTCATTAGTTTTTGTAAATGTTGTGAAAGAACGTGACAAGCTGGCATCACTTGCGTGACGGCTGGTGCTGACGTGGAAACTGGGAGAGACCTGGTAACTAACTGTGTACATTGACTTGGCTACTAAGCTCGCTTAGAGAAACAAACAGTTAAACCGAAACACACGAATCTGGAGTGTTTAGACTTGGGTTGTTAGCTTCCAAAATGTCTCAGGCTAACGGTAACAAGGAATTTAGCATGACTAAAGAGGTGGGGTAGTTATTCTTGAAAATGTATTGATGGAAAATAAGGCTGTGTTCCTCAGTTTTGTTGCTACTTGAATCGAGAGAATTGTTTGCTCGTGTTCAGCTAATCGAGCCTGTCGTTACAGACCCAAACGTTTTCCAGTCTTTTTCTTCTCAACATAAAGTTGCAGGTGGTATCTCAACGCCCTTTGTGGAAATATAATCTCCTTTTTAAAGCTCAAATTATTGTAGAATATTTTCCAGATTTTATGCGACTTTAAAAAGTCATTTGATTCTTCAGGTTTTGACTAATAATGATGCACAGGCTAAATTGTTGCAAGAGATATTGCCAAGTGATCAGTAGACTTGCCTTAACGGTTCAATTTGCTGGACGTAAATAAATGGGGAGGTTTTGAACTTCTAAATGCATAAAAGTTGCTACTAAGTTCCTTTTAGAGGGTGGTCTTTTATAGGTGCTTTCTTTTGAAAAAAAAATACATAGGAGATTCAATGATAAAAATTTTGTGCACTAACTGAAAATTTTAAGCATCGTTAGAGGATTTTGGAGGTTTTTTTTGTTCTCAAATGTGTCAAAACATAGCTTTTAAGCCCTATAACTACTTTTTTGAACTCTCTGAGGAGGTTTTTTTTTTCTTTTTTAAATCAGAAAGAATCACTTAGATATATCAATCAGCAAGTAGCAAAATTCTGATGCTGTGTGCTGCTCATTAGTAATTTCTTAAATGAATTTTAAAATTGCAAAACTGTAAGAATGCAAGGAGCTTGTCAGACTTCCAGTTTGTGATTTAACTGCATGTAAATTGCACTCTGTAGCAGAATACTTCACTTGGTGCAGTATTATGGGGTTCTTGCTCATCCCTCTACCAGCATGTTGATTTGTTTTAAATCACTAAGGTTTAAGCCATCATTTGCTAAATGTATTTCCATTTTGTCCTGGGCTATGTTGCAATTGGCAAGCTTGTTGAGGGTTAAACAATGTCTAATTATTTCATGGTCCTCAACACTTCTCTTTTGTCCAGTTACACTTAATTTTTTGAGGTCTATGGTGCTTGTCAAATGTTGTCTTTTTCAGAAGACCTCTGTGAGCTAATAAAATTTTTCCATCTAGGAACTTGATAAATTTGAAAAGGCCCTGAAAGATAAAGAGTTTCGAAAATTGCTTGTGGAATATGCTCAAGAGATATCAGATCCAGAAAATAAAAAGGTAAGTTGGTAGAATCACAAGCAGACTCTATTTAAGGTAGAAAATGTGTTACTTGCAATTAAATTTTAATCTGTTTTTAGTGTTAATTGGTGCAAACTGTGGTTGAAGTATGTAACAATAAAAGTCTTTCTATTTTGTAAACTGTGGTGTTAGTAATGATTTCTAGTCCTGAAAAAAGGTGTGACTGTTAAGGTGCAAAAATTACAACAATTTTTTATGCAAGTATGATATTACCAATCAGCTGCTGACATGTCACTCACCTTTTGTGATACTTTGTCTAATTGATGACTACAAAGCATTCACCATTCTCAATCTAAGATTGTTTGCAGGATTTTCTTGATGCAATAAGCAAAGTGATACATTATTGCTTGTCATTATGGAATTTCTCTTGGGTTCATCATATCTTATTCATTTGCTGTGTTCACTCATGCCCTCATGTACTATTCTCCATTTACTTATCTACCATGTAATTGCAACATAATACAATACGATGCACATTTTGTGATATTACCTTTTCTGTGATGTAATTCTGCCATGTGCATTTTCTGCTATTCCCCATTTGTTTCAGGAAACCAAGGTAAGATTACAGATATACAACATTCCTCCCCTCTTAAACACAAAGTTCACAAATATATATTCTTGTAGAAATATGAAGAAGAAATAGCACAGATGGAGAAGATGAGAGGAATGGATGTGAAGTTTGTTAATCCTGAGGTACAAGTTTGGAAATTATTGAAATTATGTGAATAACTTAGATCTATCCTACATATGCCAAGAGGTTTTGCCAACATAGCACGCATCACAGAAAGACCCTATGGGTTCCGTATGTGTGTGGTTTACAAGTTTTTATGTGCGGGCTGTAATGCCTGTTATGTTGGTGAAACCTATTGGCATTTATCCATGTTCATTTGTTTAGTACGTTAGTACCTTAGTATTAGGTAAATTCATCAGGGCTTGTTCTTCATTTGTTTAGTGCGCTAGTGCGTTAGTACCTTAGTACTCGGTGCGGACAACTCATCACGGCTTGTTCTTCATTTGTTTAGTGCGCTAGTACGTTAGTACCTTAGTACTCAGTAAAGACAACTCATCATGGCTTGTTCATCATTTGTTTAGTGCGCTAGTACGTTAGTACCTTAGTACTCGGTACAGACAACCCATGACGGCTTGTTCTTCATTTGTTTAGTGCGCTAGTACGTTAGTACCTTAGTAATTGGTACGGACAACTCATGACGGCTTGTTCTTTATTTGTTTAGTGCGCTAGAATGTTAGCTGTAGTACTCGGTAGGGAAAACTCATCACGGCTTGTTCTACATTTGCTTAGTGCGCCAGCACGTTAGTACCTAAGTACTTCGTACAGACAACTCATGACGGCTTGTTTTCCATTTGTTTAGTGCGCTAGAACGTAAGGACCGTAGTACTCGGTAGGGAAAACTCATCACGGCTTGCTCCTCATTTGTTCAGTGTGTTAGTACGTTAGTACCTTAGTACTCGGTACGGACAACCCATTACGGCTTGCTCTTCATTTGTTTAGTGCGCTAGAATGTTAGGACTGTAGTACTCGGTAGGGAAAACTCATTACGGCTTGTTCTTCATTTGTTTAGTGCGCAAGTGCGTTAGTACCTTAGTACTTCGGTACAGACAACCCATGACGGCTTGTTCTCCATTTGTTTTGTGCGCTAGAACGTTAGGACCGTAGTGCTCGTTAGGGAAAAATCATCACGGCTTGTTCTTCATTTGTTTAGTGCGCTAGAACGTTAGGACCGTAGTACTTGGTACGGAAAACTCATGACGGCTTGTTCTTCATTTGTTTAGTGCGCCAGTGCGTTAGTACCTTAGTACTTCGGTTCAGACAACTCATGACGGCTTGTTCTCCATTTGTTTAGTGCGCTAGAACGTTAGTACCTTATTACTTGGTACGGACAACTTATGACGGCTTGTTCTTCATTTGTTTAGTGCGCTAGTACGTTAGTACCTTATTACTTGGTACGGACAACTTATGACGGCTTGTTCTTCATTTGTTTAGTGCGCTAGAATGTTAGAACCGTAGCACTTGGTAGGGAAAATTCATAACGGGTTGTTCTTCATTTGTTTACTGCGCCAGTGCGTTAGTACCTTAGTACTTCGGTACAGACAACTCATGACGGCTTGTTCTCCATTTGTTTAGTGCGCTAGAACGTTAGGACCGTAGTACTCGGTAGGGAAAACTCATCACGGCTTGTTCTTCATTTGTTTAGTGCGCCAGCCCGTTAGTACCTTAGTACTTCGGTACAGACAAGTCATGACGGCTTGTTCTCCATTTGTTTAGTGCGCCAGTACGTTAGTACCTAAGTACTCGGCTCTGACAACTCATCACGGCTTGTTCTTCATTTGCTTAGTGCGCTTGTACCTTAGTACTCGATACAGACAACTCATCATGGCTTGTTCTTCATTTGTTTAGTGCGCTAGTACGTTAGTAACTTAGTTCTTGGTACGGACAACTCATGACGGCTTGTTCTTCATTTGTTTAGTGCGCTAGAATGTTAGGACCGTAGTACTCGGTAGGGAAAACTCATCACGGCTTGTTCTTCATTTGTTTAGTGCGCCAGCACGTTAGTACCTTAGCACTTCGGTACAGACAACTCATGACGGCTTATTCTCCATTTGTCTAGTGCGCTAGAATGTTAGGACCGTAATACTCGGTAGGGAAAACTCATCACGGCTCGTTCTTCATTTGTTTAGTGCGCCAGCACGTTAGTTCGTTAGTACTTCGGTATAGACAACTCATGACGGCTTGTTCTCCATTTGTTTAGTGCGCTAGAATGTTAGGACCGTAGTACTTGGTACGGACAACTTATGACGGCTTGTTCTTCATTTGTTTAATGCGCCAGTACGTTAGTACCTTAGTACTCGGTACCGACAATTCATGACGGCTTGTTCTCCATTTGTTTGATGCACTAGGACGCTAGGACCGTAGTACTCGGTACGAACAACTCATCACGGCTTGTTCTTCATTTGTTTAATGCGCCAGTACGTTAGTACCTTAATACTCGGTACCGACAACTCATGACGGCTTGTTCTCCATTTGTTTAATGCACTAGGACGCTAGGACCGTAGTACTCGGTACGAACAACTCATGACGGCTTGTTCTCCATTTGTTCAGTGCGCTAGTACGTTAGTACTGTAGTACTCGGTATCGACAACTCATGACGGCTTGTTCTTCATTTGTTTAGTGCGCTAGTACGATAGTACCGTAGTACTCGGTACGGACAACTCATTACAGCTTGTCCTTCATTTGTTTGGTTTTACTAGTGCGTTAGTACTTTAGTATTCAGTACAGACAACTCATGACGGCTTGTTCTTTATTTGTTTAGGGCGGTAGTACGTTAGTACTTTAGTACTCGGTTCGGTTAACTCATCTCGGCTTGTTCTTCATTCGTTTAGTGCGCTAGTTCGTTAGTACCATAGTACTTCAGTACTCTGTACTGACAACTCATCACAGCTTGTTCTTCATTTGTTTAGTGCGCTAGTAGGTTAGTACCGTAGTACTCAGTACTGACAACGCATGACGGCTTGTTCTCCATCTGTGTAGTGTGCTAGTACGTTAGTACCTTAGTACTCGGTAGTGACAACTCATCACGGCTTGTTCTCCATTTGTTTGGTGCGCTAGTAAGTTAGTACCATAGTACTTGGTACAGACAACTCGTGACGGCTTGTTCTTCATTTGTTTAGTGCACTAGTACGTTAGTACTGTAGTACTCGGTACGGACAACTCATGACGGCTTCTTCTTCATTTGTTTAGTGCGCTAGTACGATAGTACCGTAGTACTCGGTACGGACAACTCATCACAGCTTGTCCTTCATTTGTTTGGTTTTTAGTAGTGCGTTAGTACCGTAGTACTCAGTACAGACAACTCATGACGGCTTGTTCTTTATTTGTTTAGGGCGGTAGTATGATAGTACTTTAGTACTCGGTTCGGTTAACTCATCACGGCTTGTTCTTCATTCGTTTAGTGCGCTAGTTCGTTAGTACCATAGTACTTTAGTGCTCGGTACCGACAACTCATCACGGCTTGTTCTTCATTCGTTTAGTGCGCTAGTTCGCTAGTACCATAGTACTTTAGTACTCGGTACTGACAACTCATCACGGCTTGTTCTTCATTTGTTTAGTGCGCTAGTAGGTTAGAACCGTAATACTCGGTACTGACAACTCATGATGGCTTGTTCTTCATTTGTTTAGTGCGCTAGTATGTTAGTACCTTAGTACTCGGTAGTGACAACTCATCACGGCTTGTTCTCCATTTGTTTGGTGCGCTAGTATGTTAGTACCTTAGTACTTGGTACAGACAACTCATCACAGCTGGTCCTTCATTTTATTTGATTTTACTAGTGCGTGAGTACTGTAGTGCTCAGTACAGACAACTCATGATGGCTTGTTCTTTATTTTTTTAGGGCGCTAGTACCTTAGTACTGTAGTACTGGGTACAGTTGACTCATAGCTTGTTCATTTATTTGGTGTGCTAGTACGTTATTACTTTAGTACGGACGACTCATTACTTGTTCTTCATTTGTTTAGTGTGCTAGTACGTTAGTACCACAGCACTCGGTACGGATGACTCATGTTATCAACTTATCTTTTTCTTAACCGATTATTTCATTAATTAATAATTCTTAGCACAGATGTAGATAAACAGATAAAAGAAAGATAAAGTTTTCAGGCTGCTAATGGGCAAGAACAGTACAAGGATTAAAAAAGCAAAATAAATAAGTCTGGTCGAATCAGCTTAATTTTAATAGTACCTTAATCACCCATACTAAGCAGAAAAACTAGAAAAAAGATTCCTATTTTGGGCATGGTATCATATTTTCGTACAATGTCGCATTCTATGTTCAGATGAGTGTTCAATAACATCTTAGCTCATACTTCTTAAAATCAAAGAAGCTATTCACATTCAATGGGAGCAACCTACAGTTAATAATAAACTTTATCATGTTAATTTAAAACTTTTTTCATAATTGCATACATTATTAAATGTCTCTATTGTTTGTTTTGTCCAATGAACATTTTATTATACACTTTAAATTAATTTTGTACTTTGTATAAATCAGAACTGAAGATGACAGAAGAACTGTTGAAATATGTTTCTAACAAATGTCATATATTTTCTTAAATTATTTTCAATTTACCTTTTAAAAATCCTGAAGGGGCATTTTTATGATCTGTAAAAGGTTAAAAAAGCAGATCCTTAGGTTTTGTTGGGATCTAAAGGATTTTTATAAGACTTTGCTGGGATTTTGAAGGTATTTGCAACTTTGATTAAAAAAACTTGGAGTTGTAGTGCTATTGATGTTATTCTTCCTACTATCTTGTTTATATATCACAACTAAGACTGAAGTGGAAATCTAGGGATCATTATAGGTTTGAATTTGGTATAGTGGTGTGTATACATTGAAAACTATTACAAGGGTCACTTTTAAGCCATCAGGTTAAAAAGTACCTCAGGTCAGCAAATATGTGGTGTGATAACTTTATCATGTGTTTAGATTTCATTCTTGCATTTTGTTTACAGGATGGTTATGTTGTAAAAACAACAGATCTTGGGAGTGGTATCAAAGTATTTGTCAACATTTCCTTGAATCAACATATTGGGGAAGCATCTTCACAATATACTGAAAGAGAGGAGAATGGAAAGAAGTAAGTGGTTTGCATATTACAGTTATTTCTAAGTCAGAAACTTGTTGAGTTGTGTCCATTGACATCCAAGTGGATTACACTTGAACCTCAAATGGGAGACATGTAAGGAGTCAGTGCTAAGTGTCTCCTGGAATGGACTTGTTCACTCAGAGAATTTTTGTTTGAGTCAAGATCAAAATTTTTGTCCTTTGAACAGAGTTTTCCTATCAAAGTTACTTACTAACAGTGTGTAAAACTTGTTCATTATGTGCAGAGGTTGGATTCATTTTATTTTGTATTCTCTACATCTCTTCAAGCCTGTACATTCTGTTTGGTATTCCATCTTTTGCATTTAAATATCAGTGTCACCTTCACCCATCTTCTGTAAGCCGTGTGATTAATAACAAGGCCTTTGATTGTCATAGAACTGACACAAATAGTGGTGTAAACTTTTGAGTTTTCAAATATTTTTTTTTCTGTTTTGTTAGAGAGACCTTTTGTAATTCATACTTTGTAATCTTTGGTGCACATCTCCAACTGATGCCATTCTTAACTATTTTCAAATGTAGGAGAGCTGGCTATCAGTGGAATATTCCTTACAGCTTATCACAACCCAGAGAGGATGTTGATAGAGGTATGGTGTGGAAGAATGTTTCCATTAAGCCCTGAAAAGTGATGTCTTTGTACTTGAGCTTATCTCTAGAGAATACAAGTGTATTGACCCTTTAACTCCCAAGATCTGAATGTAAATTCTCTGTTCAAGCTACTATACATTTCATTGTTAATAAGTTGTGAGAATAGGGTGTTAGATTAAGTTAACAACTTCTATCTGATAAATTTGAGTATTCTTATTACCTGTTTGCTATAGAATGTATGGATATAATGAGGAGAAGTTATATGTTAATCACTTGTGGGAGTTAAAGGGTTAAGGTTGATGTTCAATCTCAGATCTGTTATTGTTCATTTGGTGACCATTGCTTGTGCTTCATATAAAAAATAACCCGAATTTAAAGGAGAAGTTGAAAAAATTGGTCAGTCAACATTTTATTGTATTTTCATGTGCATAGAGAGGATTGAAGCAGCTACAGTTCTCCATTATTTATTGTGTTTTATCAAGCTAGTTGCCTAATCTTCAGCAAAGGTCTCAGGCTTTTAGCCATTTGAAACTATATCTTGGCAAATAATTGAACAACACTTGGTGTTGTTGTCTGTGCAGATGAATTTCTTTTGATTCAAGTCCTTGTATGTAATTTGTTACATGTAGCTGGCAAGCCCTGTACTGTGTATGATGCCATATTCCATCCAGACACTTACAAGAAAGGTCAAGAGGTGTGATTGAGCTCCTTAAGATATCAAACAATTTTTTATGTCAATGTTTCAGTGATCAAAGATTGCCAGATCACAGGTGAAGATGACAAACATCCCATGCTATCCTTCATTAGATATGAATTTATTTCTACAATCTGCTAGTACTGTAGCTCATAAAATATTCTATGCTTAGATAAGACCCTTGAAGAACATATTGCATGATCACTCACTCCTAAGAAGCAATGAATGTCCAAAGTAATACTTGTAATTTTACATAAACACATGAAGCTACTTGAGAAAAACCCAAATTGATTCTGTATAAAATTTCTAATGATAAGAGACAGTGCCAAGATGTTTGCTATCTTGATAGGGCCTGTGACAAAAGTGGAAGGAGTTTGTCAAGAGAAAAGGTCACTTTCTGTGATGATCTAATAGAGTTAGATGTAAAGGAGTTAATTATGATTTTATGTATTAATTAGGACAAGAGATTTAAACAGTTGATGATTGACACTGCTTTAGATGGAATTCTGAGAGAGTTTAGAGCAAGACTGGACAAGAAAAGTGAGTACATTTAAAAACACACTGATAATGTTGCAACTGGTTCTTACTAATTATTCTTCTTATTATTAATTTAAATATTATTTTTATAGTCACTGTTTTGTTTCCTCAGAAACAAAGCGCATTTATTTTGTCTTCAGGTTGAGCTATTTACATGCAAGGGTGTAGTAGCCAAATAAAAATTTTTACAAAATCTAAACTTAATATCTTTTAGACCTTAAATTCCCAAAGATGAAGTTCAAGGGAGTTAAACAGTCTACAGTTATAAGAACAAAGACAAGTGAGGTATACTACATTATTACCAATTTTAGTCATAAATTTAATGTCAGCACAATCATGGCTGTTCAAATGGCTTACTTGTATATCCAAATAAGACTTGACTATATCAAACTTTTCTCTTCCGTTTCTCAGAGAAAAAACATCGTGACCATTACATAAGGATACGGTAGTCAATAATATACTATAAAGATACCATTACCCAGGAAATATTGTCATCATATTAACATGGGGTAGTATGCAAAATAAATTTTTGTCAATATTCCTCTGTATAGGTGCCTGAAGATTCAGCTGAGATGATGATTGGTGATGCAAAATTTCCATATCCCTATGGTGATGAACCAACAGTTGTGACCAAGGAGAAAAAACCAACAGTCAAGGATGGGCATAGACATAGAAAGAAGACGGATGAGCCCAGTGTACCAGAGTTTAGAATTGTGCATCGAGGGCTTATTGATCTTCAGAACTTCACAAATGCAAGGTGCTACTATGATCAGTATTAATTTTTATAATAGCCAGTGGAATACCAAAAAAAGCCATACCACCATTTTTTAAAACTGATTTGCAACTTTTTTATTTGAAATCAAGCTATAAAATTGCATAGTTTAAGTGTCAGTTGCAAAATTTGCACCGGAATTTCAAAGTGGGGGGCACACAGGGGTCACAGCCTCCCACTTCCTGTGCCATGTTCTCCTGTCCCCTGTACATTTGTGCCCCTCTGCCTCCCCGCTCCTGCCCTTCATTGTATTACTTCTGCCTTCAGGTAAATAAAAAGGATCAGAAAACTGGGTTTTTGGCAAACAGTGCCAAAACTTATCATTCATGATCATTCTCTGGCATTGCAGGGAGGGGAGGTAATTTTCTTAAGATGAACATTATTACAGGCTAGTTGTCACTGACCTGGTTATCAGAGTTAGACTATCAATTCTAGCATCTCACTATAGAGAAGAAAGTTGCAGCCCATTGTGTAATCTAATAGCTATTGCAGTTTCAAATGTGTATTTACTTGCATTTCAGAATCCCTTTTTTACTGGGATTATGCCATTTAGAAAGCATACCTGAAAGCAAAACGCAACCTTAAGAGTTCAGTACTTTTTACTAATTTTCACCAGTTTCACCAATTGCATATCCATTGCACAGAATTATGATATTCTCAAATCTTAAATTGTCATTTTGATTGTGCCACTATTATGGTCAGTAATAATAGATCACATCCAACCAACTTAGTGGCCCTCACTGCATGAAATGCTTGTATGCATAGACAAATGGAATGACAAATTACACTGTTATTGTAACACCCCCAATAAATTGTTAAATCACTAATATTTTTGAGCTCTGATCATGATGCGCCAATCACACCTATTGCTTCTAATTACATGCAAACCTGAAATGATTGTGAGACGGTTATCGTCTTCTACCATCTTCTGTAGTGTCAGGGCAAGAACTAAAAATATAATGTGCTTGTGGCTATAAGCCAGAAATCACAAAAGGAGAGAACTCGACTGTGTATCAAGTGTGAATGTCAAATTATGAAAATACTCCGAAAAAAAATGATCAGTAGTACTGGGAAACATAGGGTGAAAATTTGGTCAAGATTGGAATTCGATTGTTACACTCATTCCCACACCCACTCATCCTGACAACATATGTGGCTTTGCTTCTTATAGGAGGCAGTAGCCTCAATAAACAACAAACAAGTGTCTTTTTAATTTCTGCTCCCTCTTCCTGCCCCCTGTTCTCTTAGGGCTCGTGCCCTCCTGTCCCCTCTACTTCAAAGAATACCATCACCTGGAACTTGCAGTTGAAAAATACATTGTGGGCTGCATATACTTCTACCACTATCCTCTAATTATTCCTCATTTAGCCACCTGGGCTGAAAAAGTCAAATTCTTGTGTAGTTTGTGGAAGAGATCAGTAGCATTAAAATCTTCTTTCCTTATAAGTCATTGTCATAATTTGAATGCAGGGATTCTAATCCTACTACAAGACCTAAAGAACTTGTTGTCTACATTGACTTGCCATTGTTGGTAAGTTACATGTGCTGTTTTGTTTACTGGATTGAACCCTTAACTCTCACATGACTGTATATATATATCTTATATTTCATAAGTGGGAAAAACTATTCCATACTGCCACATATAAACCCCCTTTTTGTGATCCGCAGGAGTCTGCTGCACCTTTGGAGTTGGATATTCTTGAGAAACAGCTGGTGTTGGGTTGTGAGAAGCCTTGTTACAATTTAGACATATCCTTATTATTTATCAAAGAGCTACTGCCTCAGTCCTTGTACAATTTAAAGATTATGTGGAGTGAAATAGACATTATTAGTTGAGCAAATACATTCACTGGGGGATTCATCTGCACAAATAAGAAACACAGGCCTCAAGAGTAGTTCATCAAGACTTAGTGGAGAGTGTTTGGGTTCATAACCGTGACCATTCATTGTGTTTTTTAAGTGGGACCCTTTTCTCTCACCATGTCTCTTTCCACCTAGTTGTTTACATGGGTTCATGCAAAGTGTCGGGATGCTTGATAAATTGTTGGGAGGTTACTTGCAATAGACAAGCATCTTATGCAACTGGAAGCAAAGATAAACTCTTCCTGTAATAAGGGATTGAAACCAGTCAACTTAACCAATCACATTCATGTTACAGTGCAAGAAAAATGAATTTTGCCTTAATATGAAGCACATAGCACTTCCTTATCCAATAGATGAAGAAAATGGATCAGCTAAATTTGACATAAGCAAGAGACAGCTGACTGTTACTTTACCTGTATTACCAGCTACGGATATTCCTCAAATGGTGGGTATGGTTATTTATCTGTTCAGCAGTGCAATAGAATGTTAAGGAGGATCTACATACTGGTCAATCCTGGGCCTAGTGAGGAAATTGTACAACACCCTCACTGAAATCAGAAAATATGTGCACCCAAGGAATGGTCCCTGACTGACCACCTTTCTAATTTTAATATTTAATTATTAAATTTGTTAATTATGTATGAGTTAATTAGCCACTTGTGTATCTACATTTGAGTCACATGGATGCCTCTTGATACCCTGGTAAAAAACAGGTGAGCAAGTGTATTTGGATATCCAAACACAGGGAAAATCATAACCTTTGAACATACTCCCCTGCTTGAGTAAGGAGCATTTTCTCTTGCATGAGGCTAACAAATTTTGGAAAACATTAACAGCCCACCTATCTTAAGTTTGTACTGTGTACTTTTTGGCATTGAATTTTTGAGCAAAAAAAAAACTTTCTCCAGGCAACTTCCTGGTATTTGAAACTTGGAAGACTTTTCCATAGCTGCTTCTTCCATTCATCAAAATTGCAACTGAGAAGGTCCATGCAAACTGATGCCTCTAGTGAAAAAAGACACCAACCTTTCTTGAAACTGACTGGAAATATGTGCATAAATTATGTTAATGAAACAAAGGAAGCAAAAACCTGATAAATACAGTCATGAATTTTTGTTTTGTTAGTGGGTTTATTGTTCATGAATTTCTAAACACTTGAAAACAGTCATAGCACTTAGCCTTCTGCCTCACTTTTATCATGAATAGAAACCCTGATAAAACACTCAATCAATATGAGGTAAGAGAATATTTTAACAAAACACTGAAGAACATTTGTGACAGAAATTCACTTTGATTGAACTTAAAAATGAATTGGAAATTTTTCCCCCCAGTCCCCATTTACCTCTTGCTCTGGTAATGAGCAAGACAACAGAATGTCAGAGAAAATGCGAAAAACTGCACAGGGTTTAGCATTGCCCACCCCTAATTTTATTTGGTTTCCTTCAGGATGTGGGAATTGTTACAGGTGACCAAGTAGAAGATGAGCAATGTAGAAATGAGGAACGACCAAATTCACCCCAAACAAGCAACCAAGATGAAGAACTTTCATCTGGAGAACTTCAACAGCCCAAACGTGAATCTGTGGAGCAAACTTTAAAGGATAATATAAGAACTTTGCTTGATAAGGGTACTGAAGAGAATGAAGCATTTGAAGTCTGTGACTTGGAAGATGAAACAGACATTCGGTTTAAGCTGCCAAGTTCGTCCTCAGGTTTGTCTTTTCTCAATTAAAGACCCATCGTAACTGTAACATGGGATTCCTAAGTCTCACTTCCAACAACATGTATTATGCATTTTTTTAAAATCAATTTACATAATTGAGTGTTATATTAAACACCTTCTTAATAAATAATTTTGGCCCCGACTTTGTGGGGTTATTGCAAGAAGGAATATTGCCTGTAGAAGTCAAGATAAGGAATTGTTGAGGTCATTTTCATTTGAGAAATGTTTTATGCTCTGCTTGTGAAAGGGAGAGGAAGATTTTAGTTGAAATTTTTATGAACCTCTCTGTTTGGACTTTTCTATTCAGTTGTACTTACAAGAGACACACCTCCCCTCAATAAATAAAATGATAAAATAAAATGCTCTGATAACCTATCAACCATCCTTTGATCAAATTTGAAACTATGATATGCAAGAACAATGACAATTTTTGTTTTTTTGTTTTTTTAGAGTTCTCCTCTCCTTGTTTCTTTACTACCCCACCCTACAGATACCACCAGTGTGATGATGTAATCACAGTTATTATTGATGTCCCAAATATTGCACTTGACTCAGTTTCATTGGGATTCAAAAAGAATAAGGTTGGCAAATATCCCTGTTAGTTCCATATGATCTGTAAAACTCAACTATCTGTTGTTTATGAGTTGAAACCAGGCAGCCTGGAAAAAAGTGATAATCAGCCATGGCATATATTGCCTTGAATTCACTAACGTGCTCTCAAAGGGATTGATTTTGTCAAGTATGAGAAAGAAAGAATAGTTGAAGTTTCAGCATACCTTTAATATTGTTTCACTAGGTCAGGTTAAACATTTTGGAAGGACAGGAAATAGGGAATTTTATTTTGATTCATTAGTGTGATTCAGAAACATATTGATAAAGTTTGTCTTACTGCAAATGCTGATGTCTGGTCAAAGCACTTAAATAATCTTGCAACTCATTAAAGGGACTGGCAATATCCATGGTAACTTTGTATATCAGAAATATACAGGTTTTCATTGAGGAATGTAGTGTCTGGAAAATAGTGTGTAGTGACAGGTAAATATTCTTCATGTTTGAATACATAATAGCTGAAGCCATCAAAATTTAGTTAAAGAATTCTGTGTTTAAGCTGGAGAATTCTGCATATCAGCTGGAGAACTATCTGATTTCTGATTTTTAATTTCTGATTCCTAATGAAGTCTCTGAAATAGGATAACATCTGTTTGTATCACTAGGAATGTGACAACTTAAACTTTTTCACTTTGTTGATTTATTGATGTACTTGATTCAACACCTTTACCTTGTTTAGGCATACATAAGTTTCCCATCTGGAAAGTCTTACCCAGGAGAGCTGCCTGCACCGGATTATGCCTTGTATCTGCAGTTCCCAGATGATCATAACCTTGATGCAGATCTCAGTAACATTGACGTCAGTGAGGGAAACCTTGTTCTGAACCTTTACAAACAGGAATCCTGCAAGGGGCTGTGGGATAGTTTTGAGGCAGGTTCAGGAGAAGAAAATTTAAAGGTGAGCATATTAACTGATTTCATCGGATTTATTTTTGTTTTGGGTTTGATAACCAATTGCAGAACACTCCATGAGCTCATAGGTCACTAGCCTTTGTCTTTTGATATCTTAACTTTCGTTTTTGTTTATACTTTTCCGTTTGTTTGTTTTTCTAGTGTGGATTGGTGTGTCATTAATCTTATTGATAGTGTAGTCCACTGTTTTGTTAAATGTGTTTAGGTACATTTTGGTACAAGTGGGTGTGGCTTTCACCTTGCCAGTTAATTTTATTGCTTGATCTGATGGTGTCTTTTAAATTACCTTCCTCACTGTGTGCTGACAAATGCTAGTTTCTAGGTGATTCAACTTAGTGACAATTAGTTTTGTGCATTTTGGATGGTATTCTTCATCAACATATTAATAACTGTTAATGAAGGTGTAAGTGCCACATCTGGGATATCGGAGTGGTGCAGTGAGGGTGCAATCTTACAAGCCCAGTGGCCTATAAGAGTTATAGGTTATGCTGGTTTATAAAGCATAATACTAACCAGCCACTTCCGCATATGGTATGTTGGTCTATGGCGAGGAAAACCCCCCCCCCCTCCCCTTTCCCCCTTCCCTTACGCATTTCACGAGATTTCCCTGACAGCTTTCTTGGTGTCCACTTGTTTTCCTTGGTGAATAGAGACACGGTCAGTGTCTTACTCGAGAACACTATTGTTGATCCACTAAATCTCCCATTTGTTCCTGTACTAATTGGCTTTTAATTATCACATGGTCCCATAAGTGGTGGATGTCCTTTATTTTGTAGACTCAGTTCCTTGTTTCTGAAAAAATGGTTGATGTGATGATGGATGACATTGCCGAGCAGGATCCGTGGGTATGTGATTTGTTCGCACGACAGGTTTTTCTATGACAAGTTTACCTTGGGAGTCTGGACCAAAAACATTAAATCCTGTTATTCAAACACTGACATACCATGTTTTGAACAGGGAGACTTGTTAAGGAAACACTTGTCAGGGACAAAATTTGTACGTGACTTGAAAAAATGAAAGGTGCCGGGGAAACAGCAAGGGATTTCAAGTAATTTCTACTAAAGCAAGTCGCGAGTCAATGTACTTACTGTTATGACTCAAGCATTTTCATACTATCAGTTATAACTGAATCTTCATGAGACGTTTTTTATTTCAAAGAAATGCGATGCATAGCTTCTTAAAGCTCAACCAGCTTAAAAGAGTTGAAAGTGACTGTAGCTATTTTGTCTGTAGTTTTACTGGCTAGACGGTGTGGAAAAGTAAATGCTACAGGTACAAAAACTCCCACTTCCCCTCTGTGAACTAACACAATGTACCACCTTCAGCTTTAACACGTGGGATCTGCAGGCCCATCAACCTGTGCTGCCTCAGTGTTTACTCTGTTCAGTGTTATTTACTGTTTCATTTTCCATTTTCCTGTCCGTTGTAGTCCATCGCTGCTCCTAATGGTGAAGCACATGCGAAAGTTTCTTCTCTTACCGATGACTGCCTCAGCCTTGGGATAGAGAGAACTGATCTAGGAAACAGCCATGAAAACGAAGAATTCTCTGAATCTCACATTAACGCTAAGGACGAGAAACTAGACAAAAGGCGAATGGGAGACAGCATCAGTTCTTACGAGGAAATTAAAGTGACTGAGGTTGTGAAAGATCTTGAAAGAACCCAACTAGACGATAGCCCACCGATAACAAAATTAAATGACGAAGGGAATGGAGAGACCGTGATGTCGGACTCAGAGAACCCTGAGAGCGAAGAAGCGAGCGCGGAAAAGAGCGACAGCTTTGTGCCAATTGATGTTATAAGCAACGCAGTAAAAAGCAGGAGATCGATTTTGAGAAGGACTTCAAGTACGTCCACCGATGATTCACAAGGTGACGAGAATGAGTGGAACGGAGTACCCGACTCCCCAAGCAAGAAAAATGTACGATTTAATCTCAACCCTAATGTTCGTGTATTTAGCAACAAGAAAGATAAAAAGAAAAGGAAATTAGAGGCAAGATTGAAAGCTGAAGCACGAAAACATTCATTTGAAAGTGAATCAAGTGGGTCTGAATTTAGCAATGGGACGTCACCCGTAGATATCGGGACAGGATGGGACGCGTTTGATGATCAATCCCGGGGGACAGGGACTTCTTCCGAAAATGGAGATAAGGGACCTAATGCGGATGATATACAATCTAAAGATGATAATGTAAGTAACCAAGCCGGAGTAGAAGCTTTTGGGATGGCCAACAATTTGATCTTTGAACTCGATGACTAACCATTTGTCGGCGCTCAAATCTTGGTGATTGTTATTGCATCGTTTTGAAGAGGGTTATAGTTACATATGCAGCGTATGTATTTTAATTCAATTCAAACGAAGTGACCTCTCTGAAGCACACGAAACAAATAAAATTAACGTTGATCTTTATTCAAATGTTCCTTTTTTTTGTACTTCCTGGAAACATGAAGAGAAGTCGCCAGATTTTTAATTACTTTTACAATGTGGTTTTTTTTAAACCACGCTGCTAAATATAAGGGAAGCCCAAAATGATATTCAGTGGATGACAAATACCAAACAGATGAAAATAATCAATTAAACAACAAAGATGCGTTAGGATGAATAGGATTAAGGGCGGATTACGAAGGAAAGCTTCGAACATTTTAAGTCTCGGTTTTTCTAGATGCACAAATTGTAACGTGGCGTCTTCCTTTTTGAGTTAATATTTTTTTAGTGGTACGTTGCTCGTTGCACCTATCAGATCGCCGCATTTGGGTTTGCGTCTCGCACCAATCAGATTGCTGCATATGGGTATGTATTTAATTGCGTATTTCACACACAGAGGGCAAAGTCCAGGTAGACTACAACTAATCAAGGAGCCCTCGGAAATATTATCCTTTTCTCTTATTAAATGTATCTTCACTTATTCGAGATCGCAATATATCTTTCGTTAGGGTCTATTGGAGATACAACAGAGTTTCAGTTTGCTTTTCGTAGTAAAATTACGTGGAATTATATTATTCAGGCCACAAACTGTAGACAAATAATTTTGATTTTCTTCCTGTTAGAGGAACGGCAGTAAGCGTAGTCTCTTTCGCAACCGTTGTTTGGTCTCATCACGCAACGCGCTTTCTCTCCAACGGGGAATAGATGGCGTTGTGTGACGAGACCAAACAACTGCTGCATTAGTAAGTATAGCACCGAGGCATTACATTTTTGCTTGGAAGTATTTCGACAATAGAGACAATAGACTATAAAGTAATTGAGTGAGTTCAGATAAATAAGGGTTTTTTCTTACGCTTAAGATGAAGTAATGCGATATTTTCATCCGTTTGAATGTTATGCTCTCTTTCTGTCACAAAAATGAAACATCAGGTACACAAAGTGAAGCCCCATCTCAACCCGCCCAGCCAAAAAGTAACTCTTGCATGCTACGCATGCCTATGTTTTTAATGATGGACCTAAAGAATTTTTCTGCAAATGAGTATTAACGAGGTAATTGATGATCAATATAGCGTTGAATAGTGGATGGACCTCAATTGGAGGCCATTTGTAATTAACCACAGTGTTGAGGGGTTTTATTCCCTGGAGCTTCGTGGTCTGTCTATTGTTTTCCGTAGAATTGGATATTGGCTGAGAAAACTCTATTCTTGCTTTTATATCTGGACTAATCTTTTGGTTACACTTGCCATGGAGTTTAACAGCTTACTAGAAATTGATAATATGCAATTGTCATCGAGGAGACCAGCTGTCCAAAACGTGAAAGAGCTGTACCACGCTTCCTTATTAACTCACGATTTATTCACTTGATTTGACGATTTTACCACCGCGCTTCGGTTAACTCCCACTCACAACTCTCGCCTTATTCGAAAGAAACACACACCGTCCCGTTGCAGGCCCCGTTGTAAGCAACGTCGAACAGTGCCATATTTGGGGCGATATAACACGTGCCGCATACGTACTTGTTTGGTTATGTATAGATAAACGAAATCGCTCATAAATGTCAATCAAATTAAGAGTAATTAACGTATCGCACAGTTTCCAACACAGCACGAAGTTGTTGATCACTCGAAGGATGTGCTCTAGTCCGTACTCTACTGAAAATATAAATGTAGAAATATGATTTGCGAATTTCAAATTGCACGTGTGTCAAACAAAGTGTACGTGTAATGTATGGTCTAAGTATCTTTGATGTACACTTTGAAAACCGCTGCCAACCCACTCATCGTGACGTCATTTTTTGTCTTTTTTTAGCCTTCACGTAACATTAAATTCCTTTCTTTTACTTCCAATAAAATGCTACGTACGTGAAAACTGAAAGACAGAATAACTGGAATACATTACTCAAGTTGAATAACGCAGTACGTATTGTCAATTTAAGATTCAGAAATGCCCTCCAAAACAGTCAGTTTTACTATCTATTTTAGAAAACCACATGAATCAAGACTTCGACTGTTACAAAGTGCAAGTTTCTGAAAACATTTCTGGCGGCCTCTAATTTCTCCATTAAAGATATCAGGGCCCACATAAACCGATATCGGCACAGAAATTGCTTGTAAAAATGATATTTTAGTTGTTACACAAGCAACGGCTATTTCGTCGTATATTTCTACGATTTCCTAAAAACGTTCGGCAGCTGCCCCTGAGACAAGGTTTGCGGGTGCTTGGAGGTCTTCTACCTATCTTCGGAACTCCACACTACCCTCCCCTCCCCCTTCTATCCTTCATTTACAGCTATGGTTACCAGTCTTTCCAAGTTGTAGCCGAGAAACTTTTTATTCACATCCAGGCCGGATAAGCAGTTGTTTACAGGATTTGGGCCATAAGGTGTTTGTGTTCGACAAACGGATGTTTTCGCTCTATACACAACTGCAGATGGATGTTAAGTTGTTTAAAACTTCATTGTCGTTCGTGTAGTTACTGGGACGCACTTGGGGAACAACAAAATTTTCTCGAGGGAGTACGCCGTCTGTTTTCTTTGCCACGCGCAAAGGACTACAACCAAGAGCTTGCCTTTGAAAATTTTTCCCAGTTCAGCTGATGAAACATGTCCCAACAGATTGGAGTGTCTGTGCCAGACTCTGAGACACTGAGTTCTGATAAGTCCAAACGTTTTACGGTAGGTTTAATTTCCCAATATTTTTTTCTTGCTAGCTCCCTTTCATTTGTCGCTCTTGACGAGTTTGTTTTTTACGGGAATTCGATCTGTCAGCTTACAGCCAAAAAGCACGATAATCCTGTTGTGTTCAAACTATTTTCAATTAAGGATGGAATCGTTAATGGTTATGTCAGTACAAAATTTTCGTCGGCTTCACGTTTTTCCCAACTGTTTCAAGTTTAGCCTCCAATAAAAGAAGCTAACTACTTTTGATCTACTCAACAACATGTTGGGCGTACTTCAATTAAGTTCTCGAACGCATATATAACACGGCATAATGACAAAAAAAAATTCCGATCAGGATGAGATCCATGAGAAAAATGATGAGACTTGATGGTTATTTTGTTCACTGATATGTCTGAATTAGTTAAATTATGGTTCATTATCACTTGGCGAGGTTGAAACAGTCGAAAACAAGTGTGTTCTTATATGAAGTATGTTCCGTTTTCAATTTTATCTTTGTTCCTGTTTCACTTTTCCTCTTACAGACGATGGTCTTGGCATTTAACCAAGTCTACTTTTCAGACAGATGGAAAATTTTAGTGATCACAAGTTGTGAAGGGAGAGGGACAGGGATGTTTTGTGTCAAAATGTAGTGGAAAGGTGAAGGGGTTATTAACATCACTTTGGTGGGTGTGGGAGGGGGCTTGAAGACAGCAATCATGGTGGAGGTTAAACCTTTGGACAAAGCTCTCTTCTTTCTGTACAATTGAAAAAGACTTTCAATAATTCCTTAAACATCAAATGACAGGTCCAAGCAGATATATTCTCGAAATATGCCCTTTCAGCTAATGCTTGTCGCTCTAGAACACCACTCAACTTGTTTCAAATTGTGTACAAATATTGATATTTTACTGAATATAATGAAGGGATTTTATTCCAGCAGTAGATAGCAATATGTTGTTCAATGCAATGTTTTTTTTTTTCGAAACATATCCTTCTATCTTCTAAGGTGTATAAAGTGTTAGTGAAGCTTCCTGATGGACGAAGCTATTTCATCTTCAGAAGATATAATGAGTTTTACAACTTATATGAAAAGGTGATATATGTTATAGTCTTTTACAGGAGTAGTGTAGGAATCCTGGAGAAATTTGAGTGGCAAGGGATGTGGTGTTCTTCAAAATTAGCCTTGCTTATCACAAAGTTATTTACAAAGTCAAAGGCAATTTAGCCTAACTTACACATGAGAGAATTATGGGCAGCTGTGCTCATTTCAAGTAATTTATTAGGAAGTGTAAACCCGCTTGAAGGTGGTGTTAGATCTTTGGAGTTATGGATACAGTAGACCTCCATGGGCCAATTTTTTTAATGTCAAACTAAGCATTATAATTAAATTGACTATAATTTCCAAGTAATAATTTGATAAAATATTGGAACTTGTGCAAGTTATTTACAAAACCATATTTTTTAATTGAATTCCTGCCAATGTGTGAATAGGCAACATAAATGACTGAAGGATTTTTGATGTGAAACATCCTGATCCTTACACTCCAATTGTGTCAATGTATCCTGATTTGGGTTACATGTGTAGATCTTTTCCATCTGTCTGTGTTTAAAACTAGCTGGTGAATTGAGAAAGATAAAAAGAAGAAGAATCCAGAGGTGAAAGTTAAAAAGAAGCTTGGCTATCGGCATAAAAAATAAAGGAATTCAGTACAGAATGGTATAGGAATCTTACCATAATGGATAGAGGCTCGTGGTTTAGGCAAAATTCATTGTTGCACTTGATCAGCAACCATTAAGTTTTTTCTACTTTGAATTGTCATGCCCCATTCAGTTTACAGTTAGTTTATATTTTTGGCAAATAGTGCATTTCATAACCTTTTCATTGATATATAGTTTTTAGTGGTTATGCTTCAAACTGTGTGTCAATAGCCTTTTTGGGGATGGATACCTGCACTGGTCTACTGTATCCTTAGCTGATTACATAATCTATCTTTTAACCCTCACAACATTAGCCTTCCACACAGTTGTTTTCATTTGGGTCATATTTCCACCCACTTTATTAAGGAGGAATTAAATGCACAATTGCCACACCACCCAACAATTACTGTTTTCAAAGTCAGTATCAGTAATAGAATGCTATCACTTTTGTACATGTCAGGTTGTGTGCATTTATTCCTTTTGAATTACATGAAAGCTTACAAACCTTGGTTTTTTGTTTAAGCTTAATGTGTCTATTTTTCTTAATTTCAGATAAAGAAAGTTTTCCCTGACCTAAACATTAAGTTACCTGGAAAACGAAGGCTAGGAAATAACTTTGATCCAGGTGAGTAATGATGGATAAGGTGTAATCCATGGAACAAAGCAGGTGAAAAGGTGATGAAAAATTATGGTCAATTAGAATATGTTCCAATCTTGGATAAAATGGTAAATTTTCGAAATAACTTCAAAATAATGGTGGCTTTCACTCGGAATTAAAAGAAATAAAGGTTTCACCCTACCATAAACAGTAATGTGTGTCATGCAGGTTCATGCTGTTTCAAAGTGAGTTCATAAGGTTTATGATTCACTGTATATTAGAGACCTAATATATCATGCATTAACCTTTGCATCATGGGGTTAAGTTTGAGCCCTATGTAGTATCATAATGTTGTGTTCCTAAGCAAGACACCTTTAGCCCCTCTCTGGTATAAATTGGTACCAATTAAATTTTGGATGAACATCCTTCTCAGGAGGAGTAGCAACACTCTTGTTTGCTTTGCTATGTGAACTGAAACAAAGTCCACTGTTATGGGTCTCTTGGCTTGTGTGACAATTTTTCAGGGGGTTATCTGAAGTCTGTCGCATTTTTATCCACATCATCATGTTACCTAGGACTTCTCAGGAAAATGACTTTGTGGAGTCTGTAGAACTGCTAATAGCTTTGTGAATATTCCAACCTATGTGGCTCTATGATAAATAGAACTCACTACACTTATAATTGTATCATGGTGACACAAAAAGTCCTCTGGAACAAGGCATAATTTTTGGATGAAAAACCTTTTAAATAATGAGCAATATAAGCTAAGGCAAATGAGAAACAGGCCTTGAGGGCCGAAAATCACAGGAATTAGACTGTATCATTTATATTTATTATTTTGGTTGCTGTTCTTGCATGCAGATGAACTTGGCTCATGAATTGCTAAGGCTTTGTAGAACTGTATGATTGTACAATTTGTGAGACTGAAAAAGAATCAGGGTTGAATCACAGATCAACCAAAGCTGTGTATCAGTCAGTTTTTTTTTAAGAATATATTCTGAAGTGACCAATCAGTTACTGAAATGTTTTGTTTCATGTTTTTCTTTGTCAGAGTTCATAAGAATGAGAAGAGAGGGGCTTAATGAGTTTACAACCAAGATAATTAGCCATCCCAGTGCCATTGAGCAGTAAGTTCAGACTCTTGCTCCTTTTACTTTTTGTTATAAATATTATTGTTGGTAAATAGGGAGTAAGTAATTTTAATTTAAGAAAACTTTTGAAGTTTTGATAATTAAGTGAATCCAATAACTTGGTTGATTGTAATGACTTAGAGCTGCATGCTAGCAAGCTCCAAATGGACTTGTACCAACATTCCATGTTTCTGGTGGTAATTTTAGATTCTGGACATTCATACAAATTTACAGTACAAACCTCTGACACCAATTTAAATTGCTTCAACTATTAATTGCTTATTTCTCTCTAGTCCTGACATTCGTCTGTTTTTATCACTGGATAATCCAAAAAATGCCCAAGTTAACAATGACAATGAGCAGTTTGGAGCTGATGAAGATGACTCACTGGTATAGTGAACTTTCTTAATGGAAAAGTAATTTTATTGTGATACATTAGAATTATTGTTATGGAAAATACTTTTTCCCTTCATGGTTTTTATAAATAAATGAAAGTTTAGACCTCATAAGTGTCATAATTTATATAATCACCTATCTAGTCTGAAAAAAAATTATTTTACAAAGTTAGTGAAAATGCTTTCATCTGGTACAAAAAGAAAAACAAATTACCAGTTTTTTTTTTTTTCATTTCAAAATTATAAATTGAAGTACTCATTGCCTTTTGTCCTTTTTGTTCCCATTCCTTTTTTCCCTTGATCAGAATGATATAACAATATTTTTAGTTGTCTCATTAGATGTGTTTAAAGTTTTTTAGAGTAGAAGTTAAAAGTAAGTTAAATCAAAGGATAGCTTAGGGGTGGAAAACATAATAACAATTAGACACTCATGACCATATTGTTTAAGTACTACAAACCATAACTTGAATCCTGTTTTTTTTTTAAATAACACTTTTCCTTGAGCTGCAAATGCATTTATTACTGGGAGCCAAATCTTCACCCATTTAAGTGCCTATAGATAATTATAACAAGATGATGCCAGCCCAATTCCTCCTGTTGGAGATTTGGAGTTCAGTTGAATGGCTAAACTTTATCTGATAGATTAGTCTTACCTAGTCCAGTAGCTATCAGTAGAACATTCAAGGCTTGTTTATTTAAACATGAAAGTTAGGTTGCAAATATGAAATGATTATTGATGTCAAATGTAATTGTTTTTGGAACAAAGGCTAAGGATCTCAACAGAATTGATCTTGGGGACTCATATAATCAAAAGTAAGTAGGACTTTTGCATTCTTCAAAGTTCTTTGAAGATCTGACTTCTGCTGAAATATCTTGTTGAATATTTAAATTGTATCCTGCTAAAAAGGATATAAAATTGACCAATGCACCCAAGAAATGCAATTTTTTTCATCATTTGTTTTTAACAGGGCAAAGCCAAGTGACTTCCTGTTTCTTAAGGTTATTGGAAAAGGGAGTTTTGGAAAGGTTAGTAAGTCTTCTCTTGGTTCTAGTTATTCTTTCTGACCTCATTTTAAGTAATTTAAACTCTGGGGTTTTAAAGCTTTCTCTGTAAGTGGTTGCTGATGGTACTGGAGGCAGCTGCACCCAGAAAAAGGGACTTAATCAGGCAAGTCAATAGCTCAGGGGAAGACTCTTGTTTCAAGACCCTTTGCCCACTCGTACCTTGCTTGTGTGAGAGCCAACATGAAACCTGGTCACAGGAGCTTGCTCATAGGCAAAACAGATGGTGGTTAGAGAGGTATCACAAGTGGAAGTAAACCAACAGCTTTTGTCAGGGATTTCAACCCAAAGCTTTTGGTTGAAATCCCTGACAAAACTCAAAAATATTTTTATCTAGAAGCTTTTTTTGTTGTAAAACTCTTGAAAAACTCAATCAAATGAGTGTACTTGTAGTCAAAGGTTTGATATTCCTAATTTAAGTTTTGTTATTTTATTTCAGGTTTTCCTTGCCAAAAATAAACAAGAAGATGAATTCTATGCCATTAAGGTTTTAAACAAAGCTGCCATTAGAAAAAGAAATGAGGTTTGTGAATGCTTTATTTTGAAATGGTAAAGGGTGGAATTAAATAGAAATTGGTCATTTTAAGCAAACAATCCAGAAATAAAGCATCAGCTTATGGGTTGATTCTGATCTGATATATGTCACTCTTGCACTGTATGCAAACTGTTCATTTTAGATGAAGCTGGCTTTTCTCATCTCCACAGTACCCAATCAGCCATCACTTACTGATTAATTTTTTGCTTAGAATGTTCTTTTTTTTGGTTAATCCCATAACTCCCAAGATCTGATTGTTAATTCTCCCCTCTTGCTGCTATACATTTCCAAGGTACAAGAATTTAGTGTTAGATCTTCTACTTGATAAGTTTGAGTATTCTCCTTACCTATTTTCTAGATAGTGTATGGATATTATAGGGAGAAGTTACATATTAATAACCTCTGAGAAGGGTTAAACTAGTTAAATATAAAAAAATCAAATTATTTTTGTTTCATTATATCTCAAGCGCTCAACAGTTTGGAGATTGCTTGACTCTGCAACATACCATGGGTAGTGTGCAAATGAGATAGCTGCTGAGCATTTTATAGTAGAAGTTTTAATTTACAGAAAATGGAAAACAACACTGATAATTATAAGGCCTAGATGCTTCTTTGGAACTCAAACTGACAGAAGCTTTTGCTTCTTGTTGTATAAAAACCAATACATCATTCATTTCTGTTTTTACTTATAGTATTTTTAACCTTTTTAGGCAAAGCATATCATGGCAGAAAGGAATGTTTTGTTGATGAATGTTAAGCATCCTTTCTTAGTGGTAAGTAACCCTTCATCTGATGTGAAAGGTGATATTATATAAATTGGAGTTTCAAAGGGTTTTGTCTTGTTTACACCCGACCAACTAGGTTTATTTTTGCCTCAGATGAGTAGATGCTCTCTAAGTCAGGAGGTGTACTCCAAACCTGCCAGTTCCTGTTGCAGTGTTTCAGTCATTATACATCACACATAACCAAAACATTTAAAATTTACCTTAAAAGAGTAATAATTTGACTATCTTTTTGATAAACATTTCAGGGATTGCATTACTCCTTTCAAACACGTGATAAACTCTACTTTGTTTTGGATTATGTAAATGGAGGAGAGGTAAGATATAAGATCTTTTTACTTTCTTCTATAATTTCATCTCGACACCAAGCTGTATCTTAAACTGATTCTTCATATTTTCAGTTATTCTTTCACTTGCAAAAGGAAAGGTATTTTCCAGAAGCAAGGTCAGTACTCAGATGTCTTATGTAAATGTAGTTGTTATGGAGAGGTGGTAAGCCTTAAGATTAATGTTGAATATCTTGTGCCTTGTACTTCAAGTGTTAGTATTGTCCAGTGTTGCCCAAATTAAATTTAGATTTCTCAGTCAAGTAGAAAGAGTTTGGCTGAGGAGGAATGGAGGGAGAATTCTTATGACAAATGCAATCCTCTTTGTCAAAGAAAGTGATAACTAAAAGTATGATGTTGTATGTTTTGTTATGGACATGTAAAAGAATATCCATAAGGACTCAGGTATTTTGGTTTGTCATTGTCCTGCCTTCAAGCAGTTATGGATAACCAGGCTAAACATTCATACTCCAGGCTGATGCAAAGAACTTATACACAACAGGGACACACAATAGATAAAGCCTACTTATTTTCATCATTTTAAATGCACTTTATGACAGATCTGTATCAAACTTAATCTGTAAATTTTTCTTGCTTCGTATATTTTTCTTTTTGTCAGGGCAAGATTCTATGCAGCAGAAATAGCATCTGCAATTGGATATCTTCATTCTCTTCAAATAATTTACAGGTTTGATGGAGCTATGTGGTACATAAATGAAGCAGTGGAACTTTCTCAAAGTCTTGTTTCTTTATGGAAAAAATATTTGATAACTGTATATTTTTGTATCCAGTTCATTGACACATTTTTGAAATGGATAGTCTTCAAATTACATACTAAATTGCAATTAAATATTATAAACTACTTAGTGGGTTTCAACACTTTTGCTTTGTATTACTGTACTAAGTGAGGTTTGTGATTGTTCACATAGAATGTAGACCGGGGGAGAGTATTACAGGTCTTTGCCCTTTTATTAAAAAGAACTGTGAAATGTATTAGTTTTAGCAAGGGGTCATGGTAGCTGGTGCTTATTTTGATTGTTAAAATGTTATGCATCAGAGGTGTGTTTTAAGTCAAATGGTTAAGGTGGTGTGAGGCTTTTAATGTGTGTTGGTAAATTCTTTGATAGAAGTGTTTTGTACTTAGCTGAATGTACTTTCTTTTCTCTGATAGAGATTTGAAGCCTGAAAACATTCTTCTAGATCATAAAGTAAGTGATCTATGTGTGCTGTACAATGTTGTGGGAATAACACTGGTATAAGGCACTGAAATTAGCAAAAAAAGATTCTTTCTACATTCGGTTTTAAGTCTATCATTGGGCCTGTCAGCAGATTTCTCTGTCCTCTTATGAAAGTTAAGGTGACTTTCCTCTGATTGTAAAGATAGTTTGTGGGTTCCATTTATAAAGCCAAAGTGATTATTAACCAATCGTTGTAAATCCTGAAAAATCATTTTGTTAGGAGTCAGAGGCATTGATTCTCAGTGCATGAATTTATTGATGTGAGGGTGTATTAAGTTTCCAATATCATATCATAATCCTTTCTGTAGGGGCATGTAGTTTTAACAGACTTTGGACTTTGCAAGGAAGGCATAGAACCTTCTGGTACAACATCAACATTCTGTGGCACACCAGAGGTAATTTGCTTGCAATTGTGGAGGTAGTGAATTAAATTTTAAAGTACTTTTAGAGAATTCATTCATTCATTGCTGTTGCATCAATATGAATGATTTGACTGATTAATCTCCTACTGAACTGCTGTTTAAAGTCCTGTTATTCCTGATAGTATTTGGAATAGAAGTTTATAGCTGTTAAAACATTACTCCTTTAGTTCTCATGTCTCATGCCAAACTATCCTTACAACAATAAAAGGGGTAAGTTTCTAAAGAAACTGTGGTGCTGCATTTGTGAAGGAGTAAAACAGAGTATTTAAATATTATCAACTGAGTTGATAATGTAAATTGGCTATGGCTGATGTTTTGAGCATTAGCCCTTCGTCAGAGCGAATGATGAAGGGCTAATGCCCTAAACACCAGCTTTAAAACTCTTTATGGAGGCCAATTTATGCTATCAACTCAGTTGATAGTACTTAATTGCCCTGTTATCCCTACAACAGCTGATGTTTTAAAACTGCACAAAGCTCTAGTCTACAATTCTCCCTTTCAAGATGGCAGACAGAGCCTCCATTGTTCAATTGCTTTTAAACAGGCTTAATACCTTACATAACATGTTGAAATGTGTAGTCTATGACAAGCACAGGGCTCAAAGCAGTATTTTTTAGCACTAGGATCCCACATTATCTTTTCACAGTAAACTGATAGAAAGCCAATTGTCTGATATTTTTTGGAAAATAAGGGGTCACATACACCTTTATTAGATTCATCCTGGCCACACCCTGGCCACATGGAAATGTTTTTGTGTTGTTGAAAGTTTGGACCAACTGCTTCAAAACAATGTTTACATATTTTTCGCTATTAGTTTGTTCATTGATAAGTCAAGTGACATTTGTCTGTTTGTCATTGTACAGTATTTAGCACCAGAAGTTCTTCGAAAACAGGAGTACGACAAAACTGTTGATTGGTGGTGCCTTGGTGCAGTGTTATATGAAATGATGTATGGTTTGGTATGGAAACTTTTTTTTTTGTTTGTTACCTTTTGAAACTGATTCAAGTTTAGTGCATGATTGACGTTTTTTCAATTATCTTCAATTATTTTCAATTGGTTTCAAAACTCGTAGTCAAAGTGACATTCTAAGACAAAACTATATGTTGAAAGCTTCTGGTACTGTATAAGTTAATTGGTTGTGGACTTTATTTTTTCCTCTCAGCCACCATTTTATAGTCGAGATACAGCAGAAATGTATGACAACATTCTTCACAAGCCTCTTCGACTCAGAACAAATATATCGGCCAGTGCAAGAAATGTTCTTGAAAAAGTAAGTTGTTTTTGTAGTGAGAGAAATTCCAGTTGAATGTTTAAAGTTATTGTGGATAACTTCTTGTTAGCTTTGATTTGCTGTGCCTTGGTAAAGGTATGGGAAACTGAACCACACTCTCAACCAATAAGATGCAAAACTTAAACCAGTGGTGTCTTAATTGCTAGTTCTCTTTGGCTCTGCATGAAATTTCCCTAGTTCTGATCAGCCATTTTGATTGTCTAGATCTTAGCTTTGCTTTTTTTCATTAAAAGCACTCTTTTCTCTGATCTTTAGAAAAGATTGATGTTTTTTTGAAATGAAATAATGAATTGAAGTATTGTAATTATTTGTTGACAGCTACTTCAGAAAGATCGTTCAAAACGACTGGGTGTTGGAGAGAATGACTTTGTAAGTCAGTGCAACTTGTAATGCCTGTTTAGTGTGATTATGAATATCAATAAATAAATAATAGATAATTCAGTAGAACTCTCAAACCAAGGAGTAAGGGTTGACCATGTCTTTTGTTGATGACTGCTGTTCACAATTCAGGTTTCCACAGGATTCAAACCCATTCATTCCAGTTAGTAATTGAGCACTACTATCGACCAAGCTATGAAGCCACACATTGGAAGCAAGGCAAATTTTTGAAAGTTCATCTTTCCCCCCAAGGAATCTGATTGTAATTTTTTAATGGAATAAAGTTAGTTTGACCTGCAGTTCAAATTCAGGTGGACTGCAATTTGAGCAGTTGCATAAAAGAAGCATGTAAAAATGTGGTCTTCAACTGTTGTGTTGAGAAGGGTAAAATTTGAGGAAGGGCTTGATTTTCAGTGAAATGTTGTGGGTCTGTTTAAACTGATGTAGCTAGTGTCAATTTCAGTTGTGGAGGTGATAGTAAAAGTGGGCACCAGGAAAAGGTGGGGTTATTCAATGAAAAAACATTAAGAAAGGACAGTCTAATTTTGCAAGGTCTGTGAGTGTAATTTGTTACTTTTGTATGTTCATTGAAGGAAGAAGTCAAGAATCATCCATTTTTTCAAAGTATTGACTGGCAATTGCTGTATGATAAAAAAATTGAACCACCATATAACCCTAATGTGGTAAGTTAAGTCAGTTTTACTGAACATTTTATAATCTTAGACTCCACAATTAAACATCACAGAGATGCACAATTGTAGACACTAAATTTTCAGTACATACTTTGGTGCAATGAGGATTGATTTATCTTAAAGTTAAGTCTTTCACTTTTCTTAACACTTTGGTTGGTGAAGAGTCTATTTGATGTTACTGGAACTTTTTGTCCCTATCTTCATGAATTTACCAAATGTTAAATACTAATATGTTGTACATGTTACTGTTCTCATTTTTCACTCTTCTGACTCTTATTTACAGACAGGTCAACTTGACTTGAGACATTTTGATCCTGAGTTTGTTCGAGAACCTGTACCAGGTGTGTGACACATCACTTGATTTGAAATTATTCTGTCCATCCATTCCATCTGTGTGATGAGCGGCTTTTTTTTCTTCCTTTTCCTCTAATACAATGTGCTTTCATATCCAAAAACTGTAAGTAGCATGAAGTGATTATACGAAAAGATGGTTGAAATTAAGCAGCTACACTTCTAGGGGATGGCTCTGTGTCTGCTGTGTTCAGGTCAAATTACAATTTGGAGTGTAAGACACTCCTATGTAGACAGGTGATGAGGCCTCAGACAATGGAAAGACTATTGTTACATCCTTAAGTAAATTACGGGAACTATTAGTTTACATGTATTAGTATACATGTATTGTCAGCGATACTCATTTCTGAAAAAATTATGTTATATACATTGTATATATTATACTACTTTGAGTTTAGGAAAGGCTACTATAATAAGAAAGCTATTTTAGAAATTACTGATAACCTGAAAATAGCAATTTATAACAAGCAAATTACCTGTGGCCTATTTGTGGACCTCTCAAACGCATTTGAAACAATCAATGGCTTAATATGAATGATCACGTGATCATGACTAACTTTTAAAACATTTAAGCTACTGTGGTCACTGCACAGTATTAAATATTTCTTGATGTTTTGATTTTTATTCAAACAAAATTGAAAAATACCTGTACCTTTGCTTGGCGTTACTTCTCGTGTTTAGTTCACTTAAATCTTACCAAACTTCTCATCCTTATGAGATTCCATTAACCTACAAGTTTGCACTGTGAACTGAAAGGCCTGGCTTCGAGCCCTGACTGGGTTTTTGTGTTGTGTTGGCCAATAGACACAGAAACTCTGGCGGTGTCTATTTTTCCCAGTATTTTATAGAGTACCTGTGATTTGTCAGGGAAACTTGGTGGGATAGGGGTGAGTTGTTATGGACTAGCGTCCCATTTAGAGCGTCATGGTTATGGTCAGTCATGAAACTTAACCTTGTTTGTTTCACTCACAACAGGGTCTGTCGGTAAATCAGCTGATTCGGCATTTTTAAGCGCGAGTGTGGATGATCCAGACGATGCATTTGTTGGTTTCACGTACGTTGCTCCAATGGAAGAAGTACTTCATGAATGAATCGCATAGTCTTATCGTAAAAGTAATTTGCGGTTCTCAAGATAAGATTTGCCCTTTTCAGCAACGAAGTACACCCTAGTAAAAAAAAAAACCTCAAACAGTATGCTTTAATATAAATGTATTAATCTAAGTTATCGGATAAGAGAGCGGACATTCCCTCTATAAAGCCAAAGCACTTTTCTAATGACTATTGTCAAAAATAGCTGAAAACTGGAAAAAGCTGGGTAACTTTTCCCAGGCAACAAGAGCCATTGTCTTGAAGTGCGCCTGTATTGCTTATGCTGTTATTTAAAAATTCATCAGCATCATTTCTATCTTTGATTAGCCATCTAATTATTAAATCAGTTAATGTCAAACTTCAAGAACATCGATGACAAGGTAAGGAATGTAAAGAAGACAAGTTACCTCGAGTGAACTCAAGTCACACCTGATCTTGTGCCAAAATTGACACTTTCACACGCTTTTCACATTGGTCCCATGAATTAACTGTGTCTGGTTAATCTACGTCGATTGAGTTGCATACTTTATTACCATTCATGATAAATTCATTATAAATTGTGTTCCAATTTAATTTATTGATAATTATGCTGTGTTTGCATGAACATAATAGAGTTTAGAGACCAAAAAAATACGTTGTATTTAAGTGCTAGTCATATTTAGTTGTATAAAGTGATGTAGTGATCCAATGTCGATTAAAAATTTCCATGGTTCACCTGTGAATCCCTCGTCACTGCTAAGTCATTGATCCGTGTGCTTGATTCACTTGACGTTTGCGTAAGCGCACCCACGTATTCAAAACGGTCCGTGAGGAACATTGCGATTACAACGCTTACATGGACGTAATATAGCCAAAATTATTTCAGTTTACGCCCAAACATACTATCTCAAAACTTCTTTTTCAGTCCTGTCTACCACGTCTGTTAATTTTCCCACGCCTGAAGTTGTTGGTAGACATGTTTATGATATAGATATCGGCACTCAGAGCTCACTTCTGAATGATACCATCAGCACTTGATGATAAAATTAGCATCCCTACGACGCCGTGTAATATCCCCTCTGTATTTGTCTTTTACTTCCTGTTTTGTTCAGAGGATTTGTTCTTTAACAGGCACACTAGTGTACCCTATTACCCAGGACAAATCCTGGAATCAAATTTCAAAGCAAATGTTGTTTCTCGGCGCAGATGACGAATTTTTTCCATCATTCCGGTTATAAAACTCTCATTGTTCTTTTTCTATCACCCCCAAGCTGGGCTTAATTATTCCCCTCCTCCCACACGTTTCGAATGGATTTATCACTATCTTCAGTTCTGCTTAAAGTTGAATAACGGCACTCTACTTCAGTTATCTTCCAGGTCTGGTCGATGGAAATACAAGGAAAAACAAGGAAGCAGCGTGGTAAATTTAGCAACATGGCATCTTATTTGTTTTCTTTTTTTCGATGCTGCAGCGATGGAAATCTCCCCTTTTGTGCTGTACCTCTATTCTGAGTTATTCTTGGATCGCTAACTGCCACAATTGACTATTTCAGATAAGAATGTTTACAATATATACGTACATATACATACATACATACATATATACACACACTGGATAATTAATTCATATTGTGATCAACGACATAATTTAAACGCAGTATAATATTTGCCCCTTCACTTTATATTTTTTTGCATGACTAAACTCCTAACCTCGATATTCTCCTGTCAAGTATTCAACACCTCTTTCTTCTTCGTTTATTTTTTCAGAGGAAAAACTTAAACTTGCTAGAAGAGGAAATAAGAGAAAAGAAGAATGAAAAGCCAAAAAACCAAAACAAAACAACAACAAAGAAAAAACAACAACAACAAAAACAAGGATTTATGATCAAACCTAACATTCTCCCGACCAGTCGCGGGCTTGGTGTGACATGTTGACCCCAGTCCCCGCAGATCAGTGTAGTAGCCCTACTGGAATTAGCATTTAGAACTATTTCCCAGGGTAGCACCGTGCTTTATTCCACCCATTGTTTCTTTGACGCTCTTTCTACATCAGTTTCAGGAAATTAGCTGTGGTAGGCGGTGTTTAGTGATAAAAGGTGTACCTTCCCACGCGTTTTCCTTGTCAAGAAAAAAGCCTTAGGAGTTGTGACGATCGCGATCTTCCGCGAAGAGCAAAGCCTGGTTTTAGCCATCTGTCACGAAGTTTACGTTGGATTACTAAGCAGGGCAGGAGTGCGTTTTCCAGCAAATGAGATGTCAAAGCAGATAGACGTAACGGTGCCGGACTCTGAAACATTGAGCTCAGAGAAATCTAAGCGATTTACGGTAAGCTTTGAACTTGTCCTTTCTAGTATCTCTAAATTGCTTTTGCCAACCAGCTTACTCCTGTTCTTCTGTCCTCTGTTTGCTCCTGATCATTCTCAAATAAAAACAAACAGGTATGCATGGATTATATCACAATAGTCATCGTAATTTACCGGTGAAAGTTACAAGGCTTTTGAAAAAAGTTGCACAGACTTTTCAGGACGAATATGGTTTGGAGTTACCTTGAGCGCAACACTGATGGAGACCTTGTTCTGCACTGTGTCTGATTTGCGGCGATCGAATTTCACATTTCTGAAGGCGTTTCGTCGTTACGTTCAAATTTTATGTTATGTTGTGCTTGATCGAAAAGTAGTACCCGTGAGAATTATCCCTTTCTGTGAATTTAAGGGTTCTTTGAGCTTGTGAGCTATGTTTTGCGATCAATGTTGAAAGAAAGAAGCAAAAGGAGGCAGATGAAGCGATTCGTCCTCCTTAGCCGGAGTTCACCAATTAGCTTACATGTTTCCGATGTCATGTTCATCCCGTAATTGCCCGAAGGTATCCATTCATTAAGAGTTGATTAGGAAAGGACAATTTTGCCATTATTCGCTCTTTCCTAATTGTGGAAAACCTCTCTAAGCTTTTTATCGACTTCAGACAAATGTTCATCTTGTACATTTGAAATTATAACTCTTCATATCTTAGTTTGGACATGAACCGATATATTTCTTAGAATTGCTGTAATCTCTGGTCTAATTGACAGTACCATTTGCACTCAAACGGGCTTTGTATCTGTAACAAAAATATCGCGAGGTATTTTTCATTTATACAAAAATATTTTCTGCTTTTTTTCGACGGACAGGTTATTTTTAATTTGCTTGATAGTTGTGTTTGTCTCGCCAAAAGCCATCAAGTTTTGAGGTCTATTAAATCCACGGTGTATGGCCAGGCTAGCCGAATCTCATATATCACATATGGGTTATATAGTTAGAAAACAGCCAATCGCAAAAGCTGTTTCCTTGTCCTAAGTCACAATAACTTATTTTTACCTTTACCAGAGTAATACCCTCATAAGATCCATGTAATGTCAATGAAATGTGATAATCCATTTTCAGTTGTCGATAAAAAGTATGTGATCTTTCAAACAATATTCGGTCTAGCCAATTTGGATATTTATTCATTAACCAGAACATTGTTACTGTGAAAGTGTTACAATAAAATTGTATGTTCTTAAAAAATGTAACCTTTATCAAAGAAAAAATCTCCAATCACTCTCTACCAAATTACTAACTGCGTGGTTCCAATGTTTAGACAGCATAGAACATAGTGCAAACAACTTTCTGACATTTTTCCTTCCTTTTAATGTGTAAGGTAATATATTCTATTTTATTTTTAGCATTTATTGTCTGTTGTTTTTTAACTAAAAAATGTTTGAGTATTGTCATGCATAAAGTTAATTTTGTTTCGTATCAAGGAAACCAAAGTTACCTTGAAAGTTTCATTGTTTCTTTTTCCTATAAAGATGTCACTAAACTTGGCTGGCATTGCATTTGTTATCTACACAATTGTTGTATCCTAAGTTAGAAGAATGACCTTAAAATACAAGGCACACAACATCAGGGCTTTTTGGGTGGTAGAAAGGGTACACTCACTCTCTGGTTTAGAAGTTGTATTAATTTTTTATATCATTTAGTAGGTTCATATAATTATTCAAGAGCCAAAAATGAAGAAGGTTTTGTTTGCAAACACTATGATTGGCCTTGTCAGGAATTATTTACTGCAAATTTGTGTTGTGATTCAAATCGTTCCTCAGTTTGAATTTTTTGAGCTGGTCTTATTATTATTTATATTTATATTTTTCTGATTGTTTACCTTATACATAGAAATAGAATGTTGAAATTGGGACCAGTAAGAAAAATTTGCAATCAGAGAACAATTTTAGCAAAATCATTTTCATGTATAGGCATGGGTCTGATGAAAAGGGAATCTGTTGTATTTATTGAGCATTTCTGATCAATTTTCATCTGATATCATTGGTAGACTTCAATACTGTGTTTTTGTATTTACAATAAGCTTACAACTTGCTCAAGTCTTTTGCTTGTTCAACTGCATAAGATTTTAGTTTTAAACATTAGCAGAAATTTTCTTATGCCAGAACTAGTATTTATGGAGGCTAGAATCAGAAAAAAAGTTCCTTCTTTGCAGGCCCTTATTATCAGTGTTAGACCACTTGCAGATCTCTTGCTGGTTAGCGTTGCTCAAAACCTCAAACGTTCTCCTAGGTGACTACAGCTTGTACTGTTATTCTAATTAGTAGGCTGTCACCCTTAATGAGCAGTAAATAAGGCCTGTTTACAAAACAATCAGACTGTTAAACTGTGGACTTTTTTAACACAAATTATAACTGTTGCCCACTTAATTTCCCCTAATCTTACAAAAGCAACCTACCTCAGTAAAGTAACTGCTTGTCTTGTTTGATATACAACCTGCAATATAAACTCCCTTTTAAAACAAAATGTATTTTTGAAAGCAGTTTTAGAAACTTAAACCATTTTTTCTTATTTTAGGTATACAAAGTACTGATCAAACTACCAGATGGAAGGAGCTACTTTATTTTTAGAAGATACAATGAATTTCATCAGATGTGTGATAAGGTAAAAGGAAGGCAGTGAAGTTCTTAAATAAGTCAAATTGTATGGAAAGCGATGAATAACTAAGATGTTTAAAAATGACTTTGAACAGGCATTTCACATTATGTTCCCTTAATTTTGGTCTTCCAGTGATCTAACTTAAAAATTATTGAAATGCTGTATACTGAAGTGTTTAAGTTGTTCTTCTCTTCACTTTGCCTTTTTTCTTTCAGCTCAAAAAGCTTTACCCTGACTTGCATCTTAAACTACCTGGCAAGAGACTATTAGGAAATAACTTTGACCCTGGTAAGCATAAAAAATAGAACATTGGATGAGAGAGTCCTGGAATTCCCTTCTGCTTTAGGAAACTGGGGGTGTGTTTGGTTTACAATGTATTTACAAAGTATTAAAAAAGAAACCATCTTTTATCTAATTGGCTTGAATGTGAATTTAGGAACTAAAGGCATAGAATTTTGCCATTCAGTGTTCTAGGAATTTAAGGTGATAATTTTTTGCCTTTCTATAGAGTTTATCAAGATCAGAAGAGAAGGTCTCAATGATGTCACACAAAAGATCATCAATCACCCAAAAGCCATTGAAAAGTAAGGTGTTCAGATTAGTTTGACAGAGCAGTTTCCTAAACTGTAGTTTGTGCCAACCTTTTTCGATTTTTTAACTGATTGTTGGGTTGGAATGATGTGATTTGCAGCCCTGAGGTGAGGGAATTCTTCTCACTTGATAATCCAAAGAATGCTGAGAACAATGATGATGATGACCATCCTGGAGCTGATGAGTCTGAGACTCAGGTAATTTTTTTGAATGATTTACTGTACTATAATAAATTATCTCCTCTCAGAACCTTACAGGAACATGGCAGAGTCACAAGAGCACTGAACTCACAAGCCCAAGTTTTAACCTAAAGCTACACCTGTAAATAAGATGATGTGGTTTTCTTTCCTGAGTAGACGATGTAAATTGGCCACCAGCAGAGTTTCTTAGCTGACGTTTCAAGCGTTAGCCCTTCATCAGAGCAAATAAGGGGGGTAAAAGCAGAGGATAAGAAAGCTACCTCCATCTATTCTTGTGCCTGTAAATAGTTAACTGCTTTATATCCTAAAATTTGTAGTTTTTAGCCCTCTAAAATTTGGGTCTAGCTCTGGCTGAATGAGCCCCTTGGCCCAGACTTTACCCAGGGGTGGACCCCTCCTTGAGATGACCTATAGCTTTTTGATATGAGTAATATTGTGCCAAAAAAAGAAAACAAAGCAAAGTATGTGATTCACCAGTATTAAAGTAAAACATTAAATGAGGTTGAAGAATTTAGCACATGAAATGGTATAAAAATAGGAGTTTAGCACTGAAGTTTTGAGCACAACCTCATTTCTGGTGTCTATGTCCAGTTTTAGAGGTGTCTATGCACACAGGGTGTCTTCTCAACATGGTATCCACCTGCATTGCATTAAAGGTGGTCAGAGTAAATTAATAGAGTCTATGTATGGGAGAGGTAATATTTTTAATTTTTTCAACAGGCAAAGGATATGGATGTTGACTTAGCAGGAACAAATAATCCAAAGTGAGTCAATTTTCTTTCTCCCTATAAGCTTCTATAAGCTATAATATAGAGATACTTAATAAGAGCAGTTAAAAAATTCAATTTTGTTTGAAAGAGGAAAACTATGCCTGGTATGAAATATATTTTTTTGTTCGTACTCGAGGTTTATTTTATTTTAGACTAATGTGCACCATAGCTGCCAAATTATCAGGCTTGAAACTCTAAGAATAGAGACAGTCTGGTTTTTTTATTTGTTAACAATTTTGTTTTTTAACTGTAAATTTGGGTAAATATGATTTGTTCATGGGATATTGGGCTTATTGAAGCCAAGAAAGTTTTACTGCTTATCATGGATGGAATGTTGTATCAACTAATGAGGTTGTTATTGACAAAACTATTTTTATAGATAGAATTATTAGCTATGTGTATTGAAATTAAACAAAAATCGGTGCATTCTCGAGTAAGGTGAATATAAACTGTACTTTCTTCCTATTTCAGGGCAAAACCCAGCGATTTCTTGTTCTTAAAAGTGATTGGAAAAGGGAGTTTTGGAAAGGTGAGTAATTAATTGTTAGACTTCTCCTTAAACATTTCAATAGCTAGGGCTATATTTTGTTCAGATTTGAAGCAGTTATGCAATAAATTTTGCTTTAACTTTAATTATTATAATTTAAAATTATTAAAAAAAAAACTGTTTCAATCAGCCAGTCTGTTTTAAGTAGTCAGGTTAGTCACTCAGTGAGCCAGTGATTGAGCTGGTTGGTCAGCCAATGAGCCAGCAAGACAGTCAGTCAATCACTCTGTCTGTTTGTCTGTCACCATTGCCTTTAGTTAATCAACAATTGGTTTAATGTCTGACAAATCTTTAGTCATGTTAGTTGGACAGCCATTTCATGTCTTCTTATAAACAAGGCAATTCTAGGTTTCTTTAGATGTTATCTTTCTGTAATTTTCATTTATTTACTAGTCAGTGATGTCGTTATATCATCATCATTTGTTTAGGTATTCCTGTCAAAGAACAAGGCAGAGGATAAATTCTATGCCATCAAAGTTCTCAACAAGGCTGCTATCAGGAAAAGAAATGAGGTAAGTGAGTCAATGGGTACATTTTACACAAAGTTATTTCCTTATTCCCACCTACCAGGTGGGACAATATAATGTTTGCTGTTTCCCTTTATGGTGTGGGGCTCTCGATTATTCAGCAAGGCTTGCTTTTTTATCACTATGGTATGATTATTTTAGGCAAAACATATCATGGCAGAACGGAACGTGCTGCTAAAGAATATCAAGCATCCATTTTTGGTGGTAAGTTTTCTGATTGCCTGTTTGTCATGAAAAACTTATTTCAAAACTTTGAGTGGGCTATAACAGCTTAACCTTTCACAGACTAACCCTCCTTGCCAATCCAGTCTAGGCTAAGACAGCTCAGACCCAATACTATGCCATTAGCTGCTTAGAACTTTCTCAAATTAAATCTACAGTACGAAGATGTTTCTGTTTCTATTGGGTCCTTATATTCCCCTTTCCTGCATGAGCATGTCACTTTGATGTTTAACAGAGAAATATATCTTACATTATTTCATCCAGTACTGTGTAACTAGATGAAATTAAAGACACAGTTATTTTGATCTAATACAGGGTCTTCACTACTCTTTCCAAACAAGGGACAAGCTTTACTTTGTTTTAGATTATGTCAATGGTGGAGAGGTAGGTTTGAAAGGGATAAAGGTCGAACTTGGAAAACAAAAGAATGAATCCAAAATGAACTAAATCTGAGGACTTTAGGTTCCTATGTCTTTTGATGTCTTTGAAAATTGAAACAATTTCTGGGATCTACCTAAACGTCCTGTGAAAATGTATGTAATTAAATGTTTCCTATATTTAGGTTTTTTTTAGAGTTGTTGCAACAGTGCCACAATCAAAATTTATACTTCACAGTTACAAGCATTTTGTTCCAAATTTTGTAACATGCAACCTGTGGTGTTGTTTTCTAATGTATAACTATAAATTTTCTTTTTATATATAAAACACTTTTATTTGGTAAATGGCAGGTTTTTTCAGCAATGGATGTTGTTTGTTAGATTGAAAGCCTTGCATTATTTCCTTTTAGCTTTTCTTTCATCTGCAAAGAGAGAGATATTTCCCTGAAGCAAGGTAGGTTATGTTCTCATTTCTAAATAGCATCAGGCATAAGTCTGTTAAAAATTATCTCATGAGCTAATGGAAATGAAAGCTGGTGGGGGTTGATTTTTGACGGAGGATCAAGTTTTTTTTCTTTTTCTCACTGGTCTCCTTGTGATACAAAAACAGTCTGGGTCTCAACTCTCAGCCAGATTCAATCTTTTTCTTAGATGCTGTACTAACTGAGTTCCAAGGAACTTGGTGGAGACTTTGGTTATATACTAGTTTCTTTATGTGACTGCATACTGCTAGGAACAGCAATTTTAAGAGTCTCCTTTGCGGAGGTACCATTGTAAGATGGCAAATTTTGAGTGAAATGTAATTGACAAACATACAGATGATATATATTCAGTAAGTTAGTTGACTCAATTTTGTGCTTTCAGGGCAAAGTTCTATGCTGCAGAAATTGCATCAGCAATTGGGTATCTACACTCTCTTAAAATCATTTATAGGTGGGTGGAGTAATCAGTTAGATTTGGAAGCTTAAGATTTACCTATTTGGTTTGTTATAAGTGTGATATTAAGCTCAAAATGCTACTCATTGTTGAGAATACTTCGTCCATAACACACTCCATGTAGTGTACTGTAGCATTATGTCAATTACTTGAAAGTATTGTATTGCTGTTGGTTCACAAGAGACAAATCAGTGATTGCTATCCTAGGTCAACTTTCCACACACTGTGAAGTGCTCATATACTGTGTTTTATTTTCAGGGACTTGAAACCAGAAAACATTCTCTTGGATTACAAGGTAAGTGTATTTATGTGTTGTTAGTTTGTTAATGCTTGTCCTGTCATTGGTGTAAGACGAGCAGCTAGATTAGTATTTTCCTCTTTAGTTGCAATAGTTACAACTGAAAAAAGCCCTGATAAGTCTTAAAGATTCTCTATAATCTGTGGTGATTTTTGGTATTGAGAGAATGAATTTTTAACGTGTATTGTTCTGTTTGAAGGGTCATATAGTTTTAACAGACTTTGGACTTTGCAAGGAGGGAATAGAAACGTCTGGAACAACATCAACATTCTGTGGCACACCAGAAGTATGTAGCACAATACTTATTACATTTGGTTCTTGCTCTTATTTTTCACAGTTTTAAATGCATTCTAGGTTTTTTTGCAATTATTCAGTGCTATTGTAGGCTGCACGATGAACGAAATTTCTGAAAGATGTGTTAAAGGCCATTTTCAGCCTTGATGCAATGTGTGCCTCGACCCAATTTCCAGTAATTGTGAAGAATAGCTCCCCAAAAAACCTGTCAGCCAACTGTTGGCCGACAGACGACCAACTGTTGGCCAACTGTCGGCCAACAGTTGACCGACAGTTGGCCGACAGGTTTTTTGGGGAGCTCTTCTTCACAATTACCGGTTTCAACAAGCTACCGACAGGTTACCGACACGTTACCAACAGTCGGCCGACTGTCGGCAGACAGGTAGCCAATATTTCGGGCAAAACCTGTTGGCCGTCTGTCGGCCAACTGTCGGCCGACAGACGACCAACTGTCGGCTGACTGTCGGCCGACAGTTGACCGACAGTCGGCCTACAGGTTTTTTGGGGAGCTCTTCCTCACAATTACCCAATTTCCTGTAACATGAAATTCCCAGATTACTGAAAACCTTCTAAGCTTGTCTTTCTTAAGAGCCATCCTGGACATATAGTCAAATGTTTTACAATAAGTACATTTGCCGTTCATCATTTTACAGTTTCTTTACAGTATTTTGAATTTTGTCTGGTTGAATCTGAGAAAATGTTTTTTTAAGTATCACTCATGCTTGGATCTCTTGGTACTCTGTGAACAGAGGCGGCAAAAAGGATAACTTTCCAATTTTTTCACTTTCTAGAAGCGCTTGAGGTTTCTTAATAAAGATAAAATATTTCCCAATAGGAATTTCTATTTTTCAAAGAGAAATATGGAAAAATGTCAGACTGCTGGATGTTTAGTCATTGGAAGACTGTTTTTGGTAGTGTTTGGTCATGTCCACTGAAAATTTTCTAAGTGTCATGCTTGGATCTCTTCATACTCTGTGTACAGAGTCGGCAAAGCGGACAATGTTTGAATTTTTCCACTTTCTAGAAGCCCTTGAGGATTGTAAATGAAGGTAGAATATTTTTCAAGGAAAAATTGGTATATTTCAAAGAGAAATATGGAGTTATTTGAGGAAGGTGTCTAGCCATGTCATTAAAAAGTTTCTAGGTGTCAAGCACTTGGATGGCTTTGTACTCTGTATACAGGGTTAGCGAGAAACATCAGGTTCAAAATTTTTGGGCTGCCTGGTTAGCAAGGATGGCAAACTTCACTAAAAAAATCAATGTATGAATGAAAACGTCGTGGATCAACATTTTCACCCTCCTCAAAAAGCTTTCAAGGATTTTTTTGTTCTTCTTTTACAACAGCCCATGCATAAGCATTTACTGTCTCAGAATTTACAAAATGAATGGATTCATCTGATTCCATACCGGATTAAAACGTATAGAACTGTTTTACAAAGAATTATTTTGACAAGCTCACCAAACTCATCGGAGAAAACGCAGAAGCTATTTTGAGACAATGTGACAAGGTAAAAATAACTGACCAATCAGAGGCATTATATATAAGGTTGGAAATGGGCCTTTAACCCTGTAGTGCAAAAGATGTGAAAGTTGATTATCCCAACACATATGCCAGTACATTTCATTGTTGGCTTTTTCTGAAAATGTTTTGTTCTATGAAAGAATGATTTTTTTGTTGGTCATTTTTTCATTCTCTGCTTGGATGTGTTTGATTTGCTTTGAGAATGAAAGTGTTGGTCATTCCTGAAGGCATGGCCTAAGGGTTCATAAACTGGACTAAGAAATAAGTCAGTGGTTAATTATTCTACCTCTTTTGTCAAAGATACTGACGGAGGAAACAAAGGCATGAATAAACACTTCTCTTTTATTGTATGTGATTTACAGTACCTTGCACCAGAAGTTCTTAAGAAACAGGAATATGACAATTCTGTTGACTGGTGGTGCCTTGGTGCAGTCTTGTATGAAATGATGTATGGTTTGGTAAGGCAATACTTTCCTTTACTGGCCATATTTTTTGCTTGAAATTGTTTTTTTTTTTAAATTGAAACATATGTCATTGTTTTCCCCAAAAGTACCAGTGCTTATCATAGGGGGTTACAATGTTACATCTTTTATTTCAGTTATGCAGGCTCACATACTAATATGCAAACCACACTGATAACCAGTGCCTCACTAAATAGTACATTAAGTGCCAGATGGCAGGCTAGACATAGAGGAAGCCCTCAGGTAGAATACCCTAGTCCCATAGCTGATAAATCCCTGTAACCAAGTCTTAAGCCCCCATTCTTGGTACTAATAAACACTGATTAGATTGGTGCAATGTATGGGATGGGTGGGGGAATGCTTGGCACAACTGTGGGACTGAAGAACAACCACTACGAAAACTCCTCTTGAACATTGATATCCAACTACAATGTTGTGCTGGTTTTCCCAAATTAGCCTGTAATTGTGTTACAATTATTGCTAACCAAAAAAGTGTCTGCTAAGCTCCTGGGAAATGAGTAAAGGGAGTTGGTTTTGAAAGAAACTGTGGTGCTGTGTCAGTGGGGGTATGATAAGATAATTTGGTTTCATCGACCAAGTTGATAATGTAATTAGCCCACTGTAAAGAGTTTGTAATGCTGGTGTTTCAAGCATAAGCCCTACATCAGGGCAAATCAACAAAGGGCTAACACTTGAAACAATAGCTTTAGAAACTCTTCACAGTGCCCAGTTTATGTTATCAACTAAGGTGATAAAAACAATTTCTCTTAAGCTCCAGTTGTTAAATTTAAATTTGTTAAATTTAAAAATACATGTAATAAATGATATTAACAGTTTATAAATGTATAATAAGGACAGATTCAATAGTAAGTATAAAAAAATGCTTGTACTTGCTTTATGACAGCCGCCATTTTACAGTCGCAATACAGCAGAAATGTATGATAACATTTTGCACAAACCGCTGCGTCTGAGGAGTAACATTTCTGAGAGTGCAAGGACCCTTCTTGCAGGGGTGAGTGAATCTGTGAGTTACAATGTATATACACCAGACTGTTACTGAGGTTAAATTTCAAATCTTTGAGCAAATTGTTTGTAGTAATTACACAAACTCTTTCACATAACCCACACTCGTGAATCACTCATGCCCCTATTTCAAAGCCAGAGGTAATGTTACAAAATGGTTTCTAATATTAATTTGTCCAGACTTGAATGCTTCACAAGGAATTAAATGAATTTGATGTGGCCTATGAGGAATCATTGTTGAATTTTATTTGAAATACATTGATATTTGGGGAAAAATATATATATGTTGGATGTGATAAAAATTGGCAGCTGTTGTTATGGTGTGTATTAAGTTTCAAGATCTCATAGTGATGAATATTAACACAATGAACTATTTTGTCACATTCCTCTCGTAGCTTCTGCAGAAGGATCGCACTAAAAGATTTGGACGAGATGATGATTTTGTAAGTGAACTCTGTGTGAATGTTTAGCATGTGATCAAACCAACTTGTCATCGCATTGCAGGGTGTTAGACAAAAAGAGGAACATTGTTTCTTAATCTAAATAAAGATAGCCTGAAAGGTGTGGAACTTTGTTAATTGTGCAGAGAGAAAAAGACCCACATGCAGATGCTACCATCTCTAAGTGGAATATAGATATTTTGAATGGAGATAATAGTGACGTGGTACATAGTAGATCAACTAATATGAATCGTAAAATGTTGGATCATGAGTTGTATCAAACTACAATGCGTTGATGCATTGATTTCATTTCTGAACAGGATGAAATAAAGAATCATGCATTCTTTAGATCCATTGACTGGCAGTTGTTATATGACAAGAAGATAGACCCACCATACAATCCAAATGTGGTGAGTTGTTCAGCTCTTTCTTTCAAACTTTGTTCTCAGTTTCAATGTTATTTCTTTACTTTTTAACTCCAGGAGTTGAAAGTGAATTCTCCTAACTCATGTTACCTCAGCCTTAGAATTTGGTTTCACAACCAAACAGTATCCCCTTATTCTTGTTGTATGTTATGTAGACAGTGTATGAAAACTGTAATTAGAATCTACATTCAGATTAGTTCTGAAGTGTAAGGATTAGTGCTGTACCATAAATATGGCAAGTGCAACAAAGATCATGAAAGTGAGGGGAACACCTAGTAGACAACAGGGGTTTATTTCTCATTCAAAGCACATCCAAACTCAGCATTATTTAAGTGGTGTATAAAGACTAGTCTTATGGAAGTCTTTTCTTTGTTGTGTTAACAGAGTGGTCAACTGGATCTAAAGCATTTTGATCCTGAATTTGTGCGGGAACCAGTACCAGGTGTGTTGTTTTTTTCTGATGTCATAACTCAATGATGTGACATCAAGACATCCTGAAATACAACTTTTTTTTTTTTTTTCGTTGGAACTAGTCCTCTAATTCTTAGAAATACACGGACAAAGTTAACATTTGGGGTTTAATTGCCAAGTACTAGCTATGTTATCATGTGTCTTAAGTTCAAAATTTTAACTGTGTTTTACTGGAAACAAACAAGTGCCTATCATCCAAAGGGTAACCAGTCAACTCGCCGACGGACCAACTCGCCGACGCCAACTCGCCGACGTATAAAATCGAGTAGAGACGTCGGCGAGTTGGTCGTCAATCCAATACAACTTATTAGAAGTTAAACATACAGAAAAGTAAACGATATTTAGTAAAAAAAAAAACTGGTGAACATTGGTGAACATCAAACAGAAGCTTAAACATCGGTGAACATTGGTGAACATGTTTTCTTAAAAAATCTGAGCGATTGACATGATGAGTCTTTACGGTGTTGTTGTCACATAACTATCTCGTTCGCGTCTGAAGCTGTTAGAGTCATTGGCGATGTTTACTTTACTTTGTTCGCCTTGAGATCCTTATAAACTTCGTTGCAAATAAAAATAATTGCTTTTTACTAAAGATCTTGTCTAGAAAGCCAAGTTTTCATTAAAAATCTGACCGATTGTCATGATGAGTCTTTACAGTGTTGTTGTCACACAATAACTCGTTCGCGTTTGAAGCTGTTAGAGTCATTGGTGATGTTTACTTCGCTTTATTCGCCTTGAGATCCTTATAAACTTTGTTGCAAATAAAAATAATTGCTTTTTACTAAAGATCTTGTCTAGAAAGCCAAGTTTTCGTTAAAAAATCTGAGCGATTGACATGATGAGTCTTTATGGTGTTGTTGTCGCGCAATAACTCGTTCGCGTCTTAAGCTGTTCTAGTCATTGGTGATGTTCACCAATGTTCACCAATGTTTAAGCTTCTGTTTGATGTTCACCAATGTTCACCTGTGTTTTTTCACTAAATATCGTTTAATTTTCTGTATGTTTAACTTCTAATAAGTTGTATTGGATTGACGACCAACTCGCCGACGTCTCTACTCGATTTTATACGTCGGCGAGTTGGTCCGTCGGCGAGTTGACCGTAATTCATCCAAAGCAGCAGACTGTGAAACAGAATTGTTTGGGATACGTTTATATGCTGATCAGTTTCCAATGATTTAATGTTAATGAATATCAACTAGTGAAAATTGACTTATACCCCATTCACACCAGCAAAACATGTTTTGTTAAACTGGTTTTCATCAATCATTCCATTGATTCAAGTTGCTAACTTGCATTTCAACATTCAAGTCAAAAATATTCGGCTAAATAGTTTCTATGATATCAATTGCTTAGATCATCAATCATTCATTGAATTTTTATCAATTGAATTTTTTGAATTGTCAGGGAGTATAGGTGTCACCAACAGAGATAAACAATTAAGGCCTTCTACCAAACATTAATGCACCGTTTTTTTGTTTTTGTTTTTTTTTTGGATATGTTTTTTTTAGACCTGTGTCACGAGATTGATTGAAAGTTTAAGGTTTCTTTCATAGTTTTTGGCCAGGGTGCCAAGCAGAATGCAAATATTCCTAATTTTGAATTTTTTTTTTCAAATACAACAACTAATTCTACATTTTCACTTGAATCCATAGGATCAGTTGGTAAATCTGCTGACTCTGCTTTCTTGAGCGCCAGTGTTGATGACCCAGATGATGCATTTGTAGGCTTCACCTATGTTCCCCCAACAGATCTTACAGAATGAGTTTCAACAAACAATTTAACTTGAATGTAAATTTCCAAACAATGCATGATAATCAGAAGTTTATCCTCACCAAGCTCATCCCTTTTTTTTTTTTGGCATCCTTTCTGCACTTTATTCATTATATGGTTAGCATGTACTCACTAAGAATCAGCAACTATCTTGTTAAGTGATGTAAAAAATAAAATCTTTGGTGATCACTGTGGCCAATTAACAGAAAGGAGAACAAGTAGATACATGTAGTGAAACTTAACTGCCAAAGCATGAGTGACAATCATGATTGGTTTAAGTCTTGGATCTAATTAGTAAAGAAGGTTGTACAAGATTTTTAAACCTATTGTAGAGCATAGTTAGGGAAAACAAAATCAATTTGTCCATGCTCTTTTGAATTTAGTGACAACTTTCTCTGTGTTAGGTAACTCCCAATGAAGAGAAAAAGAAATCGGTTGAAACATGCTTTAAACAAACACTTGTGAATATGAAAATGATTATATTATAAGAATTACAATGTACATATACAAGGTGGTGTATTCTTGAATGGCAATGGGCCTCTTGCAGGGGAACAAGCAATGAGTGAAGAGAGATTGCCAAAAAGTCTAAGTGTAGGAACCGTTTCAAGGAAATGACCCTAAAGTGATTTGTATGGCAAACTCCAGATTTAAAGATTCTTGTGTACAACTTTACAGACCCAGCCTTTCCTCTTTCTTATTTTCTTTTCATATTTTTTTTGTCATTTTTCAAAATTTCAGAGGCTTGTGAAGGTTGCCATTATTATTCATTGAGTGGTTTTGTTTGCGAGGTTTACTTTTCAGTTAATTTGAAATGTTATTGTGTTTCACCAGAAAATCCCTTAGAAATCCTTATTTGCTAGCTGGGTGAATGACTGATTATGTGATGTGTAATTAAGGTAAAAGAAACTCCTGATTTCTTCTTCAGAATTCATGAAGGTGTGAGTTTCAATTTAAGTCAAATGCTCCCCTAAAAAAAGTGCTATTAATTAAGTCATGGTTGATTTCCCTGTGATTTGAGAATTATGGAAAAGTCTCTTGAAACAAAAGCAATTAAGTAAAAGCACAACATTCTTTTTATTAAGAACTCACTTGGCAATCAGCTGTCTCCAGTTTTCAACTGCTCTCTGCACTATTCTGCTTAATTGTGTCATATTTTTGGTCCGTGGCACACTATATTGACATTCGCAACATTTCTCAACACAAAAGTTAGGTTATTATTTTTCAGGTATGATATTCTTTCAGTTTTGTTCAGACATCGTTCTTGAAACTTGTTGAGCAATAACAATTTACATTTTTGTAACCGTAATACTTAACATACAATTGTCAAAAAATTAAATACATCAATGTGATACATAAATAAAGTCAAGTTTAAATCATATTCTTCATTATTTTCTTCATGCTTGCATTTGCATAAGGTACAGGGCAACAGCTGACATTTAACTGTACGAGAAGTACAGGGCCCCCTGCTTACCATAAACTGTACGAGAGGCACAGATACAAAAAAAATGTACCAGAGGCACACGGCGTCTGCCGACATTAAGCTGTGCGAGAGGTACAGGGCACCAGCTTACATTAAACTGTACAAGAGGTACATGGCACCAGCTTACATTCAACCGTATGAGGTACGAGGAACCAGCTTACATCAAACCGTACCAGAGGTAAAGGACACCAGCTTGCTTTAACTGTACGAGAGGTACAGGGCAGCAGTTTGCATTGAACTGTACCAGAGGTAGAGGGCACCAGCTCACAATAAACTGTACGAGAGGCAGAGGACACAAGCTTACATTAAATTGTACAAAGGGCACAGAGTACCAGCATGTAGTAGCCTGTACATGAGGTGTAGAAGGCCAGATATTAGGAACCTTAAGCTGCCAGGACGGCAACGCCAAGGAAGACTTCGATTAAAAAATAAATTTCTACTGTTAGTTAGAATTTCAAAATGGCTGCATGTGTTAACCGTCTCATACGGCGCCACACCTCAACTTCAGTATAGCGTTTAAAAGGAGCGTTGGGTTGCAAATGGAATTTAAAATAATTTGCCGTCGCGGTTTCGGTTCGCAGACGACGCAAATTGTGTTGATTTCACGTTGTTGTTTTGCATAGGACGGCTACGAAATGTACAAAGTTTTAAAACGCACGTGCTGAGCTATTGTTCTGCCAATTAGATCTTTTGTTTTTCCATGTTCTTGTTGCCGTCGCCGTTGTGGTTTGCTTAAGGTCCCTCTTCTCTCGTTCAGCCCTCCCACTCAGTTTAAAAGTATATTATGTAAAATTGTGTCAGCTATTTCCAGGTTTGTTGCTAACAGATTAAATCCTTCAATTTCCCGATAACCTGAAAGCTGGTCACTTTTGAGTAATGTCTACGAGGAAGAAATGCAGAATTCCATACGCCGCAAAATTGACTAACGACATGAGCAGAGTTGTTCTAACAGAGCGAGAGTGGGAACCAATCATGCTCTCCGACGAAGCCTGGTACAAAATTAAGATCAAAGATGGCGGATCAACAGATTGGAAAAGACTTTAGAAGTACAGTATTTCTTCCTCGCCGTTTTACCGTTTTATTGCATTAGTTACACAGTGAGAAATCTACTGTAAAAATGATGCTGCCGGAGATACCATCTTCACAAGCTTTTCAGGCGATACGTGCAGTGAGCGTGAGTGAACTTTCAAGTTTGAGAGAGGAAGATCTAAGACCTCTGCTGCCTTGTTTGGTCCGAATGGCTCTCTGCTCTCCAGTAGACGAAAGTGCAAAGTGGACAGAAGCGCGTAAGGAAGTACAGAAACTCTTGTCTGGTTTAGAAGTAGTTAATTCCATTGTGGCGTTGTTGTCTGTGGATTTTAGTCTCCTTGAGCAAGATGCTTTAAAAGAGCAGCAGCTGAGAAAAAAGGTTGGCGGTAGTACAAGCTCCAGTGTTTTAGTTGAGTCCTTACAAAATGGTCTTGCGCTAGAGTTTGAACGCAGTGAACCATCAAGGCGTCTTAGATTGGTTCTGAGTGAGATCCTTCGTATTATGAGCCAGGTAATTGGTATAAATAAATGAATAAAACATTAAATATATAGCGCTAAATGCAGTACTGTACATTAAGTATTATAAACTATTACTGAATGCTTTCCTTAAGAGAAATTTTTTGGGTTTGTTTCTGAAAAGTGGCTAGGCTGCCACAGGATCTCATCGGTAATGGCTGTGAGTTCAGTAATGCAGGAGCAGCATGAGCAAAAGCACAATCCCTAAGTGTAGTACTCCCAAGTGTTATTCCCTCAGAGTTCTTAGTGCAAGTTGTTGACAATGATTTTTTTTCTTAGAGTTTTCTTTGGGCTTCTTCCTATCACCTTTCACCTCTGAAATTATAAATATTGCATTGCGATGATTAACCATTGAACTCCTTTAAGTGACCAAGACAGAATTTCTCCTTAAAATATCATTACAATGTCAATAAAATATTGGGTGGAAAAGTAAGGAGAACAAAAAAAATGTCAATAAAGGGATTTTTACTCAATCCAATGCCAAATTTTCCAAACTCACATTGAAAGAGTTGTATAGCAGACTGTAAGGATAATTACTAATGACTAGACCAGTTAGATCACTTGGCTCATATCAAGAGGCTCTTTATTTTCAGTAAAAAAATAATAACTGTGAAAATGGAATTCATGTTCAAACTGTATGTAAAATTATCTGAAGGTGGATGTGAGACAAGAGTTCATTCCTGAGAAGTGTGAACTTTTTGAAAGTGAAGTTTACCTGGAGGAAGTATCAGATGTGATTTGCATTGGACAAGCTGAGCTGCCCTCACTTCTTGCATTAAACCAGCTTGCAGAGGCTCTCCTCAGGGTCAAGCAGGGTCCTTGGTTATTGTGTCGATTGGTGGCTAATGCTCCTGACAGCTTTGAACAAGGTGACACTTGTATCAGGATTAATGTAGTCCCGTGCAAAGATATTGTTAGAAAATTTTAGAACTTAGATGTCATATTGAAAAAACCCTAAACAGTTAATTCAGATATAGAAAACAGTTAATTTAACTGTGTTTACATGCTTTTGTTTTAGTGTGCAAGTCACTTCTTGAGCATGGTGAAGTACAAGATGAAGGTAGTTTAGGTGGTCTGGTGCGAACTCAAGCTCTAAGACAGCTATGTGCAATGAACCCCAGCTCTGCCTTTACTATGCATTCCGAGGCACTTAGACTGTGTCATATGCCTGGTCTTGCTGTGGCTCTTATTCTTGACTTTGGTGTGGACAGCAGTGGTAAGGACTTTTCTGTGGAGAATTAATTTAATTTATACATCAGATCACAAACTGGTCAAAAGTCAACTTCAGAGTGCAGGGATAATTATTTCTGCTGTATAAAACCATTAGTCACTGTCCCCATCAAAAGTCCTGTTAAGAACTATTTCAGACTGAATGATCACACCACATGATCTAAATTTAATATTTTGCAACTTTTATTTGATGTCTTTTCTTGTGTTATGAAGGTTCTTTGAGTTCAAGTGATCTTGTGGCATTTCTCAGCGGCCTTCTTTTAGGAGGAGATACAAAAGCTAGGAACTGGTTTTCCTCCTTTGTTAGGATTGGACAAAAGGTATGGAAACCAAATAAAAATGTGTTTGAAACTGGATTTAACCACAGTTTTTCTTGTTTTTTCTTCCTATTTGCTGCAACTCATGTGGAAAAAGAGTCATCCACTTTCAAGTTTTTTAGTATCTTATACAAGTTGCTGTTATTTTTTAAAATGTTTTTATTGTTTTGTTATGAAATCAATTTTTACTTATCTGTTTTTTTGTGGCTGCAACCATCATTGCTATTAAAGATGTTTTGAGTTATAGTTTGACTTTACCCTTTTGCATTAGTCCAGTACATCAATCTTGGCTTCTCTGAGAAGTCAGTTACTGAAGGAGATGTCATCTTTGGTTCCAAGTGGAACAAAAAAAGGAGCAAGGTCAGAGAACAGCAATTCAAGTGTGAAGGATTTTGTGGCAGGAGATGATGTTAGACAGGAAGATGAAGAAACATTAGAAATACTTCAAGGTGATTCCATTAATCATCCATCAAATGTTATCAGCCAGTTGAGGGTCAGATGTAGTGGCCCAGTGGCTGGCAATCTGGACTCTGGATGAGGCAATTCCTGTTTCACACAATGGCAAAGTCCTAGTGTTGTGTGTTTGGGCAAGATACGTAACTCTCACAGTGGTCCCCTCTCCCTAATAATAAAAATGGGCAGTGGAAAAGTGTCAGTGAAACTTAATGACTTGTTGTTGAGTTAATAGAGATCAACTAACATTTAGTTCAGAGGCAAATGTAATATTCTAATTTCTACATGATACTGGAACCTAAGATTAGCTCCAACAGTAGTGAGGCATAAAGCTTGGAAAGATTTGTTGATTAGTTTAATTAACTTTCCAATGAATTTACCTACATATATTTCAGCAATGGAGGTGAGCACGGATTATGAAATCACAGAAGAGAGTTCTGAAACTCCCCACATGAACTTAGAAACTGTTGAAACAGTAGAGATTAGTGATGATGGTGTGATCCAAGGCACAGCACTCTTGCGGCTGTACTGTGCCCTCAAAAGATTGGCTGGTATGAAACTAACCTCACAGGAATCAGAAGCATTGCTCCGGCTGGTAACATGTCACCCTCCTCCCACTGCTGCAGGGGTGAGGTTTGTTGTGGTTGGCCTGTGTACCCTTCTGGTCTGTACCAACATAATGAGGTGAGTGGTTTACATCAAATAGATTTAGCAACTGTGCTGTGATAATTGGAAAAAACTAGATAGATTTTTAAAATGTCAAGAGTTATTGAAAGGCAAATCAGTGTGCTGTTTGTAAGGTGGAGTAAATAAGTTAAGGTCACACTGCTAATAAGAAAGTCTTATTGAATGACAGAGTGGAGGATTTGAATCAGAGAACATTTGCCCATCTGCCTTCACTTTAATGGTAATCAATATGTTACACAGTTCAAGCCCAACTGTTTAGAATTATCCTACTACTTTGGCTACTGGTTGAGGTCTTAGAAAAAATCACAAAAATTGTTGCTGACCAGGGCATGAAATATTTGATCTTTAATGTCAACTCTTGATTTAATCAATAAGAGCATCACTGAATCTGTAATCACTCCATTAGGAGTTATCAGAGTCACACTTCACCTAATGATGGGTGGCATTAGTTTACAGGTGTTTTTCATAAAGATACAATTTTGTGATCAGTTCACCAGAGCATGAACAGATTGCTACCCACTGGATAAAGTGGCTGTCAAAAGAGGAAGCTCACTATGAAGCAGCAAGTGGTGTACATGCATCCTTTGGAGAGATTCTTCTGCTAATAGCCATTCACTTTCATGCTAGTCAAGTGGAAGCCATTGCTGATCTTGTGTGTTCTGTTCTTGGGATGAATATCAGGCTGGGCTCGCTGACAAGAATGAAAACTCTTTTCACACAGGAAATATTTCCTGAGAAGGTTTGCAATTTATTTTTTCTGAGGCATCCCAGGGTGCCAGAATCTTAAATCCTTGAATCTGATTGGCTAATTGCACACTTGTAATTGGCCTAGCTTTTTACAAGACAGACTATGGCTCAGTCCAAAGTCCTTGTGCCATACTCAAGACCTCAAGCATAGTAAATAACCTATGAAAAACAGAAAAAATCTTTAGCTAGGTATGACCTGTAGCCATGAGTGGAGAGATTATGCACTTAAACCACCATACAGTGCAAAAGCCTGAAGTCTGTAGTGGACAATCCTAGAACACAGAGCAGCTTTAATTTAATTTGTTGTGAATAACTTGTGACGATAGCTACCAAATATGTTTATTAAAACACAGACACTCAGCATGACAAATTTGGGTATAAAATTATAACTGTTACATAGACTGACCCATATTGTGATAGGTTGTGACAGCTCATGCTGTGACAGTTCCCGTCACACCACAGCTGAGTTCAGAGGATACAGGATTCCTTCCGATTCACTGCATTCATCAGTTGCTGCGGTCACGAGCATTCACAAAGCATGCAGTTCCTGTCAAGGTTAGACTTCAATTGTCAATTGAATGAGTATGCAGTTATTGCAGAGACAATGGGGTAACTGTTTGCATGCTGAATCTAAAAGTGCAGTGTTGAGGCCTGATTGGGCCATTATGTTTTGTTCTTGGGTAAGACTCTTGCAGTATCTCTCTTTCAACTCCCAAGTATGAATGGGCACTAGGAGACTTGCCATACCTTACATTACTACACCTTCCTTTGTGAGAAGTTTCTGTCAGTTCTGTCATTCCACTGGTTCACTGTGTTGCTGTCAGTTCAAGTCAGTAACAGTGTTCCTTCTATGGATAAAAGAGATACAATAGCCAACAGCATGTTAGTCTTAATAATCACCTTGCAGACAGGAAAAGGTTTCCTCTGTGCCAATGAAGTCACCTTGACCACCAAAAAAGGACATTGAAAATTTCTTTTTTATATTCACTATCAGGATGGTTATGACAAGCCCCTGTAAGAGATTAAATATATTTAACATTAAAATAAATCTTACTCAGGGTGCTTCCTATTTATGAGGTTTGGCTGAACTGATAAATCTGGTTTTGCTGGGGTAAATAGATTTAAATAGAAATAGCCTCCTTTCCAGAAAAATTGAGCAAGTTGTACATGTATTGTCTATGCTAAAGGAGGAAACAAAAGGGTTTACTGAGAATGTGATTTACAATCAACTTTTTTAGGACTGGGTGTTTAGGCAGATCTGTTGTTGTACCACTCCTCTTCACCCTCTTGTCGTACCTCTTCTTGAAGCCTTTGTACATTCTGTCATCAATCCCACATCCAAATCAACTAAGAACAAAGAAGCTACTTTCACTCTGCGTGGATTTACAGATTCTGAAGTTATGTCAGTCTTTGCTGCAGAATCCCAGGCATGTGATAACCTTGTTCATTTTAGTTCTATAGTTTTTGAGTTTCTAACTTGCTGATTAAAGCATCTAAGTGGACATGTGATATTGAAAATTGCAATAATTGCTGTCACCCCAAATATAAGATAGGAATTTTTGTATGAAAGATTTACTTTTTACCATTTTTTTGAATATTTCTAATGATTTGAAAGGTGTTTGAATTGAATGAATGAATTCAAACACTTAATCTCTGACATTGAAGCTGATTAGGCTTTTTCTTAGTTTGTGGTGTCTTTTTAATAGGCTAATTAATTTTCTTGTAGAGTTTGAGCCTAGCTTTGGCCTTCGTGAAAGTTTCTCAAAATAGAATGAAAAGCACATCTGTTATTAACTGGCATTTCCCCAACACAGCTGAAAGTGATAATCTGTTTAGAGGGAAATCCTTCTGACAACTAACTGCTTGAGTTGTCACTTTCACTGATAAAAGTCCTATTCAGGAGTACTATCACCCAAATTTCCCATCAAATTTTTGATGCTGACATCCTTTCTGATCTTGGAAATCTCCAGGAAGAAGGAACTGCATTCAGAATCCATGGACTTCCTTTAGAATCAATGAGGAGAAGCTCTGTGTATGTGGCCACAGAACTGTCATCTCATCTCACATCTCAGATTCTGATGTTATACTATGTTCTAACATACCAGGACTGTCTTCTTTCAAATATGAAGTCTTTAGGTAAGGCAGTGACCTCAGTAAGATATGTTGGCTCTGTAAAGGCTGATAAGATCTGTTCAATCCTTATCTTCACCTTAAAGTCTTCATGAGTGACAGTTTTTTTTTTCTTACATGTAAAATGATGTCAATTAAAATGCATGCATGTCCTTTAGAAACAAACCTTTACGTCATGGTAACTACTTCTCCATAGTGACAACCAAAGAATTAGTCAATCTTTCAGTTAAAGAAAGAGGTATTTGAAGTTACTTCTTGCTTGGGCCACTGGATTCCTTATCAAGAGGTGCTGGTTCCAGCCCCAGCTAGGTCACTGTATTGTGTTCTTTTATAGGACACTTAGTTCTTATTAAATGAATGCCTCTCTGCCAGTGAAATTAAATGGGTATTAGAAAACTGTCAGAGAAACTGATCAAGTAGCAAAGGAAGTGTGTGCTTTGGACCAGTAAAGGTTTCTTGCTGCAGAAGCTCTGATGAGTCTTAACTGTAACTATTCATATGGCTAGAAAGACTTACCTGTTTAGTAAAGACTGAGAAACAGGTCCTAGTTATTTCAAGACCCTCTAACACAATATTGTTTAGGAATATGCTGGAATGAGTTGTATACAGTCATCAGCAATGATCAGCTAGAATGTGTCAGAAAACTAACCTACTGATTTTACCTTCAGTTTCCAACAATATTCAGCCTCAGTGGCTGTCACCCATGTTGCTGTCACAAATACCCATCAAGCATCTGCTGGAGCAGGCTAGGAGACGTCGTCGAGAATTCCGGGGTCTGTATGCTCCCCTACTGCAGCTGATCAACACTCACTTGCCACACCTGTGTTTAGTGGATGACTGGCTGAGACAGGAAGAGGTATTCACTGCTCCACACTTATCAGCAGCCTCACCACTGCTTCATGTCCAATGTTCACCTCCTTGTTTAAAAGAAGGTATGCCTTGAAAAATTGAAAGTAATTTGGAGTACTCCTTTAACTCTCAGGACTTTTAAATTCATGGTCAGCCACAAGGGCCATGATAACATTTTTTCTCATAATTAAGTGCAAATGATCTGGCAGACAGTTAAGGTAAAAAGTTTTGATACCCATCTGGGGATTGCATGGCTCCGCAGAGAAATAAACCCTTGCAGTGAAAATTACCAACAAGGGACAAATTACAAGTTTTCATATGCATATGACCTTCAAAACCCAGCTATTTAAATTAATGTCCAAGTAACAATATGCAGGTTAATTATATCAGCTGTAAGATAATTTTAAGGGAAGATTTCTTGACAGTAATTGAATCAAAGAGGAACTGGTCAGCAATATGTTATGTAAGGTCCCTCTAGAAGGAGAGCTGTTGTCTTATTTTTCAATAGGGTCAGATTTGTTACTTAAGAAGTTTAAGAGTGCTTGAGACCCTTTTCTTTGTCACAGAAAATGACAGAAGTGGAACAATCTTGCTTTGCACCAACTGTTAATAATATATAGATTAGTTCATGTAGGCTTTCCAATTGGAGAATATTTCCTTCATAAACCTTTTTCAGTGGGCCATGAATGTGTTGATCACTTTTTTTTCCAACAGCATTTAGCTTGCTGCCAGACAATCCCTGTTCTGCTCTTCTGCTGCTTAAAAGACTGTTACAACTAGAGCCTAGTGCTCTGATTCCTTATATGGATGTACTGGTTCAAGCCTTACCCAGTTTATTGAAGCCTGGGGTCCCCCGGCGGGTGCAAACTCTGTCTTGTGAACTTTGGACAAAAATTAATACTGTTATACCTCGCAAGTAAGGTTTCTTTGGGCTACAGTACCTTTGACTTTTCCTCAATTTGTATATTGATGTGACACTATACAGATAATGCTTAGAGACACTGCCTTAGCTATAAGTTCTTGACATTTCTAGAGATCTACTTCTTTCTTTTATAATGCAGTTTTTTTGTGCTGTAAAAAATTTAAAGTATATTCTGTGGAAATCCACTAAATTAGGTTTAGTAGGTACACAATTGACCATTAATAGTAGTTATACCTTCTTTACTTTTCCATCTACCAATGGTTGTTAATATTATGGAAAAACTCAGAGGGACATCTTTTCAATACTTTTGAAATGAGAGCTAAGTAGGTTAAGGTGGAAAACAGGATTTTCGTCCAAATGGTCAATAGAATACATGTATTTTCAGTCAAATTCAGCATGAACGAGACTACAAACTTTTAGTTTGGTAACTAAGATAACTCAAAAAGAGGTAGAATATGTAAGACTATATGAGTTGTTGTAACCTTACCATAATTATGATTTCCTCAACAACAGATTGTGGTTGGCCACTGTCAACATGCTGTGTCCAGCAGAGACTCCTGTCCTTCATCTTACTCCTCAACTGTACACAGATGAAGACATTATGAAAGATCCTTTGACTGTGCTTAGATGTGACAGAAGAGTGTTCAGGTATGTATCTGTAAGAAAAGAACAATTATGTTATGATAGAACCAAAATAATTGTTCACTGACTGTACTAGGCCACCCTTGGAAGTGGTACACGATATGAAGTGACTACGTCTAACAACTGACAGCTCCCTATCTTTAAAGCCCATATTAAATCTGTATGTAAAAGGTTAATGTTAAAGTTAGTGCTCTTAGGAGAGTTCATAAATTCATACCATCAGAAGGGATGGTTAATATTTACAAGGCCTTTATCTTGCCACATCTAGAATACTGTGCTCCAGTCTTAGCTGGGTTATCAACTGGTCTTTCTAATAAACTGGAACTTACTAATCAGTACGCTATTAGAACTCTTTTGATATTAGCTAAGTCAACCTCATATAGTGACCTACTTACCTATGTCGGATATTGTAGATATTTTCATGCTCTCTCCCTTTTTGACAAATGCTTATACAATATGGGGCCAAATAGTATTAAGGAGATGTTCTTATTTCATAACAATAAATACCACCTCAGAGACTTTTGCAAGCTTAATCAACCTACCTATAGCAGTAGATTTATACATAGGTCATATCATTACATCATCTCAAGATTATGGAACAGTCTGCCTGACTATGTAAGGAGAGCTCCATCTCTTAACATTTTTAAGTCAATACTGGATGAGGTCAATTTGACTACCAGAGTTGAGAGTAATTGTAACTTTTGTACATAATTCTATATGGTTACATTTCCTCTTATGATTATTGATTTTCTTATATTCTTATTTTTATATCTTTGTATATATATATATATATTTTTCTCCATCTTGATATGTACTGGATTTATAGTAATTTGGCACGTTCAGCTTTAAACAAGTCTTGTATTCATCCGTGTAATGTGGATAAATAAAATACCATATCATACTTCTACTAAATCTAGGAACAACACTCAGCCATGTGTCCAAGTTTCAATAAAATGAAAATCATCTTATTATGACAGATGCCCACCATTATTTGATCTTTTGGTGAGAGTCCTCATGGGGTACCTGGCAGGCTCAAGGGCCCTTTTAAGTCAGTACCTCCAAGCACATCCTGCATCAAGAACTGAAGGGTTAGCTGTTGAACAAGAACGAGAAGAGCTACGGGCTGCTTTGGTGACAGCACAAGAAAGTGCAGCCATTCAGATTTTACTAGAAGTTTGTGTCAAAACACCTCAGGATCAGGTTTGTTGAAATCTCAATGTTTGTTAGTTTAAAAAACAAGCAAACTGATCAACTTTAGAACCAAAGTAAGCACAAAATACTCCAGGGCCATTATTTTTCAGGATTTTAGGGGAGCTTCCTCAGTTTTAAATGGATAAAATTTGTGTAATATCACAAGCTTTTTTTGTTATGGTGTTATTTTGCTTGTTTGTTTTTGTTTTTTGTTTTTCTGGTGCTGTTGTAGTCTTTCAAGCATTTTGAAGTAAAACTATAGTTCACCCTGAGTTCAGCAGATGTTAATATTCAACCTCTCCTCACAATATTATAAAATTACTAAGCAAGTAGTGGTGATGAGGAGAGAAAAACTTATCAGTGCAAGGGTGTTGTGGTTGTGATGTAATGCAAAATTCCTATCTGTTTAACTAATCTTCAGGAAAGAATCCAATGATAATTTCTCCACCTCTTTAGGATCAACCAGGCTGCAGTGGATCAGCAGTGCTGCGTGAAATCCAATGTCGTGTGTGCTCACAGCTACATCAGATGTTTATTGCTGTTCCTGATATTGCGAAACTTGTGCATTTCCAGGTTTGAGATGAACTCAAAGGTGGCTCACAGTGTCATTCGGATGTTTTCATATTTCAACCTTATAACAGTTCTAAATGCATTGTTCATAACTGTTAATAAAATTAAGGAATAAGGAAGGATGAATGGGAGTAAGTGATATCTTAAACATACTATGGACTGAACAGCACTTGTTTCTCTTGTAGGGTTACCCAGTAGAACTTCTCCCAGTGACAGTGGCTGGCATCCCTTCTATGCACATTTGTTTAGATTTTATTCCAGAGCTCATAAACCAACCACAACTTGAAAAACAGGTAGGACTGTTTAACAGCCTGAGTGTATGTTGTTCTGTAAGAGATTGAAAGTATTTAAAATAATTTTGAGCTTTTTTCAAAGATGTTGTTACTTTTGTTGTTGCAGTTGTTTGCAGTTCAGCTTGCCTCATACCTGTGCCTACAGTTCCCCCTTCCTAAAGCCATGGGTGTGGCCAAATACATTCTCAGTCGGCTCAGCTCTCTTCTAGCCACACTCCCATCTGGCAAGCGTGTACCATTTTTCACACCTGCCCTCCCTGCCCTGGTGAGATTTTGCCATGCATTCCCACCTCTGTGTGATGAGGCTACTGGGTTTCTGTTGGAGCTTGGTCGTGTGGCAGTCTCTCATGCATCAGCATCTGCTGCCTTTACTCTTGGTAAGACTTCCACACTCTTACATTTCTGTAATAGTGATTTTTGCACATCAGAAACCATCTAATAAGACCTTCGTAGTTGTTTACAGGGTTATACAAACATGTACTATTTGTTTGTGATTTTAAAACAAAACATCACTTACTGGGCAATGAAAAAAATTACCTATAGCAACCAACCAACAGGCCAAGGTGTGGAGAACTTTTAGACAGAGCTTCATGTCATATTACTTGTTATATGATTATTTTTTGGAGACAAAGTGATCCAGTGGTTACTATCCTGTAATTGAGAGGTCTTGGTTCCACACCTGGCTAGGTCACAGTGTTGTTTTTGTTGGGCACGACACTGAAATCTCACAGTGCCTCTTTCCTCTAAGGGAAACTTACAAAATGTGGGGGGGAGGGAAGAAGGGAAGGGGAGTTTACCAGCATACCAGACCCTGTGTGTGCTCTTGGAACCAGGATAAGCTTCAGCGTTAACAGGTTACTGGGCTTATAAATTTTTTCCTATTCTGGTTCACAATCAAGGTCATATTTCTAGTTTCCTACCAATTTTCATTCCACTGTTTCTCATCTTTCATTCAAGGTACTCCAGGATCTCTCTTAAATCAACTGTCTTTGGAACAACAGCAGGAACTGGCTGACCAAGAGGATCATGGGTTTACAGATGACTCCTGGTTGCCAAGCAATTTGACCCAGGAACATAAAGGTACATTAGAGGGTGCAGTTGAGAACACTGATACAGCCCTTTGTCATGCCATTGAAAAAACATTTCTTGAAGTAACAAATGTTGCAGTAGTAAAGCAACATAACTGTGAGCAGTAACAGGAGCAGGACAATCCATTCAACACTGAAGAAGTCCCGGTAGTAATACTGCATGAGGTGTCAAGCCAGGTCAGGACATGAAGTCAAATGATGGTCAATTTTAACTTATCCTCTCATCACCAGTGTATTAATCATCAGTCAGTTTTGTTGAAAGAGGGTCAATGCCTGGCTTGGATGCGAAATGGAACTGCAAGAGGAAGTTTTTAGAGTGAGCTTGTGTGATAGCAACATCACCTCTGCAACAAAAAGGTTTTTGCTACATGCTATTCTCTGTCAATAGCTTTAAATGTCCTTTATTCCTGTTAACAACCATTGAACAGTTCTGCAAATGGCATATAAGGCAAATGTGTTCATTTTTATTTCACATAAAGCTCACAATAAATAAATTTCTACAAAGGCTAACAGCTCTATTTACCAACTGTCCAAGTAGGATCAGATAGAACTCTTAAAAAAGTAATATTGGAAGCTTCCTGTGTAATATGAATCTTTGCCATATGTAGCATCATAGTTAACCTATCAACAGGCAGCCACATTTAGTTCTCAAGGTGAAAGACTAGGAGTTTGATGTTGCATGCATTATGCCAGATATAAAAAAAAACAACAATTTAAAAAAACTTTAAATACAATAAACAAAGAAATGGACATTAAAACATGTACTAGCAAATGTAAGTATTCCTTACTTGTGGCTTTGTAATTTCATGTATTAAATATATTTACATCCTACCGGCATGGTAAATGGTTATTAAAGACTTAAATTTCAATGGGGAATTTACATGGTCCAGTAACAGCTTATTCTTAAAAAATGGGGTAATAAGAAATTATTAATGTACAATCATGGTGATGGTAATTATTATAATGAAAAACTTTCATCCAGCCTTGATTAAGAGCTGAGAAATTCTTGTCGAAAGTGGCAGCAATGAATTACCGGTAGGTTGCTAAAATTACCTTGCATATGAACTCTAACCAGCACCAAAATTATGTGTCAGAGATTGAGCTTTTCCATGGATTTGGAGGAGTTTTACCTCTGGCTACTCCATGATATTGAATGATGTTGAAAAGTTGTATATCAAAATTTGTATGCTGCATGCTTCCTCTGATTTGTTTAACAGACATTTTAGCTTCCAAAAATGCTAGAAATTGGTCATTACACTACTAACCACCACATGTAATGTATGTTTATGCCAAGTTGAAACTTTTGAGCCTTGTTGATTTAAGAACTGTATTAAACTATATTTTACAACCACAGTACACTAAGCTATCAAGATTCACTGTCAAAAAGAGTTTGATTATTGTTCAACATCTGCTGATTCAAATCAGTCATTACTCTTCCTTTATTGTTACGAGACAATACTTTTTTGAAATCTGGTGCATCTCAGACCTAGAAAATTGGAAATAACTGGTCTGTCTAAAGTCTGGCATCCTCTCCACCATTTGCCAAATCATACATATCCTTGGCAACATCCTCTATGTCACCATAGTAACTGCTGCTGCCAGCACTTGAGCTGTCCCCATGGCTATGATATCCATTTCTCTTGGGTGATGACTCACCATTCTCGTCTATTCCTGTCTGGCCTTTGTCAAAAGAATTAAAATGGGAAAACTGACCATTTGTGTCAGCATACTGATGACCATTCGTTACCCCATTTTGCATGGGATTGTCAAGCTTTACATGTCGCAGTTGTTGTCGCACTTCATCTATCTCATGTGTTGAATTGTTTACAGGACCATTGGTTAAAGGGGTCTCAGGTCGTGAACTTTTGCGCAGTCTTGCTCTCTGCTCTCGTAACACACCATCAGACTGAGCATCTTTATCAACTTCATTTACATGTATCACTGCTTTCTCCACAGAATTTTCTTTTGCTTTACTTTCAGTCCTGTTCACGGCACGTCCAACCAAGGATGCTGTGTTTTTGGGATTATTTGAAGATTGAGAAAAGTCATCATTTTCATCGGTCCCTACACCAGGTTCACCTAAAACAGAGACAGATACTGTCAGGAGAAATCCCATAAATACAGACTATCAATATAAATTTAAAACGATACACAAGATATGTTAAGTATGCCAAACTTGAGGTACTTATTTGGAGGCAACAATGTTGTCAATTCTTCTACCATTCTGTTGCACACCTACTACACAGCATTTGAACCACACACGCAAAAAAATTTACATTTGACATTTGATCTAAAATGCATCAGCCAACTATAAGGTTAATACCAGCCATTTTATTCTTTCTTTGCAAAGCTGATATTATGGTAAGGGTTAATTAACTTTGATTTTTGCGTTTTGTACTATTGGTCTCACAGTAGATTGTCACTTACAAAGTATTCTCTGCATAACTTTACGGGTGTACTTCTTCCACAGTGTAGCGCCATAGTTTATTGCAGCTTCATTCTGATCCTCAATAGGAAGTGCATCAACCTCAGTCAGAGAGACATCCAATGAAGACAAAATGATGTCTTTGTCACGAGCACCTGTAGCTAATAGAGTCCCATCTGGGGACAGAGAAAGGGCTTCCACCTTCAACACAGAAAAAGAAAACATTTTAGCTGCCCTCTTTGACTATAAAGTTCAAAGACTGCCCTAACAATGGTTATTGGAATTAAGTTTTGAAGTAAGCAGCTTTATAATTAAAATAGGTGGCTAATTTTTTGTCTTTGATAAAGGAATCAAAGGAATATTCCAGCAGAATACTGTAGGCCATACTCAGAAAGTAAATGGTGATTTTGGCCAGCAACTTATAAGTGACAGTGAGACATCATACCCAACAAATTAAACTGTGCCACTTAGAGAGGTACCTATAGATATCCATATCTACCTATCCAAAATAATTTTCTGTGAAGAAGTGTAATTAACATGAGTTATCATTTTTTGTTGGGAGCAAAGGTGCCTCTTTGCAATGGACCCTGCAGCCTCTGCTAAGTATCCACAGAAATAGTAAGGAAACATCCAATCACAAATTTGACTTTATAGTCTCAGACATCACCTCTGATCCCACCCTGTGCTGTTTGATCATCTGAAGCTGTTTTCCACGCTTCCTCAATGGATGCCATGCACGGCATGAATTGTCTCCAACAGAAAAAATCAGTGGCACTGATTTGCTACTGATAACAGGATAAAACTGCAACTTATTTACAGCATCTTCATGCCCTCTGATTTTGATCAGCAAGGTTCCACTTCTTGGTTCCCACAAAGAAATCTGGCACAAGATTAGATGTATAATTCAATAAAAACTTGACTTTTTATCTTCAGGGGGACATTGGGGTCTGGAAAGGAACCCTTGTGATTCCTCTTACCTATACCCTCTTTGCTCAAGACAGGAAGGTAAATTTTCCCATCAAGCTTTCCAACATTTTCCTTTTTTAAAATCATGGTGAGAATCTAAATGTTCTCCTCAACATAGGGGCTCTCTTGTAAAGAAATATGATGTTTCCACATGTTATTGGAGTGAGGAAGGATATATTCTAGACCTACACTAGTTTACATTCCCAGCATACGAGAAAGGATAGAGTGTATCAAAAAGCTAATGTTTAAAGTTAAACTTGAAAAAAAAAAAAAAATGCAGAACTAAAAGCCTCCCTTTGGTATCAGTTCCCAAGGCCACCCAATAACTATTTTAAACAAAATTTTATGGCTCAACCACTGGGATTCTACTCTTTGTATTTCTGCTCAGTGTGCCATGAATTATTTATCATAATTAAGAGTTCCACTCAACTATCACTTGAGGTCGGCTTCTATTGTACGCTTCAATGCAGAACGAAAGTGGTGGCTCACAAAGTTAATGGTGCCAAACAATATATAACATATCTATCTCACACAGTAATATCAAACTCTTTCAGGCTCCACTTCCTTAAATATTCCCTTTGTTTTACTGGACAAAACGCGAAATGCAGCAAAATGTGAAAAGGAGTGCCACGACGAAGAACAATTATTTAAAAAATCTTCCAATTTGCAATCAAGAAACTGTCCACTGCACCCGGTAATTTGACGCCAGTGTAATTGACAAATCATTATACAAGACACGGAACTTCAGAGAAGCTTTTAAGACTTAAACAGTAATTCACAATAAACGTCAAACTTCTACATTTAAGTGATCAAAACAGTTATTATTATGATTACACTTGAAATGGCTGGGAGTATTATATTCAACGTACAAAACTTTCTCACATTTGTTAAACTAAGAGGAAATGTCTACAAATTGTAGAAGCAAATTTCACGCTTTACTTCTTTCGCGTGCCAGATCGCAAAAAAGATTACCGAGCAATTGGCGATAACAAACAACTTAGACTTTCGACTCATATGTAACCTTTCTCTTTAAATAAGAAATAATTATCATGTTTTCTGCATTAAGTTGAAAGTTTGAAAAAACGTTTTTACCTTGCTATCAGTAGCACCAGAGGCGATGTAACTGCCATCTGGAGACCAAGCACAACATTTCACGCTATCTTCGTGTCCTCCTACCAAACTCATCACTGAGCTTGCTGTTCGCGTGTCCCAAATCTTTAAAGAGCCATCATCCGCGCCTGAACAAAGTAGACCCGCACCGATGCTCGTCTGGAAGGCACAAGTCCATACACCAGTTGAATGCCCCGTCAGTTTCTGCAACATTTGTCCCGTACGCGCATCGGATAGACAAACAGTTTTGTCCCAAGCAGCAGAAGCTAGTAAAGTGCCATCGCTCGAGAAGGAAGTACCCAACACCCATCCTTTATGAGGTGAAAGTGCCTGCAGAAGTTTGCCTGTCTCCCCGCTCCACAAAGCCACCGTACTATCTGCAGAACCCGAAGCAAGTACGCCAAGACAACCCGCGGTCCCCACTCCTGGTTGCCAAGAAAGACAGGTCACAGGGCTGCGATGATGCCTCAAGACAAACACTGATTCCAGCGTACTAAGATCCCATATCCGCAAAGTTTTATCCCAGCTACTGGATGCGAGATGAAGTCCATCAGGACTAAATTCAAGTTCGGAAATGTGCCACTTATGGCCGCTTAGATGAGTCTGCTTTTCTGCTGACACACTCATTCCGAGAGTTAGAAAACTTGTGATCGACGCTGGATAGCAACAAAAAAATCACTACATCTTATCTACCACGAAAACAAAAGTTATTCTTCTAAATCTAGAATTATCCATTTCATGACTTGATAACCAACTCAGGATGCTTGCTACAATCCACGCAATTTCCCTTCGTCAGTATTTTCTTGTCCTTGTTTGTCTTAGTTTTGGCTTGAAAACCGCTGTGGTCCGTAAGTTAAGAGATCATCGAAGAAAATTGTGCTAAAAATATCGCAGAACTTTCTCGAAAGGTTGGAAGAAATTCTGTCACTCCAGCTCTTGAGATTTTAAAATATGCAAAATAGAAAATATATTTTCCCACGACTACATTAGCGACGATTAGTAACCTGAGCCAAATTGGTGTTATTTATAATGAAGAGTCACGTGACAACTAACAAATGATGCTTTAACGAGAGCTCCACAAAACTCTCCTCTGGGAAAAGTCATGAAAATCATTTCACAGACATCTCGGCCAATTCGACCAAAAATGATCACTTAAATGCTAATAAAGTGGTACACAAGCAAAATTATGGTGATCTGTATGAATTTCAAACACTAGAGAGAGTCTGAAAGCAATTTGCATGCAAACCACCCACACATATTATCATAAAGTTACTAAGCAGTTTTGAGTGAAGAAAACAAAATAATACTTTATCACTTGAGTGGTTAATGGCACCAGAGCAATACCAAGTAAATTTGACCCCTACAATCTCAGGTTTGAAGAAATGGGGAAATCTTGCAGAGCTACATCATTTTTAAGTCTCCACATTTAATATATTTAAGAATTTTCTACCAATAACTTCATGGTTATGTTAGGATACCTTGATGCGGTGAAGCTAGTTTGACATTTTGGGTTAAGATTAAGTGTCCTACTTTCAACCAAGGGATAAAATTAATATTCAAATTTGTCAATATGTAAAAACACCTGTTCACAATGCAGTGTCAGCTGCCAAAAATATTACTCATAATGAGATGCATATCACTGAGACATGATCAGACTATCAATAAAAGAATCAACACCAATCATAAGGAATGAAAAAGATTGTGAATGACAAGTGACAACAGTCTCCTTATTACAACACTTGGGAGAGCAGCATATTTTCAACATTAAAAGTAAATAACAGATTACAATTTTCAGTTGAATTATGAACCCAACATCAAAAGTTTGTTTCAATATCTTGTGTATCAGATATCCAGTTCATGAAATTGGACCACTCTATCATTACTAGCCTCTGAACTACTATTTATTTTAATCAGGCCATGGGATACCTAAAGAAGCGAAACATAGGCCTGCTATGCCTTCAACAACCAGAAAATCAAGGTTTTCTGTAGTTATTTTTTCAGGCTCATCTCATATAACAGGTGCCACAAAAAAAACACAGTGGCATGAGAGTAGGGCTGATCAGCACAAAGAACAGATAAGTTACATTGCACAGGAAAACAACACCGTACAAAATGTTTGATTCCTAATAACCTGCATAGTGATTTGAATCACTAGTACATCTTTTTATTATTTTCAGTATCAGTGATAACAAGTACTGAGCAAACACTATTGATTCTGACTTCAATGGGTCTAACCTGGATTGTTGGATACATGAGAACCTTTTGGAAATAAATACTTAAATTGTTAAGTAAGATGTTGAACAGAGCCCATCTATCTACACGAAATGGTAAATGCTTCTTACATCTTCCTTGAATCTGCTTCAGTCCTTTCTCTCCTTAATAGCCCATCTACTTCCCATCTACTTATGAGAAATCTGTCTCAATTTTTAAAGTAAATTTATTGAAACAAGCTATCCAACATATTGAGGAAATAATAGGTGACATGACAGAAATCATCTAAGTGATGAGTTGGAAAACATGTTGATCAACATGTTTGTTCAACAAGGTTCAGTACCTTTCCTACTTAGTAAAAAGTCCATCCTGATGACTTATTTTCCAAGAAATTCTCCAGCAGACATATTTGAAGATCATGACAATAAAAATAATAATGATAACAATGATGATGATGTTAAGGATATTACTGATGATGACAACTCAGGGGTGCAGGTGTAAAGAAGACAATTTCAGTCTTCAGTGATGCATAATATCTACAATCCTGACAGTCATTCGAATCATCTCTCACCCTTCAGTCATATCAATACTTGATGTTGGTGAAGTGACTGCTCAGCTGGGCTCATGCTTAACACTTTCAAGTTAAGATGTGTCGTTCCGCCATTTTCACTTTGCATATTGGGTATAATAGCATAATCAATCCTTTTAGTGTGATAAAAACTTTCTTCCCTTTTCTCTTCTTCTTTTCAGAATCTTTCTCCCCGCTTTAGTTCTTAGTCTTGCCAAGTAACCGTGTTTTCGTTTCCTTTGTAAGTTATTCGGCTGATATTCCATGCCAAATCTTACATAGCGACATGGTTGTTGTAATAAAGGAAGCACTTTTCCAAAAACAAACGATGCACCAGGAAGCTTAGACGCTGAAGATACCGTAAACGCGCGGGATACTAAAGACGATAACCAACTCATCATTGATCTAAGCCTAAGCCTTTTGCTACACCTTCTCTGCCAAAGCATTCTGGGAATGTATAATCATAATACTAAGGGAGGGGGAGAGAGTGATTTCACTTTTTTACTCTCTTTCTTTAGTATTTTATTTTGAAACAAACGATTTTATATAAGAGCGCTGAATAGAAGAAAAAAATTTGTTACCTTCGTAAAGGAAATATTTGTCTCAATACATCAAGTTATAAATTACATCCTTACACCTCCCAACATAACTAATATAATGTAGCTACTGTGTGCTTTGGGACACAATAATTGCGCTTACATGCATAAACTTCTCGGATTTTGAATCATGGCGGCCTTTTGATGTCAGGACAGTGATCACTAATATATGAATGGCGAAACGTAGAAGCCGAATCACCTACGCCCCAAAGTCAAGGCGCAGAAGCCGTGCATCTGATCGTAGTCAGTCGGCTGTGGAATCAAATGTACCGAGGATAAAGGAAACAGATGTCTTACCATCGACTAGTCAAGAAAAGGTAATCTCATGGTTCATTCTACATTATTCGGTTACTGAGGGAGCTTATTTTTTCCACTTTAAACCTTTGAAATTCTTAGTGAATAATTTTGAGGACCTTAAACTGACTTCATAGCCTTCATTGGCTTGGTTGTGTCAGAAGGAGTTGTGTTGCCACCCGCGGCAAGGAAGGGAGAGGGGACATTTTGAAAATGAGCTGGTTATACTATTGAATATCAAAATATTAGCGATAGCAGTCATGTAATGATGATTGTTTTGTTTCGATTTTAACAGAGTGAAATTCGTTCTGCAAACGAGGAGCATTTATCTCCATGCAGAAATTTAAAGTCTAAAAGAACTGAAGGTACAGAGTTGATTTTGTTGTCAATGATTGTTTATAACAAGGTGCACTGAAAAATGGCCAAAAATACTCGTTGTCCGATCAAAACTCCTCCTCATGCGGCAGCGATAATTTTTTTCAGTTTGTTTGGCTTTGTTCCCTTCCAGGTAAATCTGGAAGGACACCCAAGAGTAAACAAAGAACAAATCTATTTCATGAGAGAGGAAAAGCATTGAGGGATGATGGAACGCCACAGCGCATTCAGGATATAACTGTCACAAAGAGGACATATGCTAGATGGAAGCCACTTTGCATGTCAACAAAAACATATACTAAACAAGTCCTTGAAAACTTGATTTTGTAAGTTATGCTGGTTCCCTCAAAAATCAACTGTAGGCTCAGGGGGGTCCTACACCAGCAGGAAAGAAACTTTTCAGTCAAACAAGTAGGGTCACATTAGTGAGAGGTAACTGTCAGTGTTCTGACATTGAGAACTGAGCCAGAGTGCATGTTTACTGCTCAAAAAAGGAAGGACATCCCAATTGTGGGTCCCGTTGAGAGTGTGTTAATGGTCTTTGTCAAGAACTTCTATGACCATTGTAAAAAACCTTGAAATTGTGAGGGATAGTAATGCTAACCATTCATGTTGAGAGTGCAAAGGCCTAGAAAATGTTTGCATTTTCCAAGTTGGTGGTGTTCTAAATTTATAAAGTTCCTCTGTTCACACAATGATTTCTTCTGTTTACCTTGGTTTTCCAAAATCTACATGCTCAACTCAAGCACTGCTGTGCCTCTGACCTTTTTTTCCGATTGGAAAAGTTTGTTTTGATTGGAATAGTTAAGGTTGCTCTTGAAAATACCACAAAATAAACTCATTTGCATCCCATGCCTAATATGCTTGCAATGATTTTCTACTCTATTGGGTACAATCTTTATGGCTTGGGTTATCAAAAGGTAATGATGTTAAATCTGTTTTTCTTTATAGGAGTGTTCTGAATGACTTTCCAGATTCCAAGAAGAAGAGAGAAATTCAGTTTCATTTTCAGCAAATATCTGAAAGGTAAATTTACCTTATAGGGACTGATCTTAGCCTTTTTTAGAATCTAAACATTGGCATCAGCATTAATTTCTTCCACCAATAAAATGAACATGAGATTTAAACCAGAAATTGTTTGAACAGGATTGCGATTAGGCTTGACAACATCAAAGGACCAACCCAAAGAGGAGACTACACCAAAATGGAAACTGAATCAGTAAGTCAAGAAACAAGCAAACAATTTTTAAAATAATGACTGTGAGTTAGTGGTACAGTTTCCAGTGTTATTTTTGATTGATTTCAACTCTTACCTAAAAATGACCAAATTTTGAAAGAATTTAAACTTTTTTTAAACACAGCATGAATTGGAAGATGCATTAATTTCTTGTACTAATCAAGTAAATGCCTTGGAGAAAGAGTTAAATGACCAGACAAGGTAAGGAAAATTGTTCTTCCACTATGACTACCCACAGATACATGTAAATTCAGCTTATTAAAAGTATCCAAAAGCCTACCTTACTCAGGCTGCCCACCTCCCTGTCTCTCTCAGTGTGTCTCTCTAGACAAAATAGGTATGGTTGGTGTACTTTGTCATATTGAAATAACCATCTTATATCTAGTATGTTACAGGTAAACCTGTAGTAAGTGACACATTAATAAATGGTCACCCTGTATTAAGTGGCCAGTTATTGTAATTTTCTCCTCTATTCATTCATTGTTAAAAACAAAGAAATTGCTTTCAAAATTGAGAGAAATTTGGAAACTTTTCACTTCCAACATTCTCATTCAGGCTTTTAGAACAGGATGAAGAGAAGGTGAAAAGCTTCAGGGATAACAAAAACCAGCAAAACCAACCCCAGGTAGTTAATTTCCCATATTTCTAAAAATATGTTATTGACCGAAACATGAAATCAGCAAGGGCAGATACTTGCCAGCTTTTTCTTGCATAAAATTTTAAGAGTACAAAGTATTGTTGTTGTTTATTCTCAGTCCGTATATTACAACACACACACAGACACACATAATCAAAGGCCCCTTAGGGCTACCTCATGGTATGTTTTAGTTCTTCAATTAAGTAGAAGAGAACTTTAACCATTTGCAGTCTCCTTCCAATATTGCATGATATCCATATACCCTTAAATGACCTGGGCCCAGTTGTATAAAGGGCAGATAACACTATCTGACAGATAAATTGCTATCCAGTGGATAACTGTTCACAAAATACATTGTGCTATTCACTGGATTATGATATATCCAGTGGATAGCATTATCTGGCATTCAAACAACTGGGGCTAAATATTTATTAACTTAAACCGCGTTAGCTGGAACACTAAAAATAAAGCATATGCATATTCAGTAACAACAGACAAAAGATAAGGTTTACTTAAAAGTCAGATACATTGATGGCCAAACAGTAAAAAAATATCATGGAACTGTGGCCACATTGATGCTAAAAATTTGATCTTTGCCTAAGCAACGAATTAAATTTAACTGTGCCTTAAAGTTCTGACTAATAAGATTCACATTGTCAAACCAATACCAAAATAGCTCACAAGGTAATTGCGTAAGAGAGTTAAAATCCAGTGAAATCTATAAAAGCTCAAAACAAGCTAAATCAGCTGCCAAATGTGTGTAAAATATGCCAAATTGCAGCCAAACAGATATGCAAAAATCAACTTGGAGTCAAGAGTTAAAATTGCTTATGCATGACAACAAAATGTTTCCATATCTATCACTGAAACTTGTCATCATTGATTTTAAGACTTTGAACCTCTCCTCATTCTAATTGAGTATTCTTATGCACATTTCCTCTCTATTTGTGAGGAGCAGAAGGGTGTATCTCAATAAGGATAGAGCAAAAAGAAGGAAAAACTAGCTAGATCATTTTAGCCTATTGCCTGAGGACAATTGCCAATTGATAACTCCATGTACTCAGGTAAAAATTATGGCATTTGTATAACCTTCCAGATATTTGAACAAAAGACAGTAGGATAACTTTGGAGACAGTCTAAGCAAACCTGGTAGGGGAGGCAGGAGATAATTCATTTAATCCAAGTTTTAGTGTTTACATTAATTTTCTAACAGATCAAAAAAAGAGTGAGTGAGTGAGTGGATTTTTTCCTTCTACACCAAAACCTAACAGTATGAGGCTGTTTCTAGTATTTAGAATGAATAAGCTTTGGCAGTTGAGAATTTATTCTTTATTATGGCAATTACCACACCATTATCTTTACAGGAAATAAAGGTCAGGTTGAAGCCTAGGCTGAGATTGATTTATTGATAAAATAATAGTAATAATAATAAAAGCATTAATTAAATACGATAAAATTACAGCATAGCTGATGTGGTAGTGTTTAAGTCAAGTCTAAGGAGTAAAAAGGAAAAAGAAACTACAGTTGTAATTAAAACTACAAATACATGATTAAGACAAGAAATTTAAAGTTATATCCACTAATAAATTAAAAAGTGTAAAATTTTGAGGGAATTTTCTTACTGGTTTAAACTTGGCAACCAAGCTGGTCATTCTCTCTTCATTGGCAAGCCTTTTCCAGAGTACGGTACTCATGTATTGGATGGACCGCTTGATATTATCTGTCTCAGGTTTTGGAATGTATAAACATACTTGTTTTCTTAAACAGTACCTACTCTCATGTTTTGCCAGTAAGTCTTCAAGAGGGCCAAGCATAAACCCATAACAACATTTCTAGGCAAAAACAAGTAGTTGCTGAAGTAAATGAGCCATGAAGGCTCTCATTTTTGTGGTGTTTGAAACAACTTCAGTTGGCATACACAAATCTAAGTAGAAAATAATTCTAGGGGCCCCTTGTGTGTAATCGGTCAAGTTTATCAAACAATGTTTTTGCAAGAGCCCCAGAATATTGATAAGTTTTGGATGGTAATATTACGTTGAAGTAGAAGTCTATCCAAGCATTGACAGGAAAGAAATAAAATGATTTTTAAAAATCGAGTTTCTATACAAAAATTTGGTCAATTCCAAAATTGAAATCACTATCAAAATCAACACCCAAACATCTGGCTCGGGTTGTTTGAAGGGTGGATAACGCTATGTTTTATTAACACTTATCTGTTGGGTAGGACTATCTGCCCTTTGAACAACTGGGCCCTAGTGGAGGCAACTTAATTAATAATAGTAGAGCCAAATTTTATACCCTGTAGAGGGCCAATGGAGGTGCTGTGTTTCATTAAAATAACCTCTGTCTTGCACAGGTGTGGTGCTAAAAAATTGTCTTGGTGCCAATTAGTGAGTTTACTCAAAGTAAAATTAAGAGATGTGGCCACCATGTTAGGGTTGGAGCTGGTTACGTAAACAGTGATGTCATCAGCATACATTTGAAATTCACCTTCGCAATCATTAACAATGTCTGGTAAATCATTAAGAAGAGTGAAAATAAGGAGTGACCTTGTGGAACACCAAAAGTAACTCTGTGTACACTGGAACTACAGCCATTAATGGTAGTAACTTGGTATTGGTAGGCAAGATAATCCCTTATCCACAACCAAATGTCTCTGGTGATTCCTATGCCTTGTAACTTTTGAAGTAGGACAGAATGTGATAAGGAATCAAACACTTTCTTAATGTCAATGATCCTGATTGTCTCGTTATTATCAAGTGCTTGATTGATTCAGTTGTTAATTTTGTTTCTTTACTACACAGCTCCATCCTCTGCTCCAAGTTGAGGCTCAAAACTCCTTAAATCTACCAAGCTTGTCAAATGAAGAGTGTAACTTATCTACAGTGTTCCAGGCAAGTATATCGCCTGGCTAATTAGTTAAATTTTATAAATTTGAAGGTGAACATTAAGTGAAAATGTCTAGGAGTGTTGTATGTAGGAGTGTTACTATGGTTTAAGAAAAAGAGTTGAGTAATGACCCTTTTATCAACAAAATACCCCTTTTTTTTCCTTTTAATAGGTTGTAAACTTTGTAGATTAATTTATGATTTCTGCAACAGGTATCCTCCATCCTGCAAGGCAATGGACAACGACTAGCTCAAGCACTAACCAAGCTGAGTAATCAAACAGAAAAACTTGGCTTCAGAAACTGGCTGGAGGCTGTATCTGAAACAACTCATGTCTTACATGATTCTTAAGCATGAGAAAATTGCCTTAAAGTTTGTATATATGGATTTTTTTGAGTGATAAAAATTGTCATGAAGACGAGAACATTCTGTATTACACTAATAAACTTATCAAAGCATTATTTCAATATGAGTGTAATCACTTGCAGTGTTTTGACAGTACAATATTAATCTTAACGAAGAAATAAGGTCAGCCTTGAACCACGGTGATGCACTGCAATTTCTTTTTTAAAATTAATTTCTGTAACAGTAATTGACAAATTGTTCATTGGAGTGAAGAATTCAAGAAATTTGAGCAGCTACTGTACAGGTATAAATAAGTTATAAGCCATGTTTGTACATAAGAATTGTATTACACACTTTGTAACTACACCTCACAAGTAACATTTCGTAAAGGATATATACATTTGTACATCTCATATTTTTTTATACAGTCGCTCATCATAGAAAAATTACAACTCCAGCTGTTACAAAACATTTTCTTTACTGTAAGTTTCATGCAAACCATAACTCAAGTTAATCTTTTATACCAGCAAAAACAGGAAGATTTGCTCTGCATTCATTTTACGGATGGAAGTCCCTCACGCGCATCCAACATCCGTTTTTTTGCTCTTTGGAATGCATCTATTTAGGGAAATTAGAGAGCATTTTAATCAGAGAAAAGTCAGTTACCATAGTGATTTGATAGAGCACCTGGAGCACTCATTTACGTTTGCTACCTGTAGGGAGGGCATGTATTTGAAAAAGGGTGCTTAGTAGGGACAGCGCACTTATTTCTTTTCTGGATAACAGCAGAGTGCGCAAAACAAAGCTTTGATGTCTATTTAACAAGGATCAAGAAGACTAGAAAACAGACTTGTTGTCCTTGTATCCCACTAGGTTAGAACAAGCATCCATCTGAAGGAACTGTGCATTAAAATGGACACAATAGTTGAGAGACTGAGACAAAGACAACTGTTTTTGCAAAGAGGCATTCAGTGAGAAATTAAAGGAAGATGAACTACAGTTGATCTCAATGTACATGTACTCTAACAGTGCTAACATTGAAACAGAACAGGTGCATTTGTCGGAATAGGGGTATTTTTAGCATAGGGGTTCTTCTATAAGGACGCTTATAAGAATTGGGGCATTTAATGACAAAAAAAATAAAAACCAGAATGTTTATTTTTTTTAAGTCTTAGTATAAACATACCACTTTAACTATAACTTATGAAACAAGCACAAGCCCAGCACTCAATAAGTTCATCCTAATTTAGATGACAACATCCAACACCAAAGTAGGAATGAAAGGTGTTAAATGCTAAGAAAAAACTCAGAATTCTGTTGGTTCCTTGCACTTTTTTTGTTTTTGTTTTTGTTTTGGTTTTTTTGTATTTTTAGAATTTTTTTAAAATTTCATTTCATCATTTAGAAATAGTGAAATATTGTTGTAGAAAATCCCTTCAACTCACCCATAACTTGTGCTAAAGAGTCCAGAGCATTCATTCCACTGTAAAAATAGAAGAGACTAATTTAAAATATTTATGTACGTTTTTCCTTTTAAAAAAGGGAAATAAGAAGTCAAATAAAGATGTAACAACAAATCACCAACAATGTGAAAAAAAGAAAACACTATGGAAATGGGACCCAAAATTCACTGTGGAAATTGATAGTTTCAAGAAGCAACATATTCCTGGTACAGCACTGTTGATTACTATTTAAGCCTTGAAGTTACCCATAGGCAGAATTTAGCAAAGGCAGAAGCTACTCTTTTAGGCATTTACAGTAGTTGACCCACCCTAGTCTGTCCAGTATAGTTCTTGTGCGACGAGTTTTCTTTGCTTTTGAATCCATAAAAGACCTTCAAAGAATAACAAATAAGTAGAATGGCAAAATGTGGATCACAAACATTGAAAGTACCAGCCATGTTAACAACTTTTAGACCTTTGTAAACTTACTGACACTGCTGCATGACATGAAACTTGACATTAACACTCCCAGATCCAGCTGTCCTGAAGAAATATTTGCTCAATACCTTATCCTGTCATAAAAAAAAGATGATATATGAAAATTGATGGTACAGAGTCAGTGCCCCAAAATACTTAGTCATGCTTGTTCCTAAGGGGAAAGGAGGTGAAAAGTGATGTACAGGTACTCTTTTAAGCAAGCTACCTAAACCTGGACAAATCAACTGGCTAGGTGATAAAGAGATTTTCAGTGCAGGGTCAGAAATTCCCAGCAGCTGGTCACCAAAATTGACAACTAGTATCTGGGAATTTCATCCTAATCACTCCAAGGGCAACGCACTTTAAGTCTTAGCAATGTTCTTCATGTAACCAGCCATCAGACCTTCAAGAAACAGAACATCCATTATTTGATTTGTTCTCTTTCTATATAATAAACAGGTGTTCCTTCAGGAGCAAGGATATTTTTGAAGCAAATAAATGTCTTTGAAACATAAGCATTCTCTTATTTGACTGACTGGTCAAAGGTCTTATGAATCAGACTTTTGGTGAACAAACTGATCATGTTTAATTACCACTCAACCCACAGAAAATAGAATCAGTAACTCAGACTCTGCAGTGGTCACAACTGTCACATAATACAGATTTTATACTATATATCTTACATCAGCCATGGCAGGTTTCTGAGGATATGTAGGATCTTCCAATTCTGGTGATCCACCAATAAAGAACCTTCGCATCTCTGGACCTGTGCCATTTCCTATTGGTCGCCAAGTGTTCACTTCCATACTGTAGCTGCCTGGTAATTTTGAACACAATGAATTATTTCAATTTGTTTGAACTGTATGAGTTGGCCTATTTTATGTTCATAACCCATGTGAATTATTAGGTGAAACTCAAAATTTAAGCATAGATGTCTCTCATCCTGATTCTACACAAAGCTTTATGGGGTATGGCTACTTATGCTAATATATGCATAACCTCTCTTACCAGCTTTACTGGGTATAGTGATGTATGCATAACCCTCAGCTCTGAACCTTTCCCAGCTGTCCAATGACAACACCTCCAGAAAGAGTGTTGGCCAGTGAATAAAATCATCTGAACAATAATATAAAGAAGCAACATGAGACATTTTCAAAGATCTCCACTGATCAGAATTGTTCAAATGATGCTGGAATTCCAATCAAACTTACCACAATCATCATCCTCTTGATAGATCAATGAGAAATCAAAAGGGAAACTAAAGTGTGCCACATAGTCCTTTGAATATGAAAATAAAAATAAGTCATTACAAAATCTTGGATGAATAATATCCAACAAGTTATTCAAAATACGGGATAAGACGACTTGAGATTATCAAAGCATCAAAACCATATGGGTTAAGACTTGCCCCTTCTTGTACATGGTGACTGTAACAAGACAGTAGCCCCTTATAATTTGTCCACTTTTCCTGACAGTGCACTGGTATTCATTTATACTTTTGGTTAGTATCTTGAGCCCAGTATAGCATATGCTCTGCCACCATCTCTCCTGGTAGCGTTAACTACTAACTTCCCCAAAATAATTTGAGGATGGACATCAAATTTTGTACTTCGTAAACTTTTTCCCCAAATAGATGCTCTTTAGCAATTGTTTGGAAACTTACTCACTTAATTATTTTTACAATACTTATAAATGACAACAAATCTGATCGCACGATAAGCTGAATTTTTAAAAAAATTACTTCTCCTTCCAGCTTTGTCATGCAGGTCTGTGTGACACCTGATAAAACTGGGTCATCAGTTGGTCTCCATTCTACATTACAAAGAGAAGTGGAAAATAAACAGATCTGTGTTTTTCCTCTACAATACCTACAGTTCTGCTCATGCACTAACTATATTATGCAATAAATTATATGTGACTCTTTACAGGGAAAATGAGTGACAATGTAATATTTCTAAACTCAAGACACCAGTAATAGTGTCTTTTCTGTTAAACTTGTCTACAACAGTCAAATTTAAAATTGTTGAATCTAAAATCAAGTACTTGATTCATTAACTAGCTGTGTTCTTGTTGTTCATTAGTGTCAGACCTCACAAAATTCAAACTTTGCAATGAATAAGACAAAAATTCAATTTTTTGACACGTCATCAAAAAGTGGTCTTGTCTCCAAATACAATCTCCTAATTGATAGTTTCATAACTTCTAGTCACTGACTCCCAAGCCATTCACTCAAGTAAACAACTGGATTTCTAGAGTGAAACTAATACCTTCAAGATAATTTTGTTTTAACAACTGAGTTGATATATGTAAATTAGCCACCATAAAGAACATCCACAGCTGACATTTCAGGCCTCAAAACTATTTACAGTGGCCAATTTACATTATCAACTCAATTGATAAAACCAAATTATCTTGTTATACTCCCACTTATGTGGCACTTACATTTTAATACCTGTGAGAGTTCTGCACTCTTACCACACAGATTATGAACCTTTACTTTTCTAAGTATAAAATACCAAGAGTTCACCACTATTCTTTTATTGTGGCCTTTGGTTTATTGATCACTCACTTTCAGGCAGATCCAGAAAAAAGTGAACATATAGACCATCATAGTCAAATCCTTTGGCAGAAACTATAGTTGAAACAAAATTCATTGGTTAGGTTGGATGAAGATCAATGCATACAAGTAAATGGCCAATTCTGCAAGAGCTGGTCCTGCTTTCTTTGGCATGAGATGAAGTATGGCAACTCCTCCTGGATCAGATCTCAGTCCAACAAAGGTTATTGTAAAGTACCCCCACCCCCTTTAAATTTTGGCAGCACTCTATCATATTCTTGGAATGAGAGAGAGGCACTGTGAATTTCAAGTATCTAACCCAGGAACACTACACAAAGACCCCACCATTCTTGCTTCTTCTTTACCAAATAGACACTACTAACAATAGCAGTAAAGTTTAAACCACACTTAGTACTATTCAGTTCTAATAAATCTGTTTAACTTACCTATCTCCCCCAAAATATTCATTCTCAAAACACCAGGTTCTGGCTGTAACAGCAGAAAAAATTGAGTCCATGTTTTCACTAACAGAGTATCATTTTTTTATATTAAACTATCATAATAATTATACATGCAGGAGCTTTGCTAATTTCCTCTTAAACAGGTTGTCTAAAACAGCATCTGATAAATTGTACTCCAACAAAAACCTTTAATTAACTAGCTAATCTAACCATAGTCTCAAATCCAGATCCAACTTGTGAGGCCAAATACAAAGCATGTCTGTTGTAAAGCTGTTTGAAACAACAAACATAAAACACTTCAATCTATTACACTGACAGATAATGATTTTACAACAATAATATAGAGATATATTGTTTGAATAGATTATAAGACACATCTTAAACAGACTTGCCTCATTGAAACTCTTGAATTCTTGCTCCCGTTGATCACTAAAATTTACCAGTGAAAAAGAAAATTAAACATGATGGTAAATATCATCATTGAAAATAAACAATAAAATACAAAAAAGTTAAAGGGAGGTATTTCATTTGGAAAACTGTACCCAGAAGTTCCTCAAATTCACTCAGCCAGTTTTGCTTCTTCTTGGTTCATTGTGCCTCTTTTGTGTTTTTTTTATCAAGTCAAACTGATACTTTGTAGCCTTAAGAAAGCTGCAAATTGTTGTTTCCAAAAGTGCAAAAACACAACATATTGAGACATGACTCCTAAAAATAATTGAAATGGGAAAGCTGTATAAATGAAATAATGTTCTTGACTTAAATCAGTGGCCAGTTTCTTGTGTAATTCTGGGTGTTACATGTTTAGGAAAAATTTGTCACTAAAGAAAGATGGCATCTGTCTCATCACAAGGCTTATTGTAGTTGAGACATGAAATAAAACAAAATAAAATGGGGTTTCTGCAATTTGCAAAATGGAAATCCATAATTTGCTAAAAAAGAATCCTTGCAGACAACTCCAGCAGCTGGAATGATGAAGTGTTCATTTCATCACTGGTGTGGCTGCATACCCAGCCTAGCAAACAATAACAACTAGACCAGGAAGTATAAAATGAAAATCTGTATTTTAGCAAAGTGTGTTTGTGAGATTGGAATCTGTTTTAGCAAAATGGGAAATCTGTAATTTTGCTAAATAGAAATCTCTATTTAGCAGAATGGGAAATCTTTACATACATACAAAATTAAATACATTGCGTACCTTGTCATTTGAACAGAACAGTGCTCAATAGTATATTCATAAACCTCTGCAAGAGAAAAAAGAAATAGTTGTTCAGCTTTGGTCTACTATGCAACACTACTACAGCTACTGCTTTGCTAATTAAGGTTATCATTTAGCCTGTCAGAAGGTACAAAATGGAACAATAAAGTGATTCTGTAAATGACATTAAGAATGTCATTAGTGAAACTCAATATTGTTGCATGAAGTCTTTGAATGGTAACATTCACAGTACCTCTCAGATCATTTTGTGTCTCAATACGGTATGGTGGCTTTTCCCCATTGAAGTCAGGTTTAACAAAAATTTGTCCATTAGCATCAATCTGCACAAAAAAGTTGAAAACTTATAATGAGGGAAGATGTTTCAAATAATGTCAATTTAATCATCCATCCATATTAAGTAGGGTACAACAGCGTACTACAAACTAAGTAAGGTTATCACTCAATTCCACAGTTGATTATTTTGTACAATAGTTGAAAAAACCTGTTTGACACCCTTACTTATATATAAGTTATTAATAGTATATTAAGCAACACTATATCAATATGTTTAAATCACCTAGAGCAGGTTTAGATGTTATGAAGCTTTCCATAATTCAAAAAAGGAATGTCTTAGAACTTATTTTGTACCTTAATGGAAAACAGGACATATTCATCATTCTGATCAATTTCAGCTCTAGGACAAAAGAAGGAGAACTGGTATGTAATGCAGGTAGGTTTGTATCTAACGACTCAATAGCAGTTACCACTAAGGTAAATGTTTTCTTCCAGATGTCAAGTTCCAGCATTTTACAACTGAGTGTCCTGAGAGTATAACTGTAGTTAGTATTGAACTGAACTAAACAGCTTATTAGAAAAAAATGAATATTAAAAAGATTCACAGATGATAACTCAACCAATTGCTAGACAGCATTAAAGACAACATTTTCTGTGTATTTACAAAGTGGTGTGCCAATAAGGTGAGGAGGGGGGAGGGGGGGGTTTAACATCATTCAAGGTATTTAACCTGGGGTGGTTCAGCTGACTGTGAGGACTGGCACAAAAAAAACAAACAAACAAACAAACAAACAACAGAAGAGAGGTGTTAGAATGTCTGCCTGAAGGAATGTACAATCACTAACTTTCCCTCTGGAGCAAGATCTGCCATTACATGCATGGTCTTGTATGGTATGTTAACAACATGGGCAGTTGTTTTGCTAGTTTCTGTTTCATGAACAACAATTGGATCAGTTCTGGTAATGAATCCACCGGGTCTATTCCTAAAAAAAATGCAACAAAATAGGTAACTCTTCATTATTAAGAGCACAGAAACACTACAAAAAAATCAGAGAAGGACAAAAGGTAATATGTTATTCTTTAGAAGTAAAATTTTGTTGATTACCAAAATTCCTTTTGCCAGTCTGACCTAAATGGCATAATACTCACCTGCGGTCAACTCTGGTTCCAATATTTCTCCTCCTAACAGTTGTCATGTTTTTAGTGAGGTAGCTGGGTACTTCATTTGCAGAAGTTGTGAGAGGTCTTGATTCCTGTGGAGAAAATTCTACATTCAAGCTGATGCACTACAGAGCAAGTCATGAATCATAATACAAAGACTCATTAAAATAAACAAAAAACAAAGATCTATGTATCCAAAACAGCCCCAGAAAAATAGGAGGTAAGGGGTTGTTTTGCTTATAACTTATTTCCCTAATGACCAGTTCACTAATGTCTTGGGTCGCTTTTCCAACATCTCAGGGTAGTTTGCTAACATCTCATAGGTTGTTTTGCTAATGCATTACAAAAATGTTTAGTGATTCTATTAACAGATCTTGATTGACTTCTAATCAATCCAAAAGTCATAGAGGAGTTCAGTGGAGAAGGTTGATTCAATACAAGTTTATTTAAGAAACACTTAAGTTGATTTGATACATCTGCAAAGTGGATTTGTGGTACACTGAAAGTTGATTTGATGACTCAAGGTCTTTTCAAAACTAAGTAAGGATAAATTTTTAAGATTTTATCAGTCTACCATGCAATAAACCAAAGTGTAACTAAGAAGGACTGAAACTGAGTGAATCATACCCACATTATACAACACAAGTTTCGAATAACACACACATTAATCAGGTGACACATGGTCCAGGTAAAATAGTGACAGCCTTTTCTAAATCATGACTCACATGTTAAATGGGAAATTTTCATTCATTAACCAACTTAAACTGAAAAAGCATGCGGTCTCTCTTCTAAAGTAACCTGGAAAAGAGACATTAGTGAAACTGAGAGGCTAATGAAAGGACCCAAGACTTAAGCAAACTGTTTGCTAGCCAAGTTAGCTAATGTATTTGATGACTAAGATCCTCTTAGGCTGAAAATTATTTGGAAGAGCCTTGCTCAGAAGCTCATTGACCTACACTACTAGTAAGACCCTTCACTTCTTTCCATGGATAAATGCAAGTCCATTGAAGGCTACTTTCCACCATTTGTCAGCTTTTCCTGACAATTTGCAAATAACCATTTAATCCACCAAAGTCTAGGAGAAAGACACTGAATACAAATTTTCATGACCAAGAATGACACAGGAGGTTCAATACTTGGGTTTGAATCCCAACATTGTAATTAAGATTCCACTAGGTAAAGGACAATTTTATTCCTAACTGAAAAAAAAAAATAAGGATTGTGATTTCTGTTGACCTACCTCATCCACATTAACATAGCTATCACAATCAACGTAAGAGAAAAGTCTCCTATTTGGTCTTCCACCCTTTTTCCTTCAAACACAATAATCAATAATAGCACCAAGATTAGTCAAATAGACTAGCCTGGGTTGTGCAATACAACATTGTTGATTAGTTTTGTAGCTTTATGAACAATTAAATCATTTACATCTTGTTTACATCAGTCAAAACTACCACACGTCTAAGTTCTGTTTTAATATTCAATTCATACATTAAATATGAAATTGATTTTTAATGTTTACTGGGATAGTCACTCCAAGAATAGTGCTAACAAGATCTAAAACAACTAGCCTCTGACTTTTAAATAACTGAAATGCCACCAAAATACAACTCTCATACACCCTACAAAATAGTAGCTGAATATTTCAAACATGTACTTCATTAAAAACTATCTAGGAGATTTATACCACCACCCAAATACATGTGACAACTTTTCCTTTAATACTTTAGGTTATAAAGTTTAGCTGAACCTGGCTGTGTTTCAGCTTTCAAAATAGAATTTCAAATTTAAGATTACTGACATTTAAAAAAAAAATGTTTATGCCGTCAAAACTCAGTCAAAGAATTACAGACTGTGCACTTTTCTGACATCAGAAGGTTATTATTCATGGCGATAAAGTTTAAAGGTCAGTTTCCATTTTTAACAAGGATTCACTGAGGATCAATAACATTACTTAAGATTTTTCAGTCTGCTAATCAGTTATCTCATCTAAAATCATATTGACAGGGAACAAATCTCCCTCAACATATCGATTAACATACCTTAGCTTTAATATTTCTGCATGATATTTCTGCTCTAGAGGTCCAAAACAATTGGTTAGATCTCCATAGAGTTCCATCTCTCTCTGATGTTTTGGTTCAAGAAAACTGAGTGAATGTAATATTCACATAGAACTACACAAGGTATTTATCATTAAAATGAAAAAAAAAAATACTTGAAACCATAAAATGTATACATCAGGATATATACATCATGTAAATGTATACATCTGTGTCATCAGGAAATGCTTATTGAACAGGGTCAAGAAAGTTAGGTCTCAGTCAAGCCATTTTAGCTCCATTTGTCAAAGATTGGTCACATGGTTCAAAATGGGTAAACAGTTGTCGCCCCATAACAATATCAACTGTGAAGCATAGAGAACAGTCCATTATCATTGTGTCTGTATGCCACTAACAATATTTCCACAAATTTGGATTTGTTTCTTCATAAATACCCTAAGGATTCTGCGCTTCGAAAGTTAAGTATCCATGATATACAAGGAGATTGAAAGCAGATGGCATCTGTCCTTTGTTGATTTTATAGTCAAGAAGAAGCTATTTCACAAAGAAATAGTGTTTTGTTTCCTATGTGTGACATGGTTGCTTAATATCAGGAAAATTCAAGCTAAAATGAATTACTTAAGGCCAGGGAAGAGTCAGGGAAATTCACTTTGAGTCAGGGAAAATTTAATTTAGTTTAAGTAAAAGTGAAGTTGTTTATCTTGTCTTGGCCCTCTTTGTGATGAAAGATGGTGACACTTTCCCTTTTTATGTTGATCGTGTACATTGTTTACGGTTGAAAAATTCCTGACCACTATAATTCCCTTTAAAATGCAAGTTGAGGTTGGTTTGTGAATGAAATCATGGATGTTGACACTTAGCTTGGCATAAACCAAGCATTAGACATGAATGTTATAAATCTCCTTGTGATGGCTTAGGAGTTCCTCATCCACATATACTAGTTTAGATTTTATTGGTTGCCTCAGATTCTTGAATGTTTTAAAAAATGTTTCCAGTCATTTAGTTATCTGAGAACAATAACTGGCTGCCAATCAAAAACTAGAGCATACCAATCAATGCAAAACAAAAAGCCTGGCAGTTTTCACAACAAAATATAGCTTTAATCTAACCTCAAATCACAAAATCACCCAAAAGTTCTTTTTATCATTCATTTTCTTCCCTTTTATGCCCGTTTTATCTATCACTGTGATCTTTAAAAATTGTGTGCTCACAAGTTTGTTTCTCCAGCTTGAGGTTGTTTGTAATCTCAATTTAAGACTGGACATTTTGATTATTACAGTTTCTGCATTATCACAGTCTTTTGAGAGCTGATTTACCTGTGAATACGAAAATTTTGACAAGAAGAAGGAATTTAATCTATAAGATGTCATCTGAAGCACATACTTAAGCAGCCATTTTGAATTCTTGTTTACCCATTTGACACCATGTGACCACATAGCTCACATGGTCTATTGCCACTAATGATACAAACCTGAGAGAACATCTTTTGTTGCCAATAAAACATAGATTCCTCTGAATCTTGATCAGGTGGTTTACCTTGGTCTATTTTAAGTATGAAAGTCACAATCAATATTTAAATTCAGCAATAGTACCATCTGAAATAAATGACATAGTCCTCACATGTCAGAACCTCCTTCAAAAAAAAGGTGCAATTTCTAATGACGAAAAAAATTCATCAAACTCTTACTAGGTGGCTATAGTCTGACAAAAACTAAAATGAGCTAAAATTACACTTTCTTCTGCCCTCTTGAGCCTTATACAATTTACTTGACAAGAGTCCTTTTCAGATCATAAATACAAACAAATTTCGTCCATGACTGGTCTCCTTCTCAGGTTTTAAGTAAGGGGACTTGTAAAAGAAAAACTTGTCATACTTTTCTATCTATACTGTCAAGAACTACTCGTCAGATAAAACTTATTGATGATGATGCAACTATACAGAATTGTCACGAACTTTGTCTTAACCCCTGCATTTCCAAAGCTTCTCCAGCAACTTCAGCACCCTCTTGATCATTTACGTTCTGCTGAGAACCAAATTTAAACTCTGGAAGATAGCTCGCCGCCGTCACTCGCCTTAAATTCACCCTATGGAAATATTAGGTAAAACAGCTGACTCGCAAAACGGCTTCCGTTTTAAAAGCAACTGTATCTGACTTAAATTGAAATAATTTTGAACTGAGTTATTGGAAGTAGAATATTTTCGTACTTTACAACAAAGTTCTTCGGGGGATCTAACGAGCGGTAATAGCCAACTCCAACATCTTCCAAGAAATCCGCCATATTTGTTTGTCTGACTATGACCCAGGTTCTCAGCGGGTACTCTGTTATGAAGTCCACTGCAAATTGCAAATAAACAAAAGCTTTCTTGGCGCGAAAATATGCTTGGCTCCGCGGACACGATGGCTCACCTGAATTGCTGTTCACCGTCTCATTCTGACGACAAAAGAATTTTTCTATCTCGCCATAACACTCCCTTTGATGAATGTATGTAAGAAAATAGTTAAAGGTTCTATTGACTTGATATACGGAAAAAATTTTCAAAAGTTTCAAAATTCGACATGCGAGCAGGTTTACCTGGTAAACATGCAAATTTTAGTGTTACAGGAAAGCTAAATACTATCCTACGAAAACAAGACTTTGCCAAAGTAACATGCTATCTTTCTACTTTCAAATGATGTGATAATCGTTCGGAAATTTCCTTGGAACTTCTTCAAATCATCCAACCTAAATTGACACCTGCGGCCCAAAATTGCTTCATGTTGCGAAACTAGACAAAGCGCTTGAACGAAGCTCACAAGTACAACAACAAGTACAAAGACTTTATTTAAACACGATAATTGTTAAAGCGACTACACGCTTGTGGGGTCGTGCGTAAAATGGAATAAAATGAAATGTAGTAAAATACAATAATTAAAGTAGCCTATCAAAATTAGAAGATCTAAAAATATTTAAAATTGGGGTCCTTAAAATTCACTGTCTGTGGAGAAATGGAATTAAAGTTCAAATTTAAAAGTGCCTTTGATTTGTAGGCTAACGAGGAGAGCTGCTTAATGGTTATATTTCTTAAATTTGATTCTTGGAGAAGTGTGTTAAAAACGATAGGTCCTCTTCTGGAAAAACTGTTTTTCATGTAATATGTGTTGAATTTTGGTACTTTTATGTTGGCATTACTTCTTAGATTTTTCTTAGTATTCACGTCAACTTCTTCGGTGGTATCTAAGATGGATATAGGTAAAGTCTTCTTATCTATTTTGAACATCAGTTTAGCTAAATTAACTTTATATGTGGTTTCAATAGAAGACCATCGAGCTTTGCTTAGTACGTCAGACTTAGGCATATCCCATGGCCAGTTAAAAATTAGTTTTGCCGCTCTACAGTGTAAAGACTCTAATGCAATGCTCACGAAGAAGACTCTTACGTTTCTTTTATTTTCCTGGTAATTTCCGGATAAAGTCAGTTATTTTACCTCAAAGAAGGAGTTAAGAGGCTTCGCCTTCAAGCACACGCTCGCCAGTGCTTTACAATAGGATAAACATATGCTTTTTGCTCACATTTTTCAATAACGTGATACCTCCTTTCTTCACGCTGAAACCTGCAAACGTCAAAATTAGTGGGACAAATTGATCACTATACTTTTCTCTTTTCCCGTCACGTTTACCCTCTCTATCTTTATCTGTCCCGTGAAGTGAACAGTCTTGAGAGCGAAGCTTGTGGACAACTGTGAGCCTCGAGAACAAAATATCCCAGCAAATCTTTTGCGTATAATGGAAGCGATTCTTTAATAATCTGGGGGTCAGGAAATTGTTCATTGGGAATGAAAAGTTTTGTTTAGGAATTTTTTGGAAGGTTAAGAAAAGTATAACTCAAGTATAGAGGGCGCCAAGAGTAAAAAAAAAAATATTAAATCCGAGTAAATCTTTGACATAGAGTTAGCAGAAACAAAGCCAAAAGCCCTTTAACTACAGATTTATTAGTTTTCTTTCATGAATTAACAATTACAGCGTTTTTAAAACTCAGTCAACTCCAATTTGGTTTTATAATTGCGCATTTGTGGAGCTATTACATTTTGTATGCCCAACAACCCTTGTGGAGAGACCAGCAACACAATTCTTAATATTAAATAACCTTTCACTGCTATGTTGTACAACAACTCAACAGTAACATGACTAGTGTAAGGAAAATCCATGACTATAACGAATAAAATCTCCTTTCACACGATTATGACATATTGTAATTTATAAATCTACCCTTTTCTTTGGTGCATTGCCAAGAGACCTCATGCTAAGCCATAGCATAAACATAACGATGAACAGCCACAAATCTCTATCAAATAAGTGGAATCACGGTTATCTCATGTTGTTATTGATTAGATACTAAAGCAACTTAAAACTACTTGTAACACTTCAGTTCTACCTCTGTAACAATGTCGAGTTTTTAAATATGGGTACCTAACTTCAAAACGTTAAATCTGGTATAATATTTGTATTCTGCTTATTGTAATAGCAACCCTTTCTAATCCTTATGTTTGGTTCTCAGTTCACTAGGGAAGAGATTAATCAAAGAGGAGCAGGTTTTCTTCTCTCTCTTCCCTCTTAAGTTATGGAGCTGAGGTAATTATTTCCAAGGATTCAGGACCATTACCAATGGCCGTCTTGTGATCTACAGAGATGTGACAAGGCCAGTGCACATTCAAACCAATCTTCTCCAAGACTTTTTTCAGCATAGGCCTGAGAAAAGGATGATAAAACCCTAATGGTAACGTTCCAAGTACAAAAGGGAAAATGTCAACAATAACTAAAAATATCTAACAAACCCATGAGGAAAAGATAAAATTCCAAGGAGTTAAATCGATTTTAAAGAGTCTGGTAAGTTTACACAGAGCAAAATCAAAGCCATGTTTTTCAATTTTGCTAAATCAGAAGAACAGATTACATTCCTAAACGTATTCAATAACAAAGGACACCCTAAAGTAATTTGTACATCTTTAAAAAACCATCCACAAGACCTACATTGCAATTCCTTTAGACAATCACACAAACTAATAGCAGTTCTTCAAACCCCCCTACAAATTTGCCAGGAACCATTTGGTCCAAAATATAAAAAGAGGCACTACAAGTATGTCAAGTCAAATGTCTTGATCAAGTACACACACCAAATCATTCCGTTCTCCCTGACTCCAAAGTAAACAATCATGCATGAATAAAGGAGGTTAGCTCCTGAAGTAACAGTGGTACTGTGTCACTGAGAAGGGGGATTTACTATAATATAATTTGGTCTTATCAACTGAGTCAATAATGCAACTTGGCCATGGTAAGGAGTTTCTTAATTGATGTTTGAAGCATTAGCCATTTGTCTGAGCCCTTGTACCGGTAATTTGCTCTGACAACATGCTAATCCTTGAAATGCAAGTTTGAGAAACCCTTTACAATGGTTAATTTACATTACCAACTCTTTTTATAAAACCAAATCATCCAATCATACATGACACAACTTCCAAAATATTTAGCCTCTTTTCCTTACCAGCAGCTGATAGAAATAGTGTAGTACTTCATAGGTTTGTTGAATCCATTGAAGGTAGAAGCTGCTGAGCAAGTATAGGCTCCCATGTTTCTAAAATAAAGCCACTGCCCAACTTGAATCTAATTCAAACAGAAGATGAAAATTGAAATTTCTTCTCAGGACTAATGACCCACATTTGGCACATGAAAAAAGGTGGTAAATGTAAATTAATTCCTTTAACTCATTATTTCAAACTTCTGAACAAAGTCTCCAAGCTTGTGTAACCTCAAAGATAGAATCAGTGACATATATTGCAAAGAGTAAAACTCTAGAGCTACTTACAATAATACTTAAAATTGTATTTAAAGCTCAAAATATACCCTTGGCAAGAATGCACTCTTGGTGATACAGTCCAAAGAATCACAAGTGGGGCCCCAAATGCTTGAAGGAAATTTTGGAGCAGTTTCTTCAGCACCAAAGACTTCAGGGTGCACAGTTGCATGATCAAAGACCAGGCAGTTAAAGGAACCATACACACCATCATTGATGTAATACATGAAACCCTGGAGTGGAGATTGAATATTCACAATTGGTTACCAAACATGAATAAAAAAGATTGACTTCATTTAATCTACTTTACATTTATGCCCTTATCCAAAACTGTAACAGAAAATTAAAACCACTTAATACCTAACTACACAAAAATCTAAGTTAAGCAGCCTTCATTTGGTAAAGATCTAAAAAATAAAAAATATTTGCTGAGCTCAACACCATTTGAGGCGAGAGGGGTAATTTCACATCAGCAAAAAAAACAAACAAACAAACAAAAACTATTCAAGTGGTAGGGTCATGCCGTTCAACAACAGTCATGAAAATCATTTTCAGTTATAATCATTTTGTGTGCATTGATTTGAAAATTCACATAATTGTAATGGATTTGCTCTTCCTATGAGATTTAATTTTCCTATGATTTTCATATCAGTTGTAATTTTGAGGAGACTTTATTTTTGTAAAACTTACCAGCTCATCAGAGTCCTTGTACTCAGGAGTACCAATGGTCAGATCATTTCCATTAAACTGACTGGCCTTCACAGAACGACAAGCAACAACATTGACAACAAGAGTACAGGCTGATGCAGAATAGTAACGGCCTGGTTCTGCTATGATGCGGATACCTGAGCTTACTGGGAAATGTTCCTCCAATAGTGGATTCAGAATAGAACAAACCTACCAGAGGGAATCAAGGGAACAAAAATACTACTTCATTGTTTGTATCAGAATGTAGACACTTTTTGTTGATGCTCACTACTCTATAACTGATTAATTTCAGTACGCTAGATGGTTACACACCTTGATCAAAGGCATCCATGCTTCACAAGTCAACATGATCACCATCATCTATCTTATACTTGTTTACCTGTACTCCATATTCATATTTTGTAATGTGACAATGGTTGACGCACTGATGATATCTTGTGCTTTTATACCAGCAAAGTCCTATTATTGCAAATGTACAACTAGCACTTTCGTCTTTTCAGGGAACTATGGCTTGTTGAAGCTCACTATGAAGTTCACACATACTCCCAAAACCTAACCTCTTCAAAAGTAATGGCCGCATCTGGCGCTCCAGGGAAACCACCACCAATGTCAAGCATTGAAAATTCAAATCCCATCTCAACCTGAGTTGAAATTCAAAATTAATGAGCAAAGACAAAAAAAAAAATTAGCTTAGAAGAGTATATAATTTAGAAACTGGTCCACAGAGGCTTGGACAAGGCAGTCAGAGGCACCCAATTTGGTCTTATTTTTCAGGTTTATCGTTTAAGGCCAATGTGCATTTTCACCCTCCTTTAAGACCTTTACTCAACTTTGCTAATTCTAGGGTCTGAATGAACATTAGGATTGGCTGACCCTGTATGTGGTCCCTTAAGGGGCATATTAGAGTGGTTTCCCAAAAGGACGGGAATGTCGTTTCAGAACAGGAAAGCGCACGGATAATCTGGACACGACTCTAATTCGACTTCCGGTGTTAGCGTTGCCATTCTTCCCCATCAAGTTCAGGACATCATTTCACTGGTTTTCCCATCATGATCAAAACGCCTAGGATTTGTGTTAATTGTGCACTTAAAGATGAGATAATGCAGTTTGGAATGATTTCAGAATTCATTTCCAGGATAACCAGGTTCCTTTCTCTGTTTTATTCCGTGAATTTGTGAAAATTTACCGCTACATTTACTCTGGATTCCCGAGAGGAAACACGACCGTCAGCAAGCGATCTAAGATTTTAGGGCTCAGTTACCTTTTGTAATTGAGCGTGTCTTTAAGCTACGTAAGGGCTTTTCTTTCATACATTTCTTAAACCATGTATGAAAACTCTTAAGAACAGGTGCTGTTAATTTTATCATGAACTAATTCATCAATAAATTAAACTTGCTTCATGTTGAAGTTTATCAAAATGAAACAACACTAAGGTCACGTGCTTTATTATTCAGTGTTATCTGTTGTCATTGTCATTTTAACCGTGATTAAAAAGTGTTCTACGAATTGAAGTCAGAGATAAGAAAAAATTTGAGAATAGCTTGGGTTTGCACTTTTTTATGTCTTTAGTTTTTGAAAACCTAGACAAGAAAGTCATCTACGAAAGAAAATAACAATCAACGTGATTTTGGCATGGCTCTCTTAATCTATTAATTTGATTCTTTCTTGAATGACTTTAATCATTAAAAAAAAATTAAATTAAATTAAACGAAAACAAAATAAAACAGGAACGAAGTCTGATTCCTCAGTCTAACTGTTTCACTGGTGACTAGTTCGAGTGCATTTCATTCGTTCATGGTTAAACGGGAACTCATTGTAAACAACTCCATCATTGGGTCGCTTGATCTCTACATGTTTTCGCCAAAATTCCTGATAACCCCATTCAAAATGCATTGCAACTCTAAGTAGGTGGTGCTTAAAAGAGGTGTACTGTCATGATTGAGAAGAATATTCAGTAAACAAGGGAAAAACGGCAACAATTTCAATTCCAAATTATACTTTACCAAATTATAAAGAAAAACGAGTAGTGCTAAAATCTAGAAGCACGAAACAAAATGACAACGATACAAATCATAGGGAAAAAAATATTTAGTGGGCTTCAAAATTTGATAGATGAATCTGCAGACTCGAGACTGAACTGGAATGAAATAATTTCAAAATTTAATCACCCATGTGGATTCATATTAACAACTCACTTGTAGTAAATTATTCTCAGTTTGTGCTTGTTACTCTCTCACAGAGGATAATTTTATTGTCCTTCAAATGGTCCATGAAACCGAAAATTCAAAGCTGATAATGATCCTAAAGAGCCAAGGTTAGGATATTCAAGAACAAATATAACGTGGACGGTTCGTTGAAATGACTGCTAAGTCACTTTTCAACACAACGGTGGGATTCTCGACCCAGTTTTTTCTCAGCATTTTTGCTGCACGCACCATTCTGAAATTATGTTCCCGTCCTCTTGCTAAACCACTATATTATTTCACACAGCCTTGATCTTTGCTGTTGTTGTGTGAGGTACAGAACCAAAAAATTATTTTGAAGCTGTATGTTTGCAAACCTTTTTTCTGTCCATGAAGGGACAAGATCATCGATCTCTGTGGAAATGTGGAAACGACAGTAGACATCCCAAAAGGTACCAACTGTCAACAACAATCTTTATTTTCAATTGATGGGTTTCTGTAACTCTTTTATGGGCTCTGCATCTCACACAACAATAACAAAGATAGAGGAAGTGTAAAACAACATGCCTCTTGAGGAACCTGGTACACGGTTGGCCAGTCCCAGCATTCATCTGGATGCAGTATTAGCAAAGTCATGTATTACTTCAAGGTTTCCACTAAAAAAAAGCCCTCATCTATGATGCCCAAACAAACCAAATATGAACTTCCTCCCTTCACTTGGTGGCTTATGCACACAAATTATCCTCTGCATGTGCAAGTCCAAGGAGTTACTTTTGCAAGGGAAGTTAAAATTTAATCATTTGATTAACTTGAACCACAACTAATATAATGAAATAATGATGTTGATTCCTCTTGATATCAGAATTATTAACATAAATCCAGCGTTACTCACAGCAACGTTAAACACACTTCGAGCAGCTGAAATGGCTGTTGCATATGCACTTGCATCATAGCATCCACTGCCAACATGAAAACTAAACAGAAAACAACTTTTCAATCCAAGATGAACAAAGTGATCTGACACCAAATCATTCAGGTCAAACTGGCTCAGAGAGTACATTAACATACTCATCACATAAGAAAATTAAGAAAGGGCAAGTCATTTTCATCATAGCCAAAGAATTCAGAAAAGTAAAAAAACAGTAGGAAAACATATTTTTCACTATGTTACCTTACTCCAATTATGTTCAAATTAAGTGCATGGGCAACAGAAAGAAGATGACGACATTGCTTCAAAGGAGCACCATACTTGATTCCAAGCTAATTAAAACAATAAGATAGTTTTACCAACAGAAAATCTGCAACGTGTCACCATAGTGGGTAGTCAGGTAGGCCAAGAAGATGGGGAATATACAAGTCACATTCACCACCAAGGACAAGATCAGCAATTGAGCATCTTGAAATATTTAAACTCTATTTTAAAAATCATGATTTGCAAACCACTTTAATCCTCACTGTACTCTGAAGATCTTGCTTTTACTTTAATCATTGTTGTCCCTTTACAAATTACCATCTTTAAGTTAATGGTGGTTTTGCACAGCTAAAAATCTATTCCATACATCTCTCCAGACAACATGCTTTCACTAACCCACCCACAAGTAGAAACAAAAATCCTTGTGCTAACCTGGCAGAGGGACTTGGAGTCATCTGTCCTGATGCGCAGAAGTAATCTATTACAAGGAGAAATCGCTTTATAAGACCTAAGGATGCTAAACAGAGGCTAAGTTCAAGTACTTTTAAATGGCAGGGTTGTTATAAGCAAACATAATAGATGCATGATCTCAACTGAGTAGGTGGCTGAATTTTATTATGCTTGTGCAGCAAGCATGGTTTTATGCAACATGCCCTTCATATGAAGGTCTGAGGGCATGTTCCCCTGAAAAAATTTTAAATTTTAAACTCTCTGAGACTAGATTTTCAGCACTCTAGGACATCTTTGGGCCTTTTTTTCTCTACAACATCAACGTTATAATCAGTTCAAATATCATTTTTTATTTTTGTCTTTGTCTTTGAGCACTACTCGTTAGGTAGCTGGCACAAAAGTAGCACAGCTGACAGGTCTGTACCACCTACCAGCTTCTACTAACAACTGTGAACAGTGACACTTGCGAACAGCATACAGTGGCAAAGCTCCCAGGAGTGTTGTTCAACACATCCTTCTCTGTATCTTTTTTTAGGATGTTTGACATAGCCTATCCTGTATCTACTCAGTACTTCCAACTTAAGAGGTAATATTTACTTTGCTGCAGGGTGCAACTCTTTGATCTTGTGCAACTCCAGCTCATTGTCAAAAGTCATCAAGGAAATTCCATGCTTCTCAGAGAATCTGTCAAAATTTTAAGTGTGAAATATCTATTGTGAAACATACCAAAATCATTAGAAAGAAAGAAGGCCAAAAGATCCTTCAACTCTAGAGAGTAATCATAAATCTAATTCTCTTAACTGTGTAAGGACAGTTATAGGCAATGGAAATTTAGAACCAATCAACTAGGGCATACAGTGCAGTATAACATTACTTTCTCAAGACCAACAAACAAAGTATTAATATCAATGGTTGTATGGTTTTGTTATATCTCATGTAGCATACACAGTGTGTATACATTGTATATTGCATATTTGCATTTGTATCAATTAATGTAAATTCAGCATGGGATAATTTTTATAATAAACATCCGATGTATTTTTGGTGACAAGTTTTGGTCATTTTAACAGGCTTCACATTTAAATTATGGAAATGAAATGGTTTACACCAAAACTACAAAACAGTTCTAATCTGATCATCTTGGAAAAGCAAGTGCAAGGCTCCATTATCTGGGTACAAATTAATAGTATTAATAGTAACAATAACAAAAACAAATAACAATATACAGGGCATGAAATTAATTTTTTTTTCTGATAGCCACTTGGCTGCTAAATTCTTCAAAGTAGTAGCCAATTCAAAAAAAGTTGGTTGCCATTTTCAAAGACAAACAAAACCTTTTTTTTACGCTGTCAACGTTCTCGATGGACCCTCCAAAATTAATTTAGGGAAAAGATCTAACGTTCTGAAAAGTGGACACTAGGATGGATGATATACAACGTTCAAGCTCACCTAAATCCAAGATAGTGTCTAGTTATCGATTGAGATGCGTGTGCTGAGTTTTGGAAACATACTTAACGAGGAAGTTTGCCGCGGATTTATCTTTGCAAATCTTTTTGATTCACTATGTCTCTCGACATGGTTGTGATGAAATATTCTAGTCGCCAATTTGGCGACTAATTTTCAAGATTTGGTCACCAAATTGAAAAATTTAGTCGCATTGGCGCCTATATTAGGCGCAATTTCACGCCCTGATATACAAATTAATAAACTTGTGGCCCTTATACCTAATTAACTAATGAAAACATAAAAATAATACTTAAAATGAGCCAACGGTAGCCAAGGATAAATACCATGGAAATGTTCCACTATTAAGAGCTTAACAATTAAAGACAGATGGTCATATATCCAGAAACAAATTACTACTTACTTGGTTTGTCTCTTCAGAAATATTTTGTCAGCTTATATAAAATGTTATAGGGCACAATTGAAATGGAAGACATTTATGGAACAACCCCTAAATCAATCAGATAACTAGATCTTTAACAAAACTAAAGTTATAAATAAGAATTTATGATTACCACAAACCAAGAACACTTTTGTATCTGCAGCTCCTTATCAGTAAAGATCAAGCACCCTATGTTAATAGCCAAGTAGCTTAACAAACCTGAGATGAGAAGCCTGCTTGCAAGGATTGGCATACACAATCTTAGATGGGGGTACACCCATCCCTAACATAGTTTGCATTTCAATCTGCCAAAAAAAGTTAAAAAAAAAACAAAATAAATGAAAGACTCATAAAAGAACACCACAGTGACTTCACTAGATGATAATGCTAAACAGAAAATTTAATACCTTGCTTGCACAATCAAAACCAATTCCCAACCCTGCTAACATCTTTAGGATTACAGGATCACAGTTACACTTCATTGCTACAAGGAGACAAAACAAACAATTGCAGTTTCAGCCATTACAATGTCTGGATTTAAAAGTTGACTGATTAACAAAATTAAAAGGTAGTTTTATTCTACAGTAGTCTACATAAAATCTCTATCTTGTTAGAGGAAAAAAAAAATCCACTAACCATAAAAAGGTTCTACTCGAGGAAGAAGAGAAACCCACTTCTTGTGTTTAAGAAGAACATCAGCCAGGTCTACTATATAAAAGGCATCATCAGGGTCCTTGGGTACAAAAAAAACAACAGGGGTTAATTTAATAAAGAAAATACACTTGTAGTTTTCACATGTGTAATATATGCAGGTAAAGTCTGACTTGTAATGACAAGAATTTAATAAAACAATATTCCACACAGGAATTTACACATGTATCTTGAGTCAGTACACAAGTGTAAATTACAATGGTAGAACCATACAAGACAGTCTCAATAGGGTGATGGATTTTGAGGCTAAAGGTTACTTTCTTCCCATTAGTTTTAAAAGAATTTTCTTCCACAGTTTATTTTCTCTATGACTAACGGTTAAAATTTGTCAATTTTCACTCCCAATAGCTATTTTTTTCTGCCATCTTACCACTTATGGTGAGCCACAATTGTGACCCTTTTATAAATGTTGACTCTGCTTGAATGTTAGCGCATCTTTTACAAATGCAGTTAAAAATCGTTACTTTCCCTTCAACATATGCTGCTTTGCTTTGTTTGCTTACAGTTTTATTCTTGTCTGTCATTGGGCATGTTATCCACACAGCAAAATTTTCTTTTGGCTCAGCTCATGAGGGAACACAGAATAATAGTTTTAGCACCAGTGATGGAGAAAGTAAAGCAAGCAACATGGGAAAAGTTTCATATGCAATTAAATGGCCTTAGCACAAACATAGACAGTGCCCAAACCCTCCAATGTTCTATGGGCTACCATTTGTAGGCTAGGTCTCCACACAAAAAAGTAAGCAAATCAAAGAAGACTGGTGCAGGGGGAGTGGAGAGTAAACTGAGAAGATGAGACTGTCCCCAATGTTTTAAGCCATGTAAGTGCCAACATAGAGCAAGTGAAAGTCAACAATCTGGATATTGTATTTGGAGAGGAGATTGTTGTCACAACAACTCCTAGCTTTGAAGGTAAATAGTCATAATCCACATTTAAATAAATCAACCTTCTTAAACATGTGAGCCTGGTTGGTAATGAAATGAGAATGCTATTGTCATTTTTTTCCCCTGTTTCTCATTCTCACATGGTTGTCTGGAGAGCTTGGAACCTCTTTTTGAGAACACCATGTTCCCTTTCAATAGTGCATTGTGTTTTCTCATGCACCTTATTAAACCTGCGGCAAGCCCCTTCCACCTCTCCTCTGAAAGGGGGGATCCACCAGTTGTTGCAGACGTAGGCAGAGTTGCCTTAAATAACTGCTTCCAGGAATTGTCTACTCCCCTGTTGCTCATTAGTGGTCCAGAAGATGATGGTGTAATCTGGGCCTGCTACCATGGCAACATTGAGATTTGGAATGATGGAGGTTGATGTAGGTATCTTTATCATTGCAAGGTGGGTTCACAGGGATGCGAGTTTCATCAAAGCAGCCTGCAACACACAGAAAGCCTGCAATGTCTCTGAATTCAGAGGCAATAGTAAGAGGCCAGCCAGGCCATCATATGAGCACCCATCAAAAGCTAATTATTGCAGGGACAAAGTATTAAATGATATGTCATACTGTTGATGAGGAGATACCATGACAAGAGTGCATTAAGTTATAGAAGGAATTTATTCCATGGAAGTGAAGAAACACTAAAAGTTGCTGTCTTGCCGTTGCTGAGGCCTCCACAGGCAGACGAAACTTCTAAACTTCTAATTTCCCTGGATTTTTGATGTTGAAAAGCCATCTATTTTGGGAATTCCTTGGTTAACAGATAACTTGATGTCTCAGCAGCTTGTTGAATTCCCCTTCACTAGAGGATGACATATTGTGACACTCCAATGTCCTTTTTCAGAAGTAGTAGTCCATGTCTACAAGTGATGTGAAACTTGTATTTTGCACAAGTGATTTTCAAGTTGGACCCTTGTTAATTAAAAGACAAGTTGGACTCTTCCAATAGTTTTATCAAATTTGATATTTACCATCTTTTACACTTATAGTGCTACACCTGTAATTACTAACTGGACACTCGTAACCTGGACTTGTAACAATGGTTATTAAACTTGTCTTTGTCGGTACTTCTAAATACAATGGTTCAACTTGTAGATTACAAGTTAAAATTTTTATTCAGTTAACCCCAGCAAAATGAAGATTAATACATTTGTTTAATCTTACAATACATTGCTTTTGTTTCTTACACATTATATCACTTAGAGTAATCATCCCAATACAGATTTAAAAAACAGGATTAACCTTGTGCAAATGAATGATAAATCTATGTTAAAACACAACATAATGTTTGTGGTACTTCTACAGTATGAACAATCACAAGGACTTTAAAAGGCTGAAGAGCTCACCACATAATCAGGGTCTTCTTGCAAACATCAAAATGCAAGGTGATGTTTGCATTAAAGACTTAATATCTTCAATCCCCCCAAAAAACTAGTACATTAAACTAAAAAAGAGATAAATGGATTCAAACCTCTCTCCCCAAGGCACAAAGTTTCCGTTCAATAATATCCACGCAGGACAACTGATCCTCCAATATGTCAAGTATGACATCTTCTCCAAGAGAACACTTCATCTTGAACAATTACCTAGAAAGGCTGTGAATGAAAATAAAAGGAATAAGTTTCTAAAGAAATTGTGGCACTGCATCAGTAGAAGGGTATTAAAAGAATATATTTGCTCTGATGTAAGGCAAACACTTGAAATTTCACCTTTCAAAACTTTTCACAGTTGCCAATTTTCATTATCAACTCAGTTGATAAACCAAATTCTTTTGGTTGAATAGAAATGTTAACCTTTCACATTTAATGTGTATGTGTACTCTATCTTCAGTCTGATATACAAAGCCAAAGGAATGACAAAGAACACCTCCCAGTGAAACAGATTTTTACCAAACATTAAATCAATTTCTAATTGTAAAATTGAAGAGTAGTCTCCTGTTACATTTATTTTCATATACATAGCAAAATATCTCACAAGAAGTTTGTCAATGAAAAATGCATATATGTTGAAGTATATTTTTTCCCTCATAAAAAGAATGAGTTAAAGAAAAGCTTCAGAGTTCCCATAAGGAATTGGACCTCAGACCTTCAGATTCCACACTCCTATACTCTTAACAAAAAGCCACAGAGACTCTATAGTCAGCAAGGCCATCATTATATCAGAGTGCGTAGAAAGTCCACACCAATAGCCCTAATGCTACAATGAGTGGCAAAAGCAGTTGGCATGCCTCCCCTCACTAGGTGGTAGAAAAACCTCCTCTCAACATAAAAATAGAGCTCTTGCATTCATCTCTAATAGGTTACTAGCAAGTTCCCCCTTTTCCCTAAACATTGTTGTCTGAATTTTGTGCCCATTTTGCAACACCAAGCAACACTGAAATGAACAAGTTGCTAGTTAAAGGGATCCTTGTGTTTGCACAAAGATTTGTGGAATTGCCATGGGGCAAAAGGTTGCAAGTTCTTAGAAGGAAGTATATGGCAAAAGGTTGCTTCAACATCCTAAAAATGATTTTGGAGAGAGATCAAGGCTTTTGCCAAAGTTTTATCATAGATAGATTAAATATGTTGTAAATTATACCAATTCCCTTCTCTCCTTGCAAAAGGTCTATCATATAATTATGTAATCACAATCCTGTAATGGCCTCGTCATATCACAAAATTAGCCTTCAACCACACAGATATAGCACACTCAAGTCTTTTCAGTTGTATTTTTGTACTGCCTGTTTTTGTACTTGTTAGCATATGAAACAAACATATTACAATGTCTAAAAATATACCTCCTCAAAGGAGAGAAGTCATGGTCAGTAGTAATGGAAATTGTTTTAACCAATCTATTGCTCTTTGGAAGGATGAAATAAGCAATGAAAAATAAAAGGAAATCCCTGGGTCAAGTGATAATTAGTAGAGAAAAATCCAAAGGTTTTAGAGCTGTCATTTATCTCCCCAAATTCCCTGAAAGATCTTGTCAGGAAAACCAAGAACATTTAAACTCTGGCAGAAAATATGGATGTACACATACTCAGTAATGCATCTCTTCTTAAACAACCCATTTGTACCTTCTCATCGTTGCATAGGAAAGGGTTCAGTTTTGAGCCAATTATCAACACTGGTTCATTTTCATTCATCACAACAAAGAGGTAGTGTAGGTGTTTAATCACTAATATATCAAGATAATATTTAATGCTTAAGCACACAATTTCAAACTTTAGCTGCTTTGAGGTAGCTGTTGCAGCATTTTTTTATTTTATTTTAATACCACACCAAGAAAAGAGCTAAATGCAGACTTAACACAAGTAAATAAAACTGAAAAGGCTTTATTGAGTTATTTCTTTGCGATTTAAAACTAATATTTCTAAAGTTCAAGATCATTAGGCAAGGTTAATTTCACCAAACCTCCCCCCGCCCAAAAGTAAATTGTGAGATTTTACTACCTATTTCACAGTTGTTCACACAAAACCTTGCACTACCCTTGTATCAATATTACCCAAACCCATTTCTGATTAAACAACAGCAAAAGAGTGATGATCTCTCACCAAAATCTTTTTTTTCTTTATTCACTAAGAGGAAAATAAAAGTTATAGGGAAAATTAAAAAAGTTGTGGAATGTGCCAAAACATTTGCCACTTAATGTAGTTAATATTCCATCCAGGCTGTGACAGAGGGTTTGTTTCATCACTTGCCCAAAGGGCAACTCACAAATTTTCACTATTCTGTTTGCATACGGAGGAAGGCTAGTTAGAAAAGCCTTTAGACTAATGGACAATGGTTCTAACTTGCCCAAAATCAATTTAACTGTACCCTGCATGTTCATATGTTACATTAATTTTGCATACTGTCAAGATTGGCAACATTGAAGACCTCTTGTTCTTGTGCCTTGACAGAATAAGGAAATTGAAATGAAATGAAGAAAAATAAACTATAACAAAATATCAGATTTCCACACTGCACATCATCAAAATCATCTGCGAAACCAGACAAATTTGCATATTGGCTCTAAAATCTGATTCCAAAGACTGATTGCATACAAGAGAAATAAGCCTTTGTTTGAAAAGGGTGTCTTGTGGAAAGCCTTTGATGTCCACATGAATTTTAATTCATCAAGCTGATAATAGATACATGAACTTAATGACTGAGTGGAAGGCCAGACAGGAAAATATTGGCTTGAGGTATTAGATTTCCACACTACATATCATCAAAATCAAAGATTATCAAGATAAAAAACAACTGTTTTACTTCAATATATATCTTGTGAAAACTTCCTGCCTACTCCATATGTTGGATAATAAATGCAAAAACATTAATCAATTGCTGGTCATCTGCAAAACCAGACAAATTTACATATTGGCTCTAAAATCTGATTCCAAAGACTGATTGCATACAAGAGAAATAAGCTTTTGTTTGAAAAGGGTGCCTTGTGGAAAGTCTTTGATGTCCACTTGAATTTTAATTCATCAAGCTAATAATATATACATGTACTTAATGACTGAGTGGAAGGCCAGACAGGAAAATACTGGCTCAAGGTCAAAAGAACAAAAGACAGAAGCATGCAGGACAACCATAAAATGATTCTACAATAAAAATTTTCCATTGTTGTTTTCTCCAAGTCAGAACAAGAAGCTCACACTTTAACAAAAACACAACTTTCTTTAGCCTTTTCCTTTTTTCCTTGAAAATTTTGCAACAAAGCCATTTGACTGAAGGGCCACACAGCTATTTCCAGACAAGCACATGTCAACCCTTACAGACTGATACACATCAGCTTCCATTATGGTTTTCACATGTGATTGCGTGTACATGGCTGTACTGGTTATATGATGACAATCTTGTTTGCACTTAGCCGCACATTAAAAAAAGGTCTCATTAAAAAAAGGTCTTTCAGACTTAGTTTGGTTTATTCTGGATTTTTTAATCTTAAATCTAGATTTCTGATTAAAATTATAAGAGCCTCCATAACTTTTTGTGCCTTTCTTCAGAAGCTACTCACCTGGCCACTATTTTTTGAAGGTCAGATAACAATATCTACTAGACAAATCTCCATCTGGCGAATAGCACTATACATTTTGCTATCACTTATTTGCTGGAAAGCAATTTATCCCTTGGGCAGCACTATCCACCCTTAATCAAATCTATAACTTAATTCTCAAATGTGATTGGTTATCACCAGCCCAATTTGAACCCTAATAGGACAGTGTGTGCATTATGCTTGTAATTGGACAGTGTGATAGGACAGTTGATAGGTTATGCTTTTGCAAGTGGACAGAATGCATCATGAGCATGCGCTGTTGTCTCGCATTTTGCCAAGTTAACTGTAGATTTTCTTTAAACAACCGATGTCTAGTTTCTTTCTCAAAATTTTGCCATAGTTTTGATTTCTCAGTAACAGCACTTCATGTCATGTCCTGTAATCATATACTCGAAATTAACAAATTGGACTCCCACTTCGCAGTTGTCTAATTTTGTTAATCACTCGTATAGTTACAGACTGAATTGGACTCCATTCAGTCCTATAACCATTGTTTATAAAACCCCTTTCGTATTTCATTTGAGCATCTTTTTCGAGAAAGAAGAGGTTTTAATAAAAATCACTAACCTTTTGTTACAAAAAGATTTAAAAATAACCTGAGGTTATAAAAGGTTATAAAACTTTTAGTTCACGCGTTAGCTATGCTTTTATCGAGAAAGAAAGCACTTATAAAATGTGGGGAGCAAAAAAAAAAAAACCAAGACTAACTCGAGGGGCCTAGAGCTAGCACAGCCTCTCTGCGAAAACATGTCTTAAAACGCGGAAAAGCCGTGTGGTACATTTGAAAATGCATGGTTGTATACTTACATGACGACTGTTCTCAAAAATGCACCCTTAGCAAACGCTAGCTTGGGTCGGAATCCACGTTGAAGGTGAATTCGAACTTTTCCTTCTTCAGGAAGTCAGCTTCTGGGCAGTTGGAGTAGATTTTCGCAGTATGGCCGCCCTGTATAAAGGTCGGGAGAAAGGTGGGTGAACGGCCATTACTTTCAGTTAACGTGGACTTCAATGTCGCATATGAAAAGCCAGTAATTCCATAAAATATGGACAAAAATGTCTCACCTTCACCGCAGGGTCGCAGCAGACAATTCTTCCCTCTTTTAAACGCGGAATGGTGACTGATTTATCTTGAACTTTTAAAGAAAAAGTAAGCGACGAGCGAACATTCAAACATCGAACGTGTACGACCGTCAAAACTATGGCTCGCGTGCGACCATGTGACAACTTTATTGTGATTGGTTGGTTTGGTGGTCTTAGACGATTGCGCAAAGCCTGACCAAACTTCCAAGACAAAATTATGCACATAATTATCAGCTTTGTAATGAAAAAAATGAGTCAATCAAAAAGGATCTGTATGTGCAAAAAAATTAGAAGTATTTGAGGGTGGGGTTGTGGGTGAGTCGTTTGAACAACACACTATGGCAAATCGTAGTCTTCTAGCTTAGAAGAAATTATATTCAAATTTAAACATCCCTCCAACTTGTCTCCAAACGGTATGAAGGTAAGGGTGCTGACCGAAATTGGCCTTAATGAAGAGGGAAAGGAATGGAAATTTGTCCATCCAATATTAGTGAAAAGACTGCGAATGAAATATTAACTATAAAGCTCAGAACATAATCACAATAGCTCACGTCTGAATGATAATAAACTTGTTCAGTTAAGGAACTGTCGGTTCAATCAGAAGAAAAGAAAGTTTGTATTATGCTAACGACCCTTCTCATATAAGATATGAATGGTCCCAAGAATGAACTGCAATCCCATCTTTTCAGGCGAATAGTGGACCGTCTCTTGTTTGAGCATCATACTGAGCGCGGAAAACAATTTTGTCCGTTTTCTTGACCATGGCTCTAATCCTTTCTTCGTGAAAGCTGTTTGATCTTCGCTCTTAGAAAGACGACATAGGCCTCTATTTGCCAATCATCTTAAAGAAATTCTGCCTTTCACTTGCGACGATCATTCAAAGTTACGTCATAGTTCGCGCTTAATGGAAAGGCTACCTTACTCTTGATTTAGTCACATTTTTAACAAGTTCATAATTAGCAAGCCGCTTTCTAATTCTCCATCCTTCTTCCGTTTTTTTTTGTTTTAAACCTAGCTTAACATCGTTTTTCTATTCTGTTGAGAATAATTTTCATTGTCCTTCAAATGAAAAGGTAATCTACATGGCCGAGTCTGTAACTAGCCGAAACGAAATTAAGATAACACGACTTATGCTCAGCTCGTGCTTTTCACGTGATAAAAGAGTTACACGAAACCCTCGACTGATATTTGAAAATGTTCCCCACTGACGCAAACCAATTATCACAGAAGGTCGTCTGATAATATTCAATTAGAACAAGTCAGTGTATAAATAATCCTTCGAAGGACAGGCGCCTAAGGCGTAAAGAATGGGCAGACTTTGATCAAGCAAACCGTACGCATCTTGCTTTCAATAAGGCAATTTATTTACAACTTGTATCGGCGTAAGAGTGTTAAAAAAAGCATAACTTAAATTTTCATATTTTTTTTTTACACGTACCTATGTATAGTAATGTATATTTCACTGCAACGAAAAGGAACCGAAATAAATTATACGTACGAAATTCCTGAAAAGTTAAAAGTAACAGGTACACAAGATTTCAGTCCAATTTTTTTGGAAAAGTTTTGAATCAGTTTGGTTTTCCTTAACCTAAAATAAATACTAAGTATGAAATTATGAACACATCTTACATAATATTTTTCAAAGTTACAAATTTAAACCTACAATTCAAGCACAACCTTCAGCAACTTAACTTTTTAAAATTGATAATTTTTTTAATTAGCTGATTTTACACTTATTTCTTAACTTCACTGGCACCAATATGGGCAGTCTGCACAGAAAACTCAACATGCAGAACAAAATAAATTGGTTTTCTTATTTACAGCAAATATATTAAACTCTTCTAATGTAGCAACACCAGCCATGCTAGCCAACAAATCTTCAAAGACCCTTAACGTAAATGGACAAGTTCCATTTTTGTTAATCCATTTCTGACAAACACAAAATGAAATCAACATGAAAACACAACACAGTTGCCATGATCCTGCATGGGAGGCCAACCAGACTACAATTAATACAACAACCATAACTTAAATTTGGGAAGAAATTCCCTCTGCTTGGTTAAAAATTTATGCCTGTCTTCGGTGTGACCAAGTTGTTCTTAAAAAGATTGATCATTGTAGCATCAATTTGTACAAATGTTTATCATATTTATATGAGGCAGTTCTTCACTTATTTTCCTATCCAAGCTTGACTTGACATCCACCATTGTAGTTTTCTCTTGGCTTATAGCGCAGCCCACAGAGGACCCACCTCTTTCTCTCTCTGACTGTTACATAATCATGAATGTACTGATTGTGTACCAGTGGGTAATGTTGCTGTGCTCACAGTTGACACTGGCAATACCATACTTGGTAAAGAGTTACTTGTAATTTGCATAGGCTGCTGTGTGCCATTAGATGCTGGCTGCTGCATAGTGGCAACCTGGTTCAGTTTATTCATTTCCAACTGCCACCCTGGAACTTTCTTGGCTGTCATGTGTCTTCTTGCGTGTTTTGTTAAATGATCAGACCTCATGAAACGCCTTCCACAAAGGGGACAAGCAAAACGCTTTTCTCCAGTATGAGTCCGTCTGTGTCTAGCTAGTTCATCAGATCTTGCAAACCGCCTGTCACAGTTTTCCCATGTGCAAGGAAAAGGTTTCTCGCCTGAAAGTGTACAAAATAAACCCAGATTAAACATCAACTTTCATTTGAAGCCGAAAATTCCAAAAATTGGGGTACATCACTGTAAAAATGTCAGCAATGTTAAATCAAGAATTCTGAAATTTAACACCAAGCCCAGCAACAAAGAGCCACTGACAAGGTTACGTAATTAGATAAAATAATCGAAAAATATAAAATTCAGCGGAAAAAAATCTTAATTGATATCAAAGTTTCTAGAAACACTTTGCTTATGACAATGTTATTTACCTCTACAGTGATAACAATGATCAATTTTGGTTCGCAGTTTCCGCTCGCTCTTACATAATAAATCGCCTCGCACACTGCAATTTCACGTGATCAGCTAGTGGGTGTATAGCAGGCAGGACAAAGGTGTGTGTGGGCAAGACATGTCAATGCCAATACGAAAGAAATTCCGCGATATCAGAAAATCAAAGACTGTTGGTTAGAATCTATGTAACTGGGAGAACTACCTTAAACAGAAAACTTTCGATGATAAAAAGCCAAAATCTCACTTTGTTGTGTCAACACAGAAACTTTTATTAAATACCTGTATGCGTCCTCATATGGGCTTTCAAGTGGGAACTTTTGAAGTAAGTTTTACCACAGTTTTCAAACGAGCAAACGTGATTCCTTCGGCGACTGGGCTGATTTTTTCCACTCTCGGTTTCTTGTTGATTCTGTCCTTGAAATTGGGGAAGAAGTCCTGCTTGAGTGACAACAAAATTTCTCTGCTGTAACTGTGAAATGTTGCTGACTCCTGCGGCAGTTCCGTTTGTGGCTGCTACGGGGCAAAGTACAACTACAGCACCAGCTGGTAGATTCGGTCCGCCGTTTGCCAGAAGAACTTGATTCATATTTACTCCGTTTGGGAAAACTTTTAAAGGCAAGGTAGACATTGTTGCAGAAGGTGCGGCTGTAGTAGAAATCGCGCCTAAAGTAACATTTCCCGAAGTTGGAGAGCAAAGTCCAGAGTTGCCACGAGGAATTCCAAAATCGGCTGTTTCTTTAACTCCGTTGTTTTCATGCTATAAAAAAGTGGCACGAAATCGATTATGACTAGCCAGAATCAGAAATGAAAATTTGGAGGGATTCATAACCAGGAATAATAATACAGAAAAGTTTACTTTTCAATTTAAGGAAATAAATGTCGTTACCTTTTCTGGTTCGTCCTCAACGGAAGTCGCGCTGCTTAGCGAAGCGCTTGACGAATTTCTGCTTATAGAAGACAGCCCAGAGTCAGGACTAGGAGTATTCCTTTCTGGAAGATGAGGCGACCATTGACTCATTGCAAGGAGAGACTGAACTGCATCCAAGTCGACATTTTCGCTCGTTTCGCTTTGACAACCTTCACCATCCGAATGCACAGAATTCGTGTCCTCCTGATGTAAACACAAAAGAGCGTAAAAAAAATTAGTCACTCAATAACTTAGCGCATCTAAGCTTCCGAACTGATTTCACTTACTTCCATCTCTTTAGACGGCGACGAAGGCGTTGAAGGAGGAGACATAGGAAGAGCGTACATGACTCAGTGATAATCGTGCAAAAATTCTGCTGATGACTAAAAGCGTAGGGGATTTTTGTTATCGTTTTCTGTTGATTGAACTTAGATCAGCACGAAGATCATGCAGTACAGAGGGCGTTTGAGGGGGTTGGACCAATCACATAACACTTCCGGTGCGGTGAGCCAATCAGAGAGCTACCTTCATGTGAAAAGCGCGTGAATTGAAACGTTCTCACGTGTAGTAATAGACTGAAAACGAACTTTGTCCCTCTAAACGAGCACGGTTTGTTTACCTCTGCCAAGGCCAAAATAGTAAACACGTGATCACTTTTTGGTCAGGTGTAGACGATTCGTGTCTTTTTTCGTGACAACAATAAACCGAACGACTATTGTCTTGTCTAAAGGGTCACGCACAGATTCACACGTCTGTGGCAGAAGAGCGTTTATTGTCACGTTTATCTTCATGTAAAATGTTTTCGATTTCTTGTGAGCGACGAAAACCATCTGGTGAGTCGACAGTAAGAACGGTCACCTACACAAAGGCGTTGTTTGAAGGCCAAACCCATATCTTAGATCATTTCTAATTTACTGAAAATCGGGCGTCACCCGAATTTAAACAATTTGAAGCAAATTATAAAGTTATTTGATAAAGACTTTGGAGATAAAGCTATGCACCGAAAGTGGAAATGACAACGAGATAAAAAGGAGCTTAAAAATTGCCTGAGAGCTCCATCAAACTGTATTTGATCAGTTACCGTCACGTTTCAACTACACATATCAATAAGGCGCTTTTCTTTCTTTTAAAATACTCAGAAGCTAACCGTAAACATTATGTGAAAAGCGAATAGTTGCCATAATAATGGCATTGATTTAACCAGGTCAGGTTGTGTTTGTTGCCTTTACCTGCTAATTTGACTATGATGTCGTGTTTATTTTCTTTAAGAGAAATAGCGTGTTGATCATACCGTCCAATAACGTGCTTTACATCAGGAACTATTTAAATGAAGGGGGAATGGATTGTCGAGTGATCCACGATTATTTAACTGCTTAATTTCTTGCCAAAATCCCTCGGTTTTTATGTAATTTGCGTTTTTCTTTGCTTCTAGTGAACAGCAGTTTCCATACAAAAAGAATCACACAAGCGTCGCTGTATGACAAGAGACTAATAATAGTCAGATTTACACGGATTTTTCAAAGAAACTCATTTCTTTTCGTAACGAAGTTCCAACAAGGCCAGCTTATTCCAGAAGCATTAGACTAAGTTTCTTTTTCTATATTCCCTTTGAAGGCGGTTAAAAGACTAAGTGTCAAAGGCTGGGATGCGTTTCAACAAATCTCTGCGAATATCCGTTCATCAATTTATGATAATTTTTGCCACTGGTCGCACTTTGTGTACAATTTATGTATCAGTGTCTTCCATTCAAGTGATGAATGCCTTTCATGTTTCGTTCATTTTTCTCTTTTTTTTTAAGTTAAATGATAATCGATACACAGTTATATAACGCGTGAGCAGTTCTGTTTTTGAAATCTGTTGATTAACAAGTTCTAAAGTAAGGATGAAAATTGATTCCCCTTAGATCGCCTCGAAAACAATTGATCTTTTGTGTCTTGGTTTGCATTGTCAGCATCATCATCTCCCATCTTGACGAGGGTGAGTGATTTCGAAGCCACTGAGATAGAAAATATAAAGTTTTGATACAGGCTCGCGACATGGTTCGAATACTTCCGCTTTCAATGTTTACCATCAATTTTTACAATGCAGCATAAACCTTGGAAACAGCATCAACTTACCTCTGGCTCTGAACATTCTTGCCGAACAGGAATTGGTATGATAGTGTGCGCATTACAAATCGTTACATTTCGTTTTTTCCGACCTTTGTCACCTTGGCATCCGTTCATACTGCTTAGACCAAGTTCTTCAGTAAAGAAGCATTGGGCTGTGTTCTCCCACAGGAATTGTCTCAGTTGTCCGTGAGCTGTTTTCGTTTAGACTTGCGGTAAATTGAAGCAGTTAAAGGTCGTTGAAGGCGGGGTCGAGGCTGGGAAGGGGTGTGAACATGAACAGCATGAAACGTTGTCCAGTGTGCCCATTGCTACTACCACCCTTAGCTTTCTGACTGAACGACTTGTTTAAAATTCATTATTGAAATCGGAAATTATGATTTCCGAGGAAGAATATTGGGAGAGCTCTATCAGAGGAAGAGCAGCTCGGTTTTCGCTTTGTCGGTGCACGTGTCCAGAGTCCACTTACCATTCCGAAACAACTAGCGGAAATTCCGATTGTTCATTGGTCGAGGACCATTGTCAATGAGAACACGAGGACTTGTGCGACGTCATATCACGCCATGAACACGGGTTCAACTCGAGTCCCTTTTGTACTTTGATCGAATTGTATTAACCTGGTTTTGTCGGATTTCTTTACGGGAGTGTTGTTGTAGTATTGTAAAATGTACCCCTGAAATCTTAACGTCTGTGGCGTTGTTTGAAAATTTAAAGCTGTTAACAAGTATAAGTTTGGACAAATTTAAGACAAAAAGGAAAAACCGGGTACCCGACTTTCTTTACTCTTTGCTGAATGTGTATATGAAAGGAATTATATGAATTCACGTGCGGTGGTGGAATTAATTAACAAAGTAATCTTCCTTGTAAATACGGTTCTCGAACTCTAGCTGAATTGCGTAAAAAATAGAGGAAATTGGACGCAGGTGAAGTTCAAAATTCAAATCTGAAATTGACTTATCGTCAATGGCGTTAATTTTGCGAATTTCACGTCAAACACGATCCCTTCATCTGCAACTTCATTTGCTAGTAAATACTGGGACAGACTGAAGACGTTGCATAATGATAAACCCGCCATATTGTTTGGAATCACGTCATATCCTACGGCGCGCGAGGAAATCCGACGGCGTTTCAGTAATTTCCGACACAAATTCGTCTTCTCAGAGAGCACGACCATACCGGGTTCATTTCATTTCACGCACTTTTTTACTGGCATGGGTCAGACAAACGGTCTTATCTCACATCAGACCACACAACACGTGACTGTCAAAGGCTTACATGTGGGTGGGTAGGTGGGTTGATTTGTGTAGATACTTTTCATTTCCTGCTTCCCACGTCGTTCTCTGAAATTAAAAAGGGGGGAGGGGGCTACGGACGATACATCGTAGAATGTCAGTGTACTCTGACCCAGAGTTAGTCAAATTGTGAAGGCATGTTTTAATCCTCTGTGTAACTTGGAAGGACCACCGGGTTCCATAAGTACACGTGCAGTTTTGTGATTTCACAACTACTTCAGCGTTGTAAATTATATTTCCTTCATGCGAATCACTGATAATCGGGGAATGGAGGATGCCTTCCACCACACAAGAGATATCTACTATAGTGTACCTACGCCGGACATATTGAGATCTCGGAATCTCGGACCGGGCGAGTCTGATTTCCTTTTACCAGGGCTGTGGGGAAACTTGACCGTCACATCATATGACCCATCCATTCCGGAGGACACAGCTCACTTTGATCAAGTGAAAGAAGAGATGCCCTTATAACCTTTGTATCTATTAGATTCAAATATGAAAGACCTCTGTTAAGGGGAATGTTTTCTAAATATTGAGAGAGTCACCTGAGCGAATAAATAATTCACTGTACAGAATACAGTCGTTCTTATATACGACTGGCTACCACGTATGTGGCACGGAAGATTAACGCCAAATCAATAAAAAAAGGTCCGACATAGCTGCCCTTCATTGTTGTTGGAAAAATTTTGTCCTCTCAGCTAAGAGTGAAAATCCAGTTGACTCCAGCGAAAGAAGTTGAGTAGGGCACGGTCGAAACGTTGCGATCCACATCGAGAGTGACTACAGCGCGAGAAAAATGATAATACTTTATCATTATTGTAATTAACCACAATGAATAAACACAATATTTTTGTGATATTAGATATGAAGCGAGTGCCAGTCTCGCGGACGTTGTTACAGCGGACAAAGTGTTTGCTCATACAAAAGTCAAATATACAGGCATTTTTTTCTCTTAGCATAATGTACCTGTGGAAACTTTGAACATTCTTTTTTTTCAGTTTTGTACCGACGGCAAGTCACAAGAAATCAGCAAAGAAATAACGATGTGAATAAATTGTTGCCATTGAAACACTGGAAGTTAAAAGTGTGTAATGCATAAGCGACGACAATTTATCATTATCTTTTTCTTTCTTTGTATTTTCTATTTTTTTAATTATCATTTACGCTGACAACCATCTCTGAATTTTCGTAGTATTGGGCTCAGTCTCAGTTTATCACGGTGAAATGGCAAGGAAACGTAATGAAACAAAGTGCAGGTGTTTGGTAGACAGGCCATTATTTGTTGGAGTTAAGTTCTTGTTTCCTCTGATCGAAGTTAAAGTCATCTAATTTTCCGGTCACTTGGTACAGAACAGAACTCAACAGAACACGACAGATCGAGTAAAATTCAATATCCTGAACGAAGAAAAAATACACAAATTATTTGCAATTACAGAGCCCATTCATAAGACCCGTCGAAATTGGAAGCAAGAGCCTGTTACAAATTTTTTATATCGCTACAGCCTTACCAATTAGGATTTTAAGGGTTGTCATTCAGACGACATTTGTTATTTGAAGCCAAATAGCCTCCCCGTTCTAAAATTATTGTTTTTTCGATGAAAAGCCTCAGATTTAAAGGCCGTACTGAGCAAGGTAGTGCTGAAAAGTGTTTCAAAAGCTATGCCATTAGATATAATTAAGTTGGGAGCAGATGTCTTTAAATACAGGCAGCCAAAATGTAGTTATTGAAAGTTATTGATACATTCTCGGTAAATTTGGTGTGGGCCAAAGAAACCAGTGTCATTTTGTTAATTGCATCGCAAATTTGGTTGATTTGGTCTTTTCCGGTCTGTTAACCTGCTTGTTCTGTTGAAACAACTTCGGTTTAGTTACTAAGACACAGAGCCATAGAATGCAAAGAGAAGGAAATCAGCGAGAAATTTCAAATTATCGACAGTAGACGATTTCGTCGTTGACCTCTTTTCTTTTGTAAGGTAAGGGTTTAAAACGTCATTTCTATGTAATAGCTCTCTTACTTCGATTTTCGCTTCCAAGGTTATTCTTTTTATTGAGGGAAGGTTTCATTGATAGATGTATTTTGAGGTTTTTCAGCTAACCCCTCTTGGTGCTTTATCTGTCCAAATCACATCTTTAGTGTCAAAGACTTAGTAGTATTCATTCGCGAAGCAAAACGTTCTTTATTACTCGGTTTGAGCTTGCCTTTGAGTTCGTCCGACTGCCATCAACTAGTCAAACGACATTTTATCCCTTAGAAGAAAACAACCTATCATGTGAACCCCTAGAAATGTGTTTGCCAGGCAATGAGGTCTCTGTGGCTCAGAATGGTCGAGTATCTAACCGCGATATCGGGCAGAGCTGTTTGAGGTCGAATCTCCCCCACGGACTCAGGACAACTTTTCTTTTTCACCATGTTAACCTCTTTCTTTTTGAGGAATATATACTAAGCTGTAGCGTTGTAAGTGGTGCAAACCACTCTGAGAATTAGCTTGTAAACAGCGGTTTGGCTTAGCCTCTTGTCAGTTTGTGCTTCCCACAGCATCAATTTTCAGATAAGATTACAACTTTCACCTCTATGAAAACACTTTTCTCCTTACACGAATAGCATGGCTAACGGGCTGAAATTAAGGCCGATACCTTTGCCAAAGAGAGGCCAGAGGGTCTAAGAGTCTATGAATGGATTCAAATTACCGGCTTTGTCGAAGGAAATAGTAATGTCTGAGAAAGGAAAAAAGTTATTTAAGTATTACGTTTGGTGGTGTGATTTGATGCTTTAAATACTATATATTACCGCTCGTCATACCAAACCTACGTTTTGCTACTAACAGTTTTTTTTGTATCTGTGAATTGAAAGCGTGATTGTTATGTGATTTAATTATTAAAGACGACAGAACGGCACCGGCCTCTCTATTCTTCCCTATCAAGAAAACCTGATCAAGTCTATGGTTTAATCGTATCTTTCCTTCTTTAAGTCTACTTGTAAATATTGCGGAGAAAGACAAAGTCCCCGTGAATTTTAAGTCATTTAACCGATGCATAAAAGAAATGTCATGGTAATGTTTTCTCCCTTCCCCAGTCCATTATCCGTGGGTTCTCAAGAGCATTAGTGTTGGGAAATTTTTTAAGATAGCGATTTCGCGGGAAGTTGTGCTTGACTGTTGATTATAAAGCCTCGGTTTGCCAGATCTATAAAAGCTGGGCTCATATTTCGAGACGGCAGCGCGCCTAAAATTGCCGACAAATTCATTTAACGAAAAGAAAACAAGTGTAGCCATAAAGCGCAGGTAAGCCAAAATGGAACCAAAACATTTAAGCAGAATGTGATTTAGTAGCTCTGCGCGCAAACACTTCCCTGGCATTGAGGTCAGGAACTTTAAGAGGACTAGTCAACCAAGAAATGAACAGAATAATAAGATGAACCTTTTAGTTCGTTGATTTTAAGTAAATACTTTGGTCCATTCATTACTCGATTGTTTCAATAAAGGTTCAACATTTTTGAGGCCATTTTACCGCATGCTGAAAAGTTTGCAAGATTAAGGCTTTCAAATACCGTCACTGTTGGAAATTTTCACGGAATGATTTGCTAATGCGCTGAGACTTTTTTTCAAGAGCAAAGAGTTATTCACAACTCAGAGGAACTGCTGTAGTTATGGTTGTTGTTTTATCTTTGTTATATCTGCGCTTATTTGTCGGCGGAGATTGACCTTTCTGTCGATCAAGTAAAATTTACGATTTAATAACCCAAGACACTTGAAACTAAATGCTCCAAAAATTTTCAACGAAAATATGACCTACTGGATATTCACTAGATTTTTGCGCCAATGAGTCATTCATTAAAACGAGTAACTAAAATTGACATTTTTGTGTCAGTCATAATGTTAGCTCGGACGAATTAATTTCAAGCTGTTTTCTAGGAAATTTCTCGTCAAGTCTCCGATAATTTTACTATTGTTCTCTATATTCTCAGTATCCTTACGTTACTCCCAGGATATACAAAAATCTGATCTTAAAAAATGATTTTGTTACAGAACACCAACACTCTAAATTTCAATTCAATATGAAAACAGGGGATATGAATAACTACCTTGTGCGTGCCCATCGCTGAACTTAAGACTAAAATTTCTAAAATGAAGCTCTCTTTTTAGGCCCAAAAAACTGCAATGTTGTCTTTACTAGGATCATATGCTTTTCTATCGCTATCATAATCATTTTTCTTATCGTGTCGTTCAGTCCCAATTCACTCACTCTTCAATGCTGGTATTGTTTGTTTTCTTTTTTTGTTTGTTTTCTGTTTCTTTTTTCGAACCGAGCTACTAGAACAGTTTGCATGAAAAATGATTTCAGGGAACTCTTTGAGGTTACCGAGTCAAAGAAATCAAAAATATTTCTTCACTGAACGAAGAAAAACTCTAAACTGTGGCGAATTTGAAGTAACCACCTGAACGAAGTTATTTTAATCTTTGCCAATTGAGGTTTTTAAGTTATTTAAATAAGTTGCTTCAATCCGGCCCTAAATTGATCCCAAATTAAGAAAAGAAGAAGAGAGCTTCATGTTAACTTCAATAATAAGTAGAAGGGTGAGTCCTGAAGTACTAAAAAAATGAGTCGCAGTATGGTGTGTGCTGTAAAACACAACTGAAACATCACTATTAGGTAGGCCGATAAAAAGGAGTAATAACATTGAATAGCGTTAACACCGGTTGTATTCAGTTCATGATATCTGTCGAGCTCAATTAGCGTGAAAACACCATGAGAACTTGGTAGTAAAATGAATGAAGCCGACTAAGAGCTACTCATTTCTTAGCTTTTGTTTATGGCAAAAATTGACCTCCTCTATGGTGACTTAGGATATTCCTGCTTTTCTCACATTTTCAGATAATGAACAAGTAAGCTCTCAAATAATCTTTAATTTGATAACAACTTTAAAATGCCCTTTTCACGCCGTTTGTAACTGTAGCTGCTTTTCTCTTGCAAACCATCTGTCAAATTGGGCTTTGTTCATCAGAATTGTTTATTTAATATTATTACATTCAGTTATTCCGATTAGTTAATTCAACGTAAAGGTAACGGTTTAAGTGCTAGAAATGTTCTAGGCAACTAGAGTTGAATTAAAAACGGTGAACCAGTTCAGGAAATTTCTGCGTAGTTAAAGAAGTTTTTTCTATTGAAATAATCTGTAATGCCTGACGTAGATTCGCCTATTGCCTCCTCTCTTTCAACGGATCTACAACTGTGACCATAGATGAAGTTTGAGGCGGTCCTAAAGTTCTTGTTTGAACTTGATATCTTGTCAAAGTTTGTGTTTTTTTGTCTTATTAGATGATCATTCCTCATCCTTTACAACACAGACAGGTGTTCTATTGTTTCTATATAAAAAGCAAATAAAGTGATCTGAATTCGCTACTCGTGGATTCAATTTGTATGGAAAGCTACAACCCACTGGAAATCCGGAATAAATATAACTTGAATGATATTTCCTTGGGTGTTCCGGTGCCCGATATTAAACTCCTATATCGGTTTGGTGTTTGCCTAGGCTCTGCAAATATTCTTTTTTTGTTCTTAAAAAAAAGTCAGTGGGAAACTTTAATGAAGACGTTTTCCCACCAGAAAACTTCCCGCATGTAATTTCTTTGTTACAGGAAGCGTAACTTGAATGACAACCAGGATAGAGACTTGCAGTAAACTCACGCAAAAAAATAAAATGTAATAACTCAAAAGTGACTTAAATAGTTCACGTTGATTTACTTCAGTAGATGGAAATGTTTACTACTTTATCGTATTTCTTAACGAGCCAGGAGATTCGAGTGCAGAGGAGAAGAAACTTTCGATTTTATTTGTCTATATTAATGAAAAAGTTGACAAAATCGCGAACTACATTTTTGCATTTGAATTATATTTTGTACCTGAAAACGTATATGGAGCAAGCCGGTCTTTCGTAGTACAAGTGTCAAAAGAGTTAATTATCAGGGGATAAGTTACATTAACTCTCGTTGCAATACTTCTTTTTTCTCTTTGAGTTTCGATGTCTGATTCATGGCTTACGAGAAGGCCCTCGTTTTAAGCACTGCGGGACGAACGTTTCTTTGCCTGGATTGGCCACATTATCAGTGTCTGATAACAAGCAAACCTCTCGCCAGCACGCATTGCTCAAGGCCTCCTCAAACTTTCGTGGGCGAAGAGGCGCCTGTATTGAAGAGTCGCTGACAATGAGGCTCTGCTCGCAGGTTACCTGATTCAAGCAAGAAGAGGGTGAATTTTGATTGAGAGTAGTGACATAAAACTAAAAAAACACAAAGTAATTGGAGTTAGTATTTACACTGATCAATCAGTTTAGAGGGTAGCGCGAGTTTTTTAAACCAATCATAGAACGAAACAAACTCAGTGCAACCCAGGATTACTTTATACACTCAAGTCAAAATCGTCCTACCATTGCACGCTGATTTTCTATGTAAGACAAAACACATTTACCATCACAGAGAGTCTCACAAATTCAGTTTAGGTATGAAGCTTGTTTGCTCGACAGAAGCCTCGCTAAAATACAAGTTATGAAGTACCTTATTAGATGAAAATGTATGATGCGATTAACTGTGTTGATATTCTTAGACTCTATGCAGGCTAAATCTAAATTACTGAGTTTCCTAATTATTCGTGCTCACGTGAGATCTCTTGTCGAATCTTATTGCTGTAGAAAAGGCTCAGACAACGTTATTTTACAGAATTATATATATCTTGAAAACATAAAAAACATACATGTTAACTATTGAGATCTGATATTTTTCTGTTGGCTTACAAACACATGAATAGTCTTGATTGACAATAAGATATTTAACGATAAATGTATTGGGAGCTGGCTCGTAAGCGAGCACTGTGGCTGCAGACCACCAGCTCAAAGCAATTAAAGATCTTGCTATGTTTGATTGCTGTGATCTGGTTGTTGGCTTCTACCAGAATACAAGTGATAAAAATTTACATAGTCTGTCGAAACGTTTGCAAAATGAATCTGTATTTAAACTGTACGCATTGTCAACAATTTTTAAGTATCTCTAGACAACAAAATTTTCTCTGATGTTTTGAAGGTGTTTCCCATCTGCTTATACTTCTCTTTCCGTTGAGCTATCGTTTGATAGGAGAAACACTCGGCCTATTGTTGGTTTGGCAGTTGGTCAAGTACGCAGGTTTATCATTTTTAATTCGTTTAAATCATTTCCATCATCGGCTATCCCTAATCCTTTTTCGTTAATATTTTTTTTGGACCAAACTAATATTTTGAAAACAGTTTCGCATGTCACATAAAATGACCAAGAATAACGTGACTTATTCCCTTAATTAATTTGTGTCACAGTAAGTTGGATTCAATCCAGCTTATATGAAATTACCAATAGAAATGCAAGCCGAGCCTGACCTAAATATCACACCACACAAAGTTCTGCTTCCAGTGAGAAAGAATAGAATGTATCGGTTTTTTGACAGAAAGACCTCACTGGAGCTAGACTTATTTCATGGAAATCGTGCCTTCAGTAGACCTTTGGTAAACTGACTGAGGACCCAATAGGTCTTCTTTGGCTGGACGACAGAAAAGAGATCGGACAACGTTTTTAAATTCATGGTTAAATCGTTGGTTGAGAAAAATATACAGGCACGGGTTTATAGCGCTATTGGCGTGCGACAGAAAGTAAAAGCTGGATTCCAAGTACTCGTGTGAAATTAAAGCAACGTAAGTCGGGGTGAAGAAATAACTCATCAAATGCATAATGTGACTCGGCAGCCAACACAGCGCAAAGACAACAACAACAATGATGAGCATGCGCAGTACTTTCCTTTTAGACGACTCGTTTTGACGCTTTTGACTGGCAGTTGAAGCCCCCGGAATCACACGTGACCAGAGGCGACGACCAATAAGAATGTACAAGGTTGCAATGATTACAAGTGCAAACAGATACAGCACCACAAAGGTTGTCATGAAGTAAGCTCTGCCAATTTCGAATTGTTTCATCCTGTCTGAGGATAAGTAGCTCCAGATCATTCTACATTCCCAGGAAGATCCGTCAGCAGAAGGCACGCTATCATAAAGAACCAGATACAGAGAGAAATACAGCGAAGATGAAATCCAAATCAGAGAGGTAACTAATTTAGTGTTCCGAATAATGGGGACGTCGGCGAATGGATGAAGAATGGCAAAGTAGCGGTCCAATGATATAAACACGAGGGTTATAATAGTGGCTGCTATGGACAGAACCCCTGAGAATTTAACAAACTTGCAGGTCACTGATCCAAAGCCACCGGGTAACCACGTCAATCCAATGTACAAAAAAATCACCTACAAAGACCAAAAAAAGGATATAAACATACCCAGGCTGTGAGTTAAAAAAAAAAACTTGTCAGCGACAAAGCTAGAGCTTCCACAAACATTGAAATAGTTTATTCTGGTAAATGCAATGATACTCCTCATAGAGCCCAAGCTCCGTCTCACCTTTGCGTAGCTAATCTTACTAGTCTCCTTTGTTGGAATGGAATACAGTCGAACCTGTATTAAGCGGCACCGTATTAAGCGGTCATCCCGTATTAAGCGATCAGTTGTTAAAGTCTCCAATTTGTTTCCCCCTAATCACTGTAATTTTCACCTTTATTGAGCGGTTACCTCTATTAAACGGTCGCAATTACTTGTGGCTACGTCCTGACTGCCTGTTTTTATTATTTTCCACCTGTATCGAACGCTCACTGAAAGCGGAACCACCCAAATAGAACTAAGAATAATATTTCAAATTTTGATCTATGTTTCTCTCTAAAAACCAAAGTAAGTAGTATTTTTGAGCACATTAAATGGCCATTTATGGCATAAGGTGGTGTTGTGCACCGTTTATTATGATACCCCTGATCTGTTGAAACTGTACAAAGGGAGCACCCGCCTCCCCCCCTCCCATTCCTCGTGGGTGCCCACTTATACAAGTTCGACTGTTTCAGACAAAACTAATAATGTGTGCGTGCGTATGACTGAACTTAGCAATATCGTGAAGAAGCTGAAGGAATAGAGGCACAGTTAGAGCGGAGAACAAGAAAAGTTTAAAACTTGGAGAGAACCAGCTTAGCCCCATATTAAAGAGTATCATTGCACCAGAATACTTATTATTAAAAACCCCTTTGATGATTGAGGCTTGAATGTAATTGTCAATGTACTCGTATATTTACAAAGCAAGTGCTGTTTGACTTACCTCAAAAGGCATAATGAAAATAGAAACCAGCAGATCGCCGATCGCCATGTTAACAATTAGAAAATTGAAAGTAGTCTTCATTCTCGCACGAGTTGCCACAATGTAAATGATACAAGTGTTACCAAAGAAGCCAAAGATAAAGATAACAGTATAAGCGAGAGTCATCCACACTTTAGCCCCGTGAACATCATCACCACTTAATGACGTCGCGTTTTCCATATCTGGAGATAAAAAGAAGACAAGAACACAAAATGAACCCCTTATTTCTACAGATTCGTAACTCCCTTTCCAATAGTCACTCTCTTAATATAAATTATTCCTAGGTTGAAGCCAAAAGCAACGCTTGTGATATAAATTTACTCGGTGTCAAATCCAGTGGTCGCACTTGCCAAATCAGTTCAACTTAGTTTTTAAGCCAACAGCCTAATATTATCTGTCAGTTTAACTTGTAATGAACTTACCTACAGCTTGCATTTAATACTTATTGACCTAGTCAATCAAACGAAGCATTTTAATTTCTTTTTCGCCCTGAACTATCCAAGACAACAAAGGAAGTCGACGAAAGAAAAAAAAAGCACAAAACCTTGAAATATTCGTTTGCATAGTCGCACCGCGATAGGTAATCACACTTGAGGGCGGCGACATAACCACAATTGGAGGCGAGGTCACTCAACTTGAGGGCGACCTGACTTAAAGCGACCTGACTTCCTTTGAGATAACAAAGTACCAAATTTGGTGAAACAACCCAAAAAGAACGAGGATGACAGTGACAAAGATGAGTGCAAAGACCGATTTTTCAAGAGCCAAAAACTGTTACCAAGACAATTTTACTCATCAAAAAATTATTGAAGAACCCATGGTCTGAAGATACAAGATGAAAGGAGGTCAAAAACAATTACTGTGGATGGGGCAAAAAGTCAAATTGTCAGCTTAGTACAGAGAAGGAAAGGAACTACACTATTATAATTCTTCGTTTTACCAAGAACGATCTAATGAAAGCCGCCACTGATCTGCAGATGCTGTTTAATTAACTTACTACATTTTTATGATGTTTCTTTTCGCCTCGGGCGCCTGCATAAATGAATACTGTTGTAAGTGTAAATCAATGCAAAAATTTCGAGTTTTTGGGAAAAATTTAGGGGTAAGCACGACTCAAATTTTTTGAAGAAAGCAGTAAAGTATATTTCCAACATAAGGAATCATTTTAAAAGTCTATTGTGTCCTGACATGCTCTGTTTCGTTCACTACATTGGCTTGCCAGCTTTTATGCAAAGTTTTTCTTGGAAAGAAATCGGAAATTAGTTTGAGATACGTTCACTTGCTAAAATATGAACAAAACAACTTTTTCCGGTCCGATAAATGGTATCCAAAGTAATAACTAGATTTAACTAAATCGGTTTCTTTATTGAAACAGTTTGCTTGGATAGAAAAAAAACTACCTGTGGGGAACATCTGATACCAGCAGCTGTGGAAACTGTTTTGTAGCACTAAGGCGGGATTTTGAACTTTTACTTACGTTGGCGAATATCGGCACAAAAAGAACACAAGGGAAGCTGCACGTCAACTTGGATTTGATTTCTCAATTATTTCAAGCAATAAAAAGGGATGAATCTTCTTAAGTTCTCTTGAGAAGTTCACAAATGTTTAAATTATTCACGAACTGTCACTTATTCGTCTTTGATTTTAATGAACCTCCAGGGAAAGCTACAGTATTTGATCATTTAATTTCGCTATGGTAATAAAATTAGTTTTATTTTAGCGCTACATAAAATTATTTGCGACAAAAACACACACAAAGTAAACCGGGACAGTAAATATTTTGGATTTTCATAATCTGTCCTTTTAATTCAGACCGTACAGAATGACACTTAGAACAAAACTAACAGCACCCGCTCTTACAGTTCATGTGTATTTTGATCGAACACGACAACTGAATATTTCATGTAAAATTATATATAAATAATGATGAGGGGAAACTTTTCCAAAAAATGTTACAAAAAAGAAAAAGAAATACCCAAAAATTGTATATTTCCTCAAATCATTGTCCTAGTTTTTCAAATCATCGTTGTACAATCATGACATTACATATTTCTTAGAAAATCCATCTAAGAGTAAGGGTTAGTCTTCGCACAATCAAGCCGTAAGACATGAACGATTTGAAATAGGACCATGCAAAAATTTTTGGAACCAAGAAAAAGTACCTTGGCTTGTTCATGAAAACGAAAAGTGCGTCAAAAGTCGCTTTAAATAAAAATAAATCCCAGACGTTATTAATCAGTATCGGAGAAAATTCCACTTTTAACCTATTACGGCAAATAATTTTTCGAGATACATTTCGCCTACGAACCAAACCAACAGTTAAATTTAATGGCAACTTTTAACACTTATACAAATCACTGTAGCCCTACTTTCATACAAAGAATAAAATACATTCCGCACTTGGAGCGTACCTGGGACAGAAGTGTTATTTGCTGCCATGGTCAGCCTTGAACTCTACAGTATTCGATCAAGCGTATTTTAAATTCTTCAGATGTGGCTTCGATCTAAAATCGGAGCATAACACACGATAAACTGCGTGATAAATGATGGAGCAGCAATGTTAAGCCTATTATGAACAGAACTCCGCGCTATGGTGGATTAATTAAAGCTTTACCACATATATTAATGGTCTCCGCAGCTGATTCCACCAAGGAACGTTGATTTTTCCTATCAAATATCTACCTCAACCAACACACTTGTCACTCGTCCTTGTCAGAGTCAGGAGCCGAGCTTTTTTAACGTGTCGGTCCTCATACAATAGAAACTTTTAATGATGCTGATGAAAAGAATCGATAGGATGCTGGGATGGCCCGAAGGCAAATTAATGTTACTGGTGATAAAGGACAGTTTACATGGCTCAAATAGAATAAATAGGTAGGAAAATTAAAAGACAAGAAGTGATTGGAAGGACTGTAATTGAAAACGACAACTCTACGCGATAAACATTTAAAAGTGTTACAACAACAAAATTCTTATGTTGCGAAAAATTCTCATGACAGAACACTTAAGTAAATACAAGTGAAAAGGCATCGAGTGGGCCAAGCCAAGGGTAGAAATAAACTGAAAAAAATAACGATTTTCGTTTATTATTAGCTTGTGACTTATGCAAATTCGAGTCCAAACATTAGCAAAAAGCAATTAAGAGAAAGGCGCCGAGGATGACAATCTCTAATGGTAGAGTAATTTCCTTTGCAACAAAAGAAACTCATTTTACACTCATTTATAAAAAAATAGATTCGGCAATATGCAGTTATAAATTGTCGTTTTCAAAGCACTTGGTGAGATAAAAATGACAAGGGAACATTATAAAGATACTATCTTATTCTCCAAATGCCATTTCTTTTGTCCCGGGACTCCAGGCAGGTAGAAAATTTAATTAAATTTCACGTCAGTATTTTAACTTACTGTCAACCCATGATCGCAGCTAAGTATGTCAGCAGAACATTTTATTAATTGCAGCAGTTTTTTTTTCTGTCCCTTTTATAGGCACCTGTTCGTTCCTGGACTACTTATAACTGAGTATTTAGTGGCACTGTAGATAGAAGCAAACTGTTTTGATCAGATTTGCGAAAAGAAAAAACTAGGTATAATTCTAAACAACTTCACTGCCTCTATCGTCAACTGACAAAAAGGGGCTAGATGTAAACCTAGATTTGGTCGGGTGTCAGTCCTCCATCGGGGGGATTTGACCTCGGAAACAATTGAGTCTTCAGACGGAGATCAAACAGATTGTCATAGCTCCGTTTACACAGGGAGTTACGCAAACTCCCAAAATGAAAATTCCTTTTTGATGAACAGTAAAGATGCTTTCAGTCATACGACAACAGGAAAAAAGTCGAATATTTTCGGGTAAAGGTTAGGGTATGAAAACGCGCTCAAGTAATCATCGAAAAAAAGCTAGTACTCGACATATAACTGATGTCTCAGAAATATACATATAAAAATCACATTCCGATGTGGGATGTTGGGCTGAGACATATATGCAATATATGCAATGCACTATTTGAATTGCAAATAATTCAGAAAAAAGCCAATCTAATAAGGCATCCAATAACATTTTGAGGGTCGACTGTAAAAGGGAAAGAAAGTTTAAACACACTTCCTGTCATGTATTCTATCAAGAGAAAATAATGGTCCCATTAATTTCTCTTGATTCCATAGATCACTAGAATTTTACACTTAAGTATTCTTGAGTTAATCGACATGACCTAAATTTGCATTACCGATAAACAAAATTTCGTCGAAGCGATTACCCAATCCATTGTCTTGTAGAATCAAGTCCAGTTTACTGGTAATCAAACATTCACATTGTTTGCAAATCTAGACGCAAATAATCGTCTCCGAGTTGAACAAACGTAATAAAAAATCATAGTTGATAGAGTTTAGATGGCGACAATTGCACTTGAAACTATCAACGAAATAGAAGGGAAAAGAAGTTTCCGTTTTCCCGTGAGGTACAGAAAACTGCTTAACATTTCGGATTTATGCCCCGCGGGAATCAGTCACAACTCCAAATATAAACCATAACGTAGAAAGGAAAATCCAGGGCGCGAAAAGAGGATAAAAACAATTTAAACCACAACTTCTATATGGCTGAGATGTCAGTTATCTACAGTTGCCACTGCATGAACATAAACAATCTTTTAAAAGATAATTTTTCACCTTTGCGACCTGAGTAATCAGCCAAACCACAGGCGTAAGAAAGTAAGCAAGGGGTTGCATGTGGCTTGAGTTCAGCTCACTTCTTTTTGTCAGGAGATGTAAGTGATCTAGCTCGATTCATCAGCTCATAGCAGGCTGAGCCGGGTGTTCATTTTGCGTCATCACATCACAATTTACCGTCTTTCAACTAATCTCCGCAATCTCATCTTATCTCTAGCCAATGGACGCAAAATATTTATCGTTAAAGAGGAATTACTCTTAATTGGATACACAGCCTTGCACAATAAAATAAATCCATTTTTATCCCGTCAGCTCTTATCATTTTTTCCTTTCATTTGCAGGGATTATGAGTGTACAGACGTGCTTATCTTCAGGAGTCAGGTCGAAAGAGTCGAAGTAGTCCTGTGTCTTATCATTCGACGCGCGATTAAAGACATTTCTTGACCTTCCTCATAATCTTCAGTACAAAACTCTATTATCTTCCTGAAAGAGTATTTTATCACAGATAACACATACGACGTACGACTTAATGGATAGAAATGCACTATTTTTAGTAGCCCATGTCTCAGAATATCAGTATAGCTTTAATTCACAAGCATCGTGTTAGAGATTCCACCGCGCCGTGGGGAGCAAAGTGTCTGCCCCTCCCACTTTAAACGGTAGTTGATGACTCCATGTTGTCTACAGCAGAGCTTTGCTTCAGATTTGTTGCGGCACGCAGTTACATTTGGAGAGAGATGTTAGTGAAGGTTAAGATGAGCTCTACTGAAAAAATAAAATACAGAGATAAGAATCTGGAGGTTAAATTCACGACTTGATCTTTTGACCAGTAATATATTATTATTTCTCATGAACTGAGGTTTGATGAGATGGCCATCGTTAGCTATTGTTTTACTCGATCACTAGATTCGGATTTTTGATCAATGAAACACTATCAATGACAATTTGTTGTACTGAATTTACGGCTGGATAGCTGTGCTCATGATATGTGGGAAAAACATATGTTAGACTTACTCAATGCACGCTTCTGAAATGGCACGCGCGCAAACTGAAGTTTTGATACGCAGAGCTGCACCACGCACGGTTCCTACCGCAATTTCGACACAGAGTTCAAACTGCCTGTATTGAAAAGACCCCGTCTTAAACTTAACATTTAAAAACGAAACGTAAACAAACATAACTTAATCTTTACAAGACAAGACTAGACTGAGTCAAACCGTGCAGAATAAACAAAAAAACATAACGTGTTTACACAATGTTAAGTTAAACCCACCTTTGAACGTTTTTTTCGTATGTGTTAATTCTCCCTTGGAAGCAAGGAGCTTAGTGTATTTACACTAAGAAAGAGTAAACATTTCAGCTTTGATTTTAGAGTGAAAGGCGTGAGTATTTTGCTCCAACAGCTTAGTGCTTCGCTTCATAAATCTGTCTGCGTGAAAAGTGGGATATGTCATGCTCTAACACATGTCATATTTGCGTAGGAGAATTAATACCACGTGTCGTCTGACATGTCCTAATTGATTCATAACAAAATAAGAATGGAGAAACACACAGAGCAAAGCAGAACAAAGACTACCGAGAGGTTGGAGACGGAAAAAGATGAAAAGAAATCTCTGAAGATATCTGGTGAATGGTCACAAGAAAGGATTCTAAATTCAAAAATAATCTCATGAGTTCATCTGATTTGTGCAATGATATAACCGATCCTCGAGGTTTACTCCTGTAGCCTTTTCCATGTGTGGATATAGCCGCAAGGCAGCAGAGGTTTGGGATAAGGGTTTTCCTTCCCCTAGGTAAACTGCCTTTCCTACCGCCCGCCTCAAGCTGGGCAGCCCCCAGTCAATAAGGTGCTGTCCCGCCACGGTTTGCTTTCTTCATTGGGTGCATGGAGATTAGGAGATATCCAACAGGCAGACTGCAAACTTTGCACCAGGCAATAACAAAAATCATCAAAAGAAACCAGTCCTGAAACTAGGCTGCTGGAACGTTAGAACAATGCTGACGGGCCTCTCAGAAGACCTTCAGGACGTCAGCGACTCCAGGAAAACAGCCATCATTAACGACGAACTTAGGAGGCTTAATGTGGACATTGCCACCTTACAAGAAACACGACTTGCAGACTCTGGAAGACTGAAGGAGAAAGACTACACCTTCTTCTGGCAGGGGAAAAGCCCCAATGTACCGCGTCAGCATGGGGTGGGCTTTGCAGTGAAGAACAACCTGCTGAACATGGTAAAGCCAGGCAACAGGGGCTCAGAGCGACTCCTCACTCTCTGCCTGAACACCACGGCAGGCCCTGTAACTCTCGTCAGCGTGTATGCTCCAACACTCTCTGCTACACCTGAAATTAAAGACGAGTTTTATGATCAGCTCACAGCCACGATCAGCAACATCCCAAACAAAGAACAACTTATCCTTCTGGGCGACTTCAACGCCAGAGTAGGAGCTGATCAAAGATCATGGCCTTCTTGCCTTGGAAAGTTTGGCATAGGCAAGATGAACGACAATGGCCAGAGACTGCTCGAGCTATGCACCAATCACAAACTCTGCATAGCCAACTCTTTTTTCAAGACCAAACCTCAGCACAAGGTCTCTTGGAGACACCCGCGCTCAAAGCAGTGGCATCAGCTGGACCTTATCCTTGTCAGACGAACCGCTATTAAGAACGTCCTCCACACACGCTCTTACCACAGCGCGGACTGTGACACAGACCACTCCTTGGTGTGTTGCAAGGTCAGGCTCCATCCGAAAAGGTTCCACCGTGGCAAGAAGAAAGGGAGCCCTCGTATTGATGTCATTAAGTTGAGCCAGCCTGATCTTAAAGAGCAATTTGCTGAGAGGT